TTAGACATGCTCTTATTTAACTCTGGAGTAGTTTTAGAGATCATTAGGTTTTATTTGTTGAGGATTACGGTAAATTACATGTAAATTCATCACAGCAGGTCATTGGGTTGTCTTAAACTGAGTTTTTAAGTGAATTCTTACTGTCTTCAAACAATCTTAGGACATTTTATCTGCTTATGAAACTGAGCAGGAAGAAAAAAATCACATTGTGTATTATTACCGTGTCAGATCTTTATTTGTACTCAGTTGTTTTCCATGCCATCTGTTTGATCTGAGGACTGCGTGAAATTGTTTTTGCCAGAAAGACCTTGTGAGTGAGCACATTCTGCTAGTTGTGTAACCTTAATGATCAGTCGCTTGTGTCTTGGGAATAATATGGAAAAGCTATTTTCAACCTCTCTGTTCATCACTTTCGTAAAATAACTTTAATAAAATTCTAAAGTTGGCTGTATGGCCCTTTCTCACATAGTTTTCAGGAGCAATAAAACATCAACAAATACAAGAAAAAGCAGCATGGGAAGGTGACCTGCTGGTTTATAAGGTATGTTAACAATGTTTTATTTGGGTGCCTGATCTGTGTTGATGGTAAATGTAGTTAACTGATGCAAAAAATCCTTGAGTTTATGTAATATTGACCCAGGGGGTCAAGATCAACTGGCTCGTAGAACTTACATCTACTCTGGTGCTCTACTCTCATGTTTTGGGTCAGAATCTTTCTCAGCATCGTCTGTTTGAATGGGGTCTGATCTATCTCTGACCAGTTTTGCGCCGCCATGCTGCTTCAAACTCTCAAGTCACAAGATGAGAAACAAACATGCCCCAAATGTGTACCAAAAGAAAACCGTTTTAGTGAGTGTATACACAGCTGTTTATATGGAAAACAATGGTAATACACCACCCCTTATTTCCTCATTAATCGGTACAGTAGTTTAATCCTCATCAACGTGTTAATATGAGTCATTTATATTCTGATTTGACCATTTTAACAGTTCTGATCTAGGTAGCAGTGGTCATGTAAATATACCTTATGCTAATGAGTTCCAATAGGGAAGCAGATTTGGCAGCTTTACTGAGCATCAGAGAGAGAAAAAATATATATTACTGGTATAGTAAATGTTGAAAGTAACTGGTAGCCTTTTCTTGCTTGAGCAGATACATGAGCAGTTTTTAAAGCCTTAAGTGTTGGCTTCATCCCTTTACCCTGTAGTTTTCTTCCCTGTGACACACCTGAAAAATGAGATACGAGGCATCTTTAAGCCTTATACACAGGGTTGCATGTTGTTTTCATTGAAATATGTCTTACAACCATGAAACCTGTGCTGTTAGGTGATTTATGTATTTTATCATTATATATGTATGTTAATCATCATTTACTGAAAATCGCTTGGTGTGAATGCTTGCAGAATTATATCTGTTTCTTTTTAATGAGCATGATAAAGGAGAAGTACAGCCTTGGAGTTGAGACTGATGCTTTTCCACTGAAGCCATGCAACTAGATGAATTCTAGAATTTCACACATAGGTTGTTTTCCTAATAGCGTGACATTGAACTGATAAGCAGGAACCTGATGATGAACTAAGCTGTCTTTGTCTTCCCAGTACAGAACCACAGCTGCAACCTGTACCCTATTTGGATACTGTTGTAATGTAATGCCACTTGTGAGATGATATGTTAGTGGGCGGAGGTGTCTGTTTTTTGACTGCATAAAGGATGTGTAAAGGTCTGAATTCTTCAGTCAGAGGAAGCTGTCTTTGTTGTAAGTTGCTGAGTCCTTGCAAGTCAAAGATATTGACGATATAGAAGTAAATCTGTGCCATCTGATTCTGAATTTGAATTTCTAAAGCTGAATTATCATTTTTTTGCATCAAAATCAGACTTCGAATTTCAAAACCATCGGATTTCAAGCACACATTTTTATTTCTGACACTAATTCTTTTCACAATGATGGAATAAATTCGGTGTAAGAAAAAATCAATCTCAAAATATTTGTTTAGTGAAAATTCGACTTTAAAAAAATTTTTTTTTTAAAGTGTCAAATAATTCAGTGTAAAAGAAACCGACTCAACATCTGGGTAACCAGGGAGAAGCAATCGATTGGATTCAATCTTCCACTGGGCCACATGACCAATCAAGCAATAATTGATTGGCTGGATGATTGATGATTGAGCCAGCAATCAATTGCTTCTCCCTGGTTACCCGTATGTTAAGTCTCTTTTACACTGAATTTTTTTATACTGAATTATTTGACGCTTAATTGATGTTGAATTTTGTTACAGTTTTTTTTAATGTTGAGTTTTTATGAAACAAATATTTTTGAGAGACCCTTTTTATATTTTTACACTGAATTTATCTCATCATTGTGAAAAAAATAGTGTCAGAAATTGAAAGGCATGCTTGAAATTCAATGGTTTTGAAATTCAAAGTCTAATTTTGATTTAAAAAAAAAACCCTCAGCTACATAAATTCAAAATCAGATGGCACAGATTTACTTCCATAAAAAGAAGACCACACTCTGTCGTTCTTCTCAGCTAGCTGCAAATCAGATGCTGTATTATTTTTCTGACAATATACTACTATACTATCAACTGCTCACACAAAACTCAGTAGCTCAGAAAATGTAACATTTAGTGATAAAAAAGGAACAGTTTTGTACACAGTCACCCAGAGACACAGAACAACATCACGACCCATTTCTGTTTCTTTGTGTCATGAGTTCCCTTGTGACAGTCTGTCGTGCAATTAAGCACAAGTCTTGGATGGCCTTCATTTATGCAATCTCCTATAGTCACAGGTTCATCATGAATGAGTCACAGACAGAGAGTACAGTCACTGATACAGTGTAGATGAATGAAAACCAAACATGACTCTTTTAAGTTTAAAGGTAAGTGTTATATGAAAGTTCGCTTTACTCACGAAGCTTCACCAATATTAACACTGTGAAGCCCAAAACATTTCAACCTTTGTTGATTATTCAAATTTAAAATGTTGGTGGGGCTGAATCACAGATGACTAATTATGGTCATGAACTTTAGTGTGCATTGTGAAATCACCTGAGCAGAGGCACAATCTCCTGAATCAAAAAGCTGAATCATTGGCTGTGCTTTTTATCTGTAAAGGAACAACTTTTCTCAACAACTGTTTTTATCAGATGTCATTCTGAAAGGGAACGACATCATGTCTCATTCTTGGAAGCTTATTTTAGTTACTCTAAAGCAGATTAATAAATTCAATCTACCATTATCTTTCTCTCAGTAATACAGAAAAAAGCTTATATTACCTGACCTACCATCTCCTTGTCTTTACTTCTTATTAAAAACAGCAATAAAGTGACAAAACTGACATCTAGCCAATTATTTTATTTTTTCCAGTCAATTTCGCTGTCATACTGAGCTGTAGGTTATATTCATACGCTGTAGTTACTCATCACTGTGACTCGACTCTGTGTGGCATCATGCCAAGTGGGATGTGGCTAAGAAGGATAAGAACTTTATGATTTCCCGGATAAGTGACTCATTCAAAAGCAACTCCTTTCATGACTCACTTGATAGAAGTCACAGCAGCAGTACATGAAGGTTTCAAACTTTAATCCCTGCCTAATTTTGCTGTAGGGATTAGTGGAAAAATGCCTCCAGAAAAAGACGATGTTAAACAATTTTAAATGTTCTGTTTAAACGATGGTTCTCATGTATTCAGAAAGATCTTCCGTCGACTGTTGGCAAACGCTTTACCGCTTCGTCTTACTCACGCGACCAGTTCACCCAGTTCAGCGCGCGACTCATATTAGATGGTCACTTGTTGGCGTAAATTGAGTCGTCCATAAAGCTTCCCGCACCGGTATTTTATTCAAAAGGCAACAACTATTACTTTAAAATGTGTGATTATAACAAAGTACCTGGGGCGGTTTGTTGAAAGTCAGACCAGCAAATGTGTTCGCGTCGTCGAGCGAACTATCCGCGTGCCATACATCATGAATGGGAGCGAATTCGGTCGCGCGTCAGTTCGCTTCCAGTGGCTTCGAGAAGTAAAACAGAATCTGTATTAAATACAGCACATCATAAAAAGATTTTAGGAAATCATAACACAATATACACAAAACATACAGTAATTTGTAAAAATAAACAAGCAGCCATAAAAATAAGGCAAACAATGGGCTAATATGATGATAATAATAACAACAACTGCCACAACAACAACAACAACAACAACAACAACAACAATAATAAAAATAATATTTTTTTTTGAGAAAACGTATCATAATAATTCATAAACTTGGTGCAAATTTGTTGACAGTCCAAATAATAACTTTAAGAGATGAATTTAGTTCTTAGAGAACAAAATGATAGGCTAATTAAGTTAATTCAGTTAATTTATTATAACAATATCTTTAAGTTTAAGAGAATAAAATCAGCTGGCATCATAAAAATCTATAAGTTAAAACTCATTTTTCTTCCTTGGCTTTTAGCTTAACATGAGAGTTGCGTGATATCTGTCCGTTTATGGTCCTTTTATTACTTTTATTTTAAATGTTTGTTTTTTTTTACCTGCTTTTATGTATTCCTTTACTCGTGATGTTTTCTGAAGTATCTGTTCTTCTAAATTTTACTGTGCAGCACTTTGGCAAACTTGAATGTTTTTTAAAATGTGCTATATAAATAAAGCAGAATGCATTGGATTGGACTGGACAAGTCCCCGAGTCTTTAGGAGTGTACATGTTAAAAAAAAGCTAGATATTGTTCTTATATTTTCATAAAAACTGGATTTATCGATACGTCAACATCTGTAGTCAAGAGGCTTTACGCCATAGACGTTAACAGGAAATGACGACAGTGCCGAAACAGACGTTTCAGCGAAGTAAAGAATATAAATCGTTTTTTTTTTAAACGTCTCTATCTTCAAAACCTTCTAATATCACACACACTTTGAAAAATATACGGTATTTGTAATTTCCATATTTTCTTTTTAATTCAACAGAAAACTAGTTTGACCTCTTTACCCAGGATGCACTTCGTTCTTGCCATCTTGTAGACTGGCTGTGTTAGGAGCAGAGCGGCAGCAGCAGGAGTTAGCTGTCTGTCTGTTAGCTTCCAGCCGCTCTGGTAAAGTACTGATCTGTCAGCTAGCTGCTAGTAGCAGCTGCCAAAAGTGAGCTGTCCACACGGCGAGAGACAAAACTTCGCCGAGTTTGAGACATTTTCTCTGTCTACCGCTGGATCGTATGTTCTCTTTGAGGAGCTTATGGATTTGTTTACATCATGATGTCGCACATGCTGGCACCGAGGTGGGGAAAACTAGCGATCATCAGCTAACTCAGCTTGTCGGAGAGAAGCACAGATCTCGCTGAGAGAAGAAGAAGAGTGGGCTGTGAGACCGGGCCCTCCTCAGACTCAAGTACCGACAGCAGCTGCCGGACTAGAACTTTGACAAGGGCCTGAGAAGAACTCCGCGACCGGGACACGAGAGAGGCCGACGAGGGTTTGAGAGAGGCCGGGGGAGGAGAGCAGCAGTCACCCCGCGGGACTGGCCCCGGCTGTGACACTTTTCTCCGACAGGGGAGAGAGGAAGAGGAGCGATATGGAAATGTCTTGTGACGGTACGTGTCTGTGTCATTTCCCTCAGTTGTGAATTCTACCACAAGACATTAGTCCAGGACTTGACTTGAAGCAGATAGTCAACATGTCGAAAATGCCAGCGAAGAAGAAAAGTTGCTTTCAGATCACAAGTGTAACGCAGGCTCAGGTGGCAGCCAGCAGCATCACGGATGACACAGAGAGCCTGGACGATCCGGACGAGTCCCGGACCGAGGACGTGTCATCGGAGATATTTGATGTTTCCAGGGCCGACCTGGGGGTGTGTGAGAGGAGTTCATCCGAGGAAACTTTAAACAGCGTGGAGCCTCAGGAGGGCCAGCCGCCCACCTCAGCTCCTGTCAACGGGGGACTTTCCTATAAAACCGTGAGCACTGGTCGTGCCACCCCACACAATTTAGGAAGTGTGACTGCGCCGGCAACAGCACAACCCATTGTTCCTGGTTCATCCTCCCCTGCTACCATTGTTCCTACCAGTGTGGCACCCTCTGCTCCTGTGAGCACCAGCTGTAGTTCACGTTTTAGGGTCATCAAACTTGACCATGGTACCGGGGAGCCCTTCAGACGGGGTAGATGGACATGCACTGAATTTTATGAGAGGGATTCAGATTCAAATAGAACTGTGGATAGCATAAAGCCAGCTGTAACCCTTGATCACAATACAGACAGGGACAGTGGACTGGGGACGATTAGTAACTCTGTGATCACTAGCTGTGCTTTTTCTGTACAAGCTTTGGAGAACACAGCAGACAGTGGCTACTCCACTGGGCACCATGCTCACACCCATCCTTCAGAGCCTCTGCAGCAAGGTTACAGCTTGGCCTCTCAGATTGGAAACGGGGCAAGTGCCTTCAAGCCCACTGGGTTTACAAGTACAGCATCACAGCAACCACCGCAGGCTCAGGTCAATATCCAGCCCGTTGCTCCTCAGACCATCCTCTCAAATAGCCTCAATGGTGTGCAACAAGTTGCCATGCAGCAGAAGTCTCCCATCATGCCTCCTGCTACACAGCCCCAGCAGTTTGCTTATACTCCCCATCCCGCTGGCCTCTCTACAGGCCAGACAGACTATCATCAGCAGCACTTTGTCTCAAGCACTCAGAACCTTCCCATGTCGGCCGTCCCTATGGGGCTTACAACCAGCCAGGTACCCTCGCCTCTAATTACCCCCGCTGGTCCAGGAGCCCAGGGGCTGGGCGGAGAGGCAGCATCTGCCCAGGGTCTCCTGCTACAAGTTGGGAATGCAGCAGCCATAAACCACGTCCTTTTAGGAAATGGCCCCCACCAGCCTCCAGGTGGGATAAGCAATGCTCCTGCACCATCAGTCACCACAGCCGCCTCACACAGTGTTGTTCAGAATGCGCATGCCACAGTGCCCACCACTACCAACATCCTCCCAGGTGTGCTAAGTCAAGCATCTGGGACAGGAGGACTGGTCCAGCTCCAGGGGGCCCATGGAGGAGCAACAACAGGCCTACCTTCTGTCTTCAACAACCTGCCAGAAGATAGCAGGCACAAGATTGCTGACCCCATATCTGGTGCTGTTGTGGTGGCGGGAAAAGATGGTGTGAAGCCTTTCATTGGCGAGGGCCTCAACCTGCCCACTCCTGCTGTCAACAGCCTGTTTGGGATCCATATCACCATGAATGTGGATGAGGACAGGTAAGAGAGTATCAAGAGGGAAAAAGAGTCTAAGAAATGTTTTTTAAAGTTATGTTTGATGCTCTCCTCTAAAAGGGAGCAATTACAGACGCAGTATTAATATAAAGATATAGCATCTCACAGTCCAAAGAACTCTGCTAGAAAAACACTTTCACTTGTACAGCACTGATACATTGTTTGAGGTACCAAGTGTGTATCTGGAAGTTTGCCCTTCTATTAAAAAATCTTGTTACATTCTGCAACAGTGTGGTCATACCCAACACTGCGGCGAATGCCTCTCCCTTCACCAATACCAAAAGTAGCCACACTATAACTAGAAGTGCTCAGTTGTACTAACAGAACAATAAAACGGAACACAGATTTTTCAGAGCCCTGTTTGTGCATTTAAAGCTGTAGTCTGGGAGGAAGAAGAAGAGATTATGGGGCATAGTGAGCCAATGAAAACTGGCAGGAACAGGAGAAAATATTCAGTCTCTTCATTAATAGGCAACCCACAAAACCCTGGATAGTACCTCGCCTCTTCAGACACCCACAGCCCCCTCCCTCAAGCTTCTATTCAGCCATACAGGCTGTTAGAGTTTAGGGGGCGTTAACAAGCACTTGGATAAGTTACAACACTCGCAGTAGTTGTGTTTTGAAACTAAAAAATCTCCTCAAGCGCAGACAGACTGTTTTTATTCTTCTGCCTATTGGCTCTGCACAGTAATCCCAACCTCTTTTAAACCTTGTAAATACTCACTCTTCACTTGCCTACAGTATTATTCTAATGTACACTCAGTGGCTATTTTTAGGGTCTGTCTGATGGCCCTCAGTCAGCTTGAGCTGAAGTGTTGCCACTCTTTGCCATGCCACACAAGCATGGAGAGTTGGAGAGGTGATTATTTGAGCCCAGAATGACCCACATGAGAGTACACACATGTGCACAGTGTCTCCTGTGTTTGTGTTGGCCTGAGTGTTTATCTGTGTTCCCTGTCCTGTTCTTCAGCCGTTATTATGAATGGTACAACTAGAGGAGGTGTGTGTGTGTGTGCTCAAAGAGGTCCGATTTCAATCACTCACAGCTCAGATATTCTTGAAGCTAATCATTGTTAACCGAACAACTTAATCCGAGTGGCATCACGTGTGGGTCAAGTTTGCGTGGACTGCCGGAAACATTGTCTGTTGTCGCTGATTTCGTCAAGGAAACAGCCGGTGCCCATTTCTCTGGCTATGCCTCAGTGTGTAAGCAGGAGGGGTGACATCAGTGGCTGCCTGCGTAACTATGGTGATGCTGGCAGCAGGACAGGACATGTCAGAGAGATGACAGGCAGATGGACACACAGACATGGACCTACATCAAACACTCACACACCTTTGGTAATGATAGCAGGCACGTAAGCTGGTGATGACATAGCTGGACTGAATCAGCACTATGATGTCTGGGTTTAGCTCTGCTTCTCAGACCTCAGTCCTTGTTAGGCCCGTCCATGTTCATGTTTACACGTCGGCTTAACACAGTCTTGACTTGTAGCTAACCTGTTGGAGTGTAATCTACTCTGCACCCGTCTACATTTAGTCATTCTTCCAATAGACTGTTAATTGTAAGTTATGCTGTTAATATTATCATCTAACAACTACCCCCTCATATGGTTGCTGGTTTTTAGAATAACAAGATGCATTTAGTGTCTTTGTTGATGGTGTCCTTTGCTTTTGTAGGTCAGAAAGAGGCATAAAAGGGTGCTGGTTTGGCCTGGTGGTTAGTCCAGGTGCCCCACAAGCAGAGGCTGGGGTTTGTGCTCAACACGCAAAGGAAAGTGTTATGAGTATCTGATTCAGTCCGATTCAAAACATGTGAAAAAGTCTTCACAGGAGCTGTACAGTTGCAGTGATATTGCCAAACAGCCAGTAGCACTTAGTATGTCTTTGTCAGTCACTTTGAAATTTTCCAAGACAGACAGGTAAGATAGTTGGCTGCCATCAGAACATTAATCTTGCATCCCCTCTGGTAAATCACATAGCTGGCATTCAATTAAAAATCAGTCACTCACTTTTTATTTGCTTACAGGACCAAATCACATCAAAAGTTATGTATGACACTCTTGTACAGGCTCCCAGCGCAATCTTGTATGTGTAATGAAACAAAGCATTGTTGAAGTGTTGACAGAATCATGTCTGCAGCACGCAATGCAGCTAGCAGGTGTAATGACAAAGGGGAAAAAACATTTTATTTTTTAAACCCTCTTTTTGAGTTGTTTAAACTATCCTTTAGTTCCACAAGGAGATCAAGTGTTACCTTAAATGTCTTTAAATGTACGCTAACTTTCACAGTTTTTTGTTTACTTTAAAGCCATTAACTTAAGGCAGAAAACTTGATCAATCACAAAGACCTAGGTAATGGATCTTTCTTACAGAGTTCCAAACCTGAGGCAGGAGTTTAATTAAAAAAGAAAATAACTTTTCATAAAATTTTAAATCAAGACTTTATGAGCCTGTAAACCTTACATAAATAGTGAAAATAGTACCACAGTTTGTTACTTTTCGTAACTGCTATATATGACCTCAGCCTGCTGCATACATCCACATGTATGTACAGAATTGAATTTTGGTTTACTTCAAAACTTTTGAGTGTAGTTTCAAGGAAAAGTTGTGACGCGCAAAGGCAAGTTGGCATCTACATGCATAATTTTAACTGTCATCAGCTGCAATTAAAATGCCTTGTTAAGTCATAAAGTTCTTGCAGATCTCAGTGCTCACAAAAAAAAAGACGTATCTGAAGGAACACACCCCAGTGTTAGATAAGGATGGTGTGCACAGCCTAAGCCATGTCGAGGAATCTGCTCCGAGTTTCATTGTTTTGCTCTGTTTTGAATTAGTGTGCATCACAAATGTGGAACAAAGCATTGTGGGGGTGGAGTCTCGAGATTAGAATGATTTCCCTCCATCTTGAAACGGTTAGCATCTCTGCTCAGCACGTTGCGCCGCTGCCAAATGAAGTGATAAAGCTGACCCCCCAGGACTAATTGGTTCCTTACAATAGAAGCACTTGGTCTTTAACTCAATTACCTCTTTCAGGGTAGACCACCATCCTTTCCCCATCTATTGTCCCAATTAGGAATGTTATCCATCAATACCTGATTGATTTGTGAAGCAGAAAAACTGTTGTAACTCGACCACTTGAGGGAAATTCAGCCTGACGGATAGTTTTGTGCACGCATGACTTTTTGTCGTCGCTTTTAATTCAGAGGAGCACAACGTCTGACGGGAAATCCAAATGACTAATGTGATTTATAAGTAAATGAAGAAAAGACTTGTGATGAGTTCGAGACACACCTTACAGGTCATCTAATCTGGGAAGATTAATGATATCGAATGAATCAAAGGAGGAATATGTAATGTATCCGAATTAGTATTTTGAGTCATGGTGCTTTTTAATATCTTTGTGAATCACAATGAGCTCCCTGAAGCCTTTTGAAGTTTGGTCATGAACTCCAACAAAGAAGTTAAAACCCTGTGTAACATGTGATGTTGGTGAGCTGGTGCATGTCCTGGAAATATTTACATGAGGTCACGGCTCACCTGTGTTTCTCTGTGATTGTGGCGGTGGTGGGAAGGGTATTTTGAATAACATCTATAATAGTTTAGAAGTCAGTTACCTCAAATCCCCATACGGATCAGGACTGATTAAGTTTGTTTTCAATAGAATAGATCGATTTTCAGCTGTCTGCTTTGAATATCAGACAAAATCTGAGACAGTTCAAAACTCTTAAGGAAGAAGTGAAAATCAAAGAGAAACAGTTCCTCTCAAAATACCTTCATTATCAAGAGGAATGAGTTTAGAGTTTGCTGAAAATCTCTGCCAACTTAGTGCTTTTTTTTTGCCAACAACTGCGTAAAAGAGAAAGAGAGCACCTTAATGTATTGTGTTTCAGTTATGGTTTTACGTTTAATGAATCAGGCGCTAATGACTCACTGCTTTAAGTTTTTGAACCACAGAAAGCGTTATTTTTCGACTCTTCCTTCACTGTGAGGTTTTCGCCTGATTCTTAAACCTCTCTCTTTCTCTCGACACCAGCCTCACACTGCTGCTCGTTGTTTCTCCTGAGAGACTTTCTTACTGGAAACTGTTTGACTTTTTTCCAGAACTAAAAGCGGTAGTTACCTCAGACTTCAGGCTCCGTCGTAAATGTGGAAGAGGGGTAAAAATCTTCCAAGACTCATGAGAAGATAGTTTCAGTGACCGTAAGTAGTTTAGCACCTGCAGGCTCATTCAAAATTACCTGCCTTCACCTTTGTGCATGCATACATATTTACACTTGAGAGCACTCCAGCTCCTTCAGGGTTCGCTGTCAGTTAAAGAATTTTAAATACACAAGGTTGGGTGAGGTTTGCTGTTCCTGGTTCTGGATTTAAAACAAGCATTTGTCAGTCAATTTAGTTCTTTAATATATTTTTGCAGAGGGACTATATATTAGCAACCAAGCTAACGAACTTAGGCCAATGAAATGATAGTAAATAAGCGGCTCAACCTTTTCAACTTGCATTTTACGCCTCTGTGCAAGTGTATAAACTAAAATACTCCTAACTTTATTGTCTAACATACTTTACATGTCACCTAAAGCTGTAATCTGACTGAAAGTTTCATGAAAACTCTATAGGAAAGTGTGTGAGTTCAGCTTGATGGAAATTCTGAGTCTACTGCCTCTGATAGATGTGTGGGCAGTTGCCTCTACAGTTTGTAAAACAATGGTTCAGTCGGTGATGGAGGGTATTCCTGTCGCCTTTTCCGAGGAGAAAAATGGTTATCTGCATTCTCTAAGCAGCCGCCTGTTAATATATGTGAACGCTCGATTGTTTTGAAGCTTAGCAGGAGCTTAGAGGGTGTCTAGGTGTTGAGCTGTTAACGGCTTTCAGCTGACTTTCTGTGTGAGAAAAATATTAGTTAACTTGTCAGTCAAGTGGTGATGAAATGCTCAGGCTCAAGGAGGAAACTTTTTACAGTTTGACTAGTCATCCTACTTTTTTTTCTAAGAAGAGCAGAAAGAGCACGAACGGAGAGAAATGCCTTTTTTATTCAAGCACAGTTTGGATCAATTGTGACCCCCTCGAGTAGAAAAAAAGGAAAAGTGAGAAACCTATAAGGATTGACTGGTTTTGTACCCTAAAAAACTAAAGAAATATTTTGGGGTTTTAACAGGGAAGCCAAACAAAATGACACAAAGGGCGACACGATGTAACTTTCCTGATAAAAGAAGCCCAGCCTGGTTTGTTGTTGGTTGGATGTGCACATGTTTGGGACTTGCACTGTAGCCCTCCCCCTGTTTTGCCTCTTGGCAGTTTGACAGTTGAACACAAAGGGGAGGGAGTGAGGACAGGGTGGGATGGAGAATCAGGTCTTGGATGGAGCGTGTGTCTGAGTGTGTTTGTGTGCGTTGGGGGTTGTAGTTCGGTTGCCGCAATGCCTGGAAACAAGGGAGCAGCTTATTTTCCACAGATAGCTGACCTGCCTGAACTTCCAGGGGACACATTCCAGGAGCCCTGAATGGCTGTGATTGTGGGACGCCCCGGGCTGCAGCCCAGGCAGACGGGTCTGCTTTTGGGGCTGGCCCTGCCTCCTGTCTGTCTCCTTCTCTAATGTGACTGGCCTGTGTCCCCGGCTCTTTTTTATCCCTTACTGACCCCTTCACACACTCTGCTTCTAAATGAGGCAGTTTTCATTTCCTCTGTACAAACGTGTCTCTTTTCGTTTTTATTCAATTAAGGGACAGAAGTTCAGTTCCTACAAAAAACCTCTTTTATTTCCTCTTAAATTCAGGGGGAAAGTTTTGGTATTGTGCAACCGCCACCATATTTTTATGAGCCTAACAATGTGTCAGAGTATTGGCCTATTATGATGTGTCCTGAGACTGCTTTCATTATATGCTAATTTCCAAAAACAGTGCTCCTCTCCTGCAAAGAGGCAAACCAAACAGTTCTCATGCTTGTTTGATTTGCATGAGAATCGTATTTGATTTTAAAACATGTAATGCTTGTTTTGTGTTTCCTGTTCTCTAAACTTTGAAAGATCTGAAGAGGCCAGTGGTGTGAGGCAAAGTGGTTGAATAAGTTAGCATAGCAGGACCCACCCTGTTATCTCAGCGAGATGCGGTCAGGGGATCACTTCCAATTAGAGTGGACCTGCCAAAGCAAGTAAACAAGCCCTCTCCTGGCGGCCTACCATAACTAACTCAGTTTGTGCTGGGAGCCAGGCCATTGAATTGGCCGCAGAGTATGGTGTGTGCTGTTCCAGGAATGAGGACAGTGTGTGCAAACTGTTAGTGTTTGTTGTTTTTTCCTAAATGGTCTCAGTACAGAACAGGTTAGACCCCCTTTTTTCAGAGTGACTGCAGCATGTAAAGTATGAACCGCCCGGTTTCAAAGAAAGCCCTCTTACAAAAGAGAGACCTTGTTGACAGGCACTTGTTACCAGTTGGTCCTTTCTGTGTTGAGAAGTGGGCCATGTTGAACAGAGAGCTTATGTAATTACTGTGTTGTAACAGAATATGTCAAAATAAATCTAATGCCAAGATAATGCCAACCTTTTTCTTTACTTTAAATATAAGTCCCATTAATTCCATCCCACACTTGCCAATTTGAAGGTCCTTTCATACCGGGACTGTTTTTGTCATGCGATTATTTCGGACGTCAATATTTCTTTTCGAACCCGTATCCTGTCAATACAAGCGTTCACATCAGTGACGTTTTCCCGTCCTGCGATATTGCGCCATTTATTTTATCAGATCACGGTCGATTTTTCTTGAGTTTCACATACTGTGTGTCAACCTCTGACCATTCAGATTGCGTGTTGTTGCGACGTCAGATTCACCGGTATATCCAATGTGGCCGACCGATTGATTGTTTACGTGTCGGAGAACAGAGTGCTTTTTGATAAAAAAAACACAAATATTACAAAGATAACGACCTGAAGGACAACTTGTGGAGAGTCATAGCGTCGGATTTCTCATATGACGATAGTTTGTGTGCTTTAACAGTTTGCTAAACGTCTTTGTTTTAACTTTCATCTGTGCAAACGTATGCTAATGGTTGTGACCATAGGCTGTGTCCAAAATGGATCCCTAACCCCTATATAGGTGACTACATGGGGGTTAGCGCCATTTTGAGGGGTGTCCGAAACCTCAGTGATCAATTCCAGTGCCCAATATAGGTGACTCAAGATTTCCCATAATGCATTGCAAAATGTAGTGACCATCCGATGGTCACTCAACGGTGGCAGGCGTCCCGTTATGCATTGCGTCTTGCCATGTAGTGTCCAAAACTTCCGGTAATTGAGTTCACTACATAGTCAACTATATAGTAAAATCCCATATGGGAGTAAGGGGTTGGGGATTGAGTGATTCATTTCGGACACAGCCATAGATTAATGTGCTTATCTTATTGCCTCTGATTGGCTATAAGTGCTGACCGTTTGGCTTGAGCGTGTGATGACGTTTTCAGCTTTTCGAGCCAATCGGAGTCGAAGGAGGCGGGACTTTCCCTGGCAAAAGTCTTCCCCGGGATGTGTCTTTTTCCCCCGAAAAGTCGTAAAATCGCATCGAGCTTGATGTGTATAGTCAGGCGCGTCAAAATTCGCCTCCGGATATTTAGTACTTTTGCGTTCTATATTCATGTCGGCCCCGGTGTGTAAGGACCTTTAAGATGGTTTCCAAAAAGAAAGAGTAGAAATATATATATACGCTGGTGCTCATATATTAAAAATAAAAAATGGCCAAAAACACTTCTGAATCAGCAGTCAGCATGCCAGTGTCAAATTAATGTGTTAAATGTAAAGATAAACATTAGCTGCTGGCACATTATTAACCAATGGGCTGATGTCTGTCAGTAACCAGCACATCCATGCATGCCTGATATAAAGAAATGAATTCGTTGTCACGTGTCAGCCCCTTGTGTTTAATTAAAAAAAAACTATTCTTAATCCATCTCCAAATTTACTGACACTAGGACACAAAGTTGAAGCCCTCAACTCTGTTTGAACCTTTGTGACAGTAAACATATAAGTGTGTTAATCCCTCCTTGACAGCTCCACTTCAGAACTTCCTCATAATGTCAGGCATGTCTGTTTTAGAAGTCTCAGTTCTTTTACAGTAAAGTCAGATTTTTTCAAATAGGGAAGTGAGAAGGAGAGATAAAAGTCTGAAAGTCTATTTTGGAGGCTGTCGCTCTGCAGATTTTAGACACAACTTCTGGACTGTCACCGGGCAGAACTAGTTACATGTCAGGCTTTCTCTGTCATTTTTTTTCAGATTTGTAATCATGCATACGCAAAAATAAATCTCTGAAAGCAACTCAGTGTTTCAGCACGTCTGTGCAAAAATGTCCAAATAAGCCAACCAGTGACTGTAGAAAAAGTGGAGCTGTGCTTTGCAGCCAGTAAGTCTCCCATAGTGGGGGAAAAAGGGCTGAACAACAGTGTTTCAGAGCTGAGCCCCCCTCTCCCCCCTTTAGAGCTCAAGATGTCTGAATAGTGAGTAATGAGGATGTGTGGAAAGCATGGCAGGCAGCTGCATTTGAGTCATCCATCCTCTCTCTGTGCTCTCGCTTGCCTTCAATGGGTGTCGTCGACTGATCGGCTCTCTGGTGTCTGTGACTGTTCATCTGTTCTCCACTTCTGTGTGTGTGTGTGTGTGTGTGTGTGTGTGTGTGCGAGAGACAGACAGTTGGATGGTGGTGTGGGATAGTCTGAAGAGTTTGAGAGGCTCCAAGTTTTAAGAGAAGTGAATTAGAGATTTTGGGTGGTGCTCATGTTTGGCTTCTTCTTGGTGTCTCCAGAGTTGGGAATCTATTTCAGTCAGTGTCAGTTAAATCCACCAATCGCTGCTGTTGTGTTGTGTTTCAAACTTTCCCAAATATCTTTTTTGAAATATAAAACTGGCATAAACTTTTGATTCAATAAAATGTCATTTTATGTTTGATTTCAGCCTCTGAATTATTCTGCTGTAACAAGATCAATCTTATCTTTCTTGATGCAAAAGGAGGAAATAAGACAGCACAGTCTGCTCTAAAGGCCAACTAAGGTCATATCCATTTTGCTGATTTGAATCTCACATCCATGAAGGAAATGGTACTTGCTCTGCAAAGTTTTTTTTGTTTCTGTTTTCAGCTAAGAGAGCTGCAGGTCTTGTAAAAACCGAGATTTCCTGCTTCGCTTTGATGTCCGCTTTCGTATTTTGTTGAACACTTCCTCCCGGCAGCTCATGTTCTGTCTCTCGAATCAGCTTCGTCTTGACTGTAGTGAGCTCTCTGCCCCCCCCATGACGATCCGACCAGTGTAAGGAAACGGACGTGAGTCATTGTGGTTTGGTAGACTGATATCAGTTTATTCTCTCAGTGAAACCGTGGCACCAGAAACAGATGGTACCTTGTTTTATCTCCAAAATCAGGTTGACTTTGTCGAAGGTGCCCAAACTTGTACTCTTATTCATCCAATAAGCCCATCCCACTAAAGTAATTAATCTCCTGGCTTTAGTCTAATAACTTCCTGTAATTATGTCATTATCCTTACATGTTCATTTTGACTACTTATACTGCTGAAATAATCATTTTGAGGTTATTGCATCACACTGTCTCTTGTTTTTTTTTAGAGTAAAGATCTCTCAAACCTAAACCGTGATAATAACGCTGATATGAAGCTCTTTTAACTGTGTCACTCCTCTCTTGTAGCCTTGAGAAGTCTTCATCAGCTATGTTGTCGACCTGGTTAGCACTGTGGTGAGGTGTGATGATGACTGGCTCGCTCTGAACTTTCACACTGTCTCTTCATTTGACTCGTCCTCTAAGTTTAACTTGTTAAAACGTTTCGTCTTCGTTCTTATCATTCACACCTCTTTGAACTAGGCGCACCAGTAAAGAGCAATGTTATCAACTGTAATATTACAGTAAAGCACGTTACAAAGGGATTTTATGGTTTCTCACTGCGCAGTTCTTCAGATCTGTCAATAACTGTTTTTGATTTGAGCGTTTAGTTCTTTCACTGTCCTCTCCCCTCATGTCTGTGTGTTCCTCTACCACCTCACCTCTCTGCCAACCACCCTGCTTCTTGCCAAGAATGAGGTCATCCAAAAAAAACTCCACACCAAACAATGGAAAATATTCGGCTCCCACTTCCTGTGCTGTCAGTGAATGCACCTCAGCAGCAGGAAGTGCAACACGTAGGCATTTTATCAGTGAACCAGGATCACTGCAAACATGTTGGCCTTTGTGACACTTAATGACGGGAATGTTAAAGTAAGTGGCATTTGGAGTCCAGAGACAGTGATTCATAAAAGAGGAGTTTATTATTTTAGAGCAAAATCTATGCTGACAGAATTGTTTTAACCGATGCTGAGGCTGTCATAAAAGTACATTTTCTAGCTTGATCACAGTTGACGCAACAGGCAGTAATGGTTAATCATTTTTTGACCCCAATTTGGCATGTTGATATCAAGCAGCGATCTCGAGTATTGAAGTATGAAGCCAACCCAGCAGTGCTTAAACTGCAGTTCCTCAGGTGTCCTCTTGAGGCTGTCTGGACGCCGTCTGCCTCCTCGCTGGGTGAAGCCACTCCAAGAACAGCACCCTCTGTTGACAGGCTGCAGTATAGGTCATTAATCCCGCCTCCGCCAGCAAAGCTTATGGAGCTGTGGACAAACTTTAGAAATTTATGACACAGAATATAAAATTTTCTCACCCCTGCTTGCGATGTTGACATTTGGTTACAGCAAAACTGGTTTGTGCTCAAGTCCTCTTTTTTTCTGTGAAGCTCCGTTTTTAAAAGTTATTAGGGGGTTCATATTTACTATGATTGACACCTGATACAGCCTATCAGCGTTCAGGGATTGCGTTGTTCACTCAGGGGTAAGCTGTTTGAGCCGAGCGTCATCACAGCGACTTTCCTGCCGAATGCGCACAACGCTACTGTGCAATGCTGATTTCAGGAAAAGAAGAAAAATCGCGGAAATACCAAGAGCTATTTGGCGTCAAATCTGTATACAGGCGAACCAAGTTGTCCATAGTTTATACAGTCTATGGTCTGTCTCCAGAAGCCTTGAAATTCTTACACACATCCAACCTGTTGGGTTGTACTCATCCTAACGGCACAAATAAAGATGTTTACAGCCTGGTATGGGGAAAAAATCATTTTTGTCTTTTTACATTAGATGGAAATGATAACTTATACATTCTTATGATATCAGTATTAAGAGATTTGCAAATCAATGCTCAAACCAATCCAGAAAACTGTGAACCAGGCAAAAACGCACAAATTCTTTTGTTCCCAAGTGAATCGTCTGTTTAAAGAGAGCCTGGAGCGGGACACTTCCTGTACTAGAGAACACACTGTATCGAGGAAAGTTTACTGTAGGGCACCCTCTTGTTATGCCCGTTAACACACCCAGTGTACAGCATGCCAAAGGAGTGTGTTGTGATTTGTCACAGGAATCTGCTAGTGTGTGTTTTTTCTTCTAAACAGAGGTATGATTGCCACGGCAACTAGCAAATACAACAGTAGGGAAGACTTTGAGCCAAAGCCAGAGTTTAGATTGATTTGTTATGGAATGATTAGCGATCATTTCACAGGGCTCAGGTATCCTGTTGTTTTTGTAGATTAAGTAATTCGATGGTTTAATTCAAATCTCAGATCATCCTTAGGAAAACAACCGACTCAGTGAAAATCCAGTGTGTTAAAAGATCACTGTTGTGTATGCAAACTGAAAAACATAGTTGATGCTTAAAATGTATTATCAGCTGCATCTAAATCATGCACTGGTGCACCTGAATGAAAAGGTTACGAGCACCACAAAATAAACAATCTTAAGTCCTGCTCAAAACCAAACTGAGGGAACGTGTGTGATAAGATTTGATAGAACAGAGCACAGCTTAATGTTCGGTTTCTGGGTGGAAACTTATGTAATGAGACAGATTACCTTGTGGAAAGTTGCTGCAGAAAAGGGCTCATTCTTCCACTTGGGCGACACATTGATTAAGACGTGAGGCTTGACGTACAGTGCAGCGATTTTAAGGATTAAAGGTCACAATTTTTTTATTTTGGGTTGTATTTTTCACTATAGTTTGATTTTTTTAGTTACTATCTGAAAATGATAAAAAATTAAATCAACTTATTTAGGCTTGCAAACATACCTCTTAAGTCATCTAAAATGTAATTAGTGTTTTCTTTTAGCTTTCCAAGAAATCGTCAACATGTTTATACCGTTCGCAGCGTGACGTCCTGCTCTACATGACCCTTGTGCTTCATGCCAGATCTTAGCGCCTCCATCGCCCTGCCTGCTCACTTAACCCCCCCTGCTCCTCAGGAAAGTCACCATAGAGTGACAGGCTGTCATTGTTAAACACAGCAGCTGACGTGCACAGACAGAAACCGACCTGAGGGCTTGTATGGCAGAGTTTACTCGGCCAGCACCACGCTTCAGGAGCCAATTCTACACTTTATTTAACCGGCTGAGTCAATGAACTTGAGCTCCGTCGGGTGAAATCGAGCTGATAGGGCGGCTCTGTCGCTCCAGGCAGATGTTATCATGTTATCAGCTGCTGCCCAGCTGAATGAGCCACCCTGGATCCTGAATTATACGCACTCATCAGTTTTCCTGGTGACAATTATGTGTAACCCCAGAGCAGAAATTAACACCTTCTGCTCCGGAGAATGCTCATACTGGTGCGACATAGCTTCACTCTTCTTTCACTGACTTTACATGTTGTTTTGTCTTCGCAGAGGTATTCAGGCTTGCTTTTAACATCGCTTAAACTTCAGCTGTGGGTTGAGGTTTTTTAACTTGAGTCATAAATACCCCAACAAACTCCTCTTCTGTGCCCTATGAGCTGTAGCTTCCCGTTGGAGAGTGGGCTGGGTCTGTTCTGTCGGTGGTGGTTGGCTGCACAGCCAGGACACCGCCTCACTCCCGTATGGCCGCAGGCTGGGCTCCCATGCAGAGAGTCAGGTCCCTGATTGCCGCTAAGCCTCCCCCCCTTCTATCTCCCTCTCCCATGACAGCACCTAATAACTGCTTTATGAAAAGAAATCCTCCAACTGCAGGGTTACGCCTCATCCCTGCGTTCAGTTCATTCAGCCCCCTCGGGCTTCAGCCACAAACTCCCATTTTAATTGTGAATGTGTATGTTGCACAATGAAGATAGAGATGTATGGTCATGTGTGCATGCGGGGATAAAGTCCCTGTAAGTCTGTGTGCAGTCAGCAACTTCAAAGAGACATTTACAGGAAAAACCACCTCAGGAAAACAACCCCCAGTCCAAAAACTCAAGTGTTTGCAGCATGTTTGGTGTCAGACTGCCTTTCCTCATGGTTTTCCACTTTAAACATTATTCAACCCGTTTTTAAAATTCTGTTAAAGGAAGGAAATCTAAATCTGTGCCCGTCATTGAGAGCAGGAGCAGCTTTCCTCAAGTGACCTGAGGGGGGGTGTGTTCATTCAGGCCCATGCAGAAGCCTTTTTTCTGAGAGAGCTTAAGGAGTGAATGGGCTTCTCCGAGTCTGTTTATTCATTCTCTGTATGTTGTGTCATGATTGCCAACCTGTCAGAGTTGAGGGGTTTTTATTGGCATACTTGTTTTTATAAGTTCCTGTTTTGTCAGCAGGAAGTTGGAACCTCATCAAACCATCACGGCTATGTGACTTCAGTTGTATCAGATGTATATGACAACTTTTATTGTTCAGAGAATAATTTCATCGGCAATCATGTTATGTAACATCCTACTTCATGGATACTGCTGAAATTAGTTTGGCTTGTTGGGTAAATAGGCTCTTTGTGTGCGATAAACGGTTGTGACACAGTCATAGCTCCTCTATTGACAGGAGTTCTGGCTGCTAAATCTGGTGTCAATCACACATCATGGGAGCAGAAAACAGATATTAAGATCTGTTAGTGTGGTGTGATTTTGCCTCGGGCAACTCAACCCATTGTAAGACCAATGTTTTGGTGTCTTTTTAAAGGGTATTTACTCAATGAGCCTTTCACAATGGCACTTTGATTAAGGAGGATTTTATCTGCATTCTCACACTGTGCAACGCCTACATGTGTGCCCTGTGTTTGTTAGGGTTGTTTCTATATCAACATCAATGAGCAACGCCTTTGATGAATGCTATCAACGGTATCAGATGGTCAAACTGATTGAGAGGCATAATGAGGCACGAGAGACAAGCTAGGGTATGTTGCATGGCATACAGCAGTCAAATAAAAATAATATAATCTGGCATATGTGTTTTTTCATTGGCTAAGTGTTATGAAATTAAAAAAATAAAATTGTCCTTTTGTCATAACAGACACCTTTCTAACTCTGTTGTGACCTCTAACTCTGATCTGCTGTGTGTGTGTGTGTGTAAGTAAAGCAGAGGGCAAGAGTGAGCATGAGGAGAGAGTATTGATCTTGTCGGTTTGAAACGTGGGTGAGTTGTAGAAAATGATGGACAGACAGGGAAAAAATAACTCACCGAATGATTTTCGTTTATTTTCTGTTTTTCAAAGTGTTTGAATGTCTCAAGTGTTAAATGTGACAAACATTGTAAAATCAATGAATAATATTGATGACTTATTGTGATTTCAGAGCTAATGAAAACAGTCATGATCTTACGTGCCAATACAGCCTGGGCGATGTGGGAAAAAGTTCATCACGATATATTTTTTTCATATAAGTCGATATCGATTTAGATATCATGATATAAAAAATGACATTTAACAGTGCTTATTGGTGGCATGTCTTTTGCAATTCAACAAGCTTGTGCATCCATGAGGTCAGTGTGTCCTTTTGACATTTTTTCGTAAGGTGTTTTGCTAGACACATGGTAGAACGCCTGTTGGAAAAACCCATATCCATGTTATGTTTGGTGTGAGCTGTACTGATTGTTGCTTTGTATCTTAATCAGCAGAAGCACAGTCAAATGAATCACCACTAAACTGGACATTTGTATCTGTCTTTTAACGGACACGCACACCATACTCCTTGCCGCTCTAACCTAGCTAAGTCCTGGAGAACGCCCTTCTCTCCTTTTAATGCCGAATATCAAAAAAGCATATCGACCATGTTTTATATTGATATGAGTGAAATTAATTTTCGATATATATATATCATTATTGTTTTATCGCCCAGCACTAGCCTCATTTATGATACAAACTAGCTACAAAACTATCAGAGCACAAATGGTGCAGTATAGACTCAGAGGGTTCAGCTAATCGTAGGCTTTGTAGGAGATCAATTTTTTCTTGGTCTGAATTCACTAAAAACTTCTTTTCTTTGACACCGTCAACATTGATCCACAAAAAAACAAAAACATTCTGAAAATTCCCACAGTGAAACTTCCACCCACTAAGTGAGCATATCTAGGCAGGTCATTGCACTTCAGGCAACCTCAATCACTTTGATGGATGCGATCAGAAAACACCTTTAACTCATTTTAAAAAAAGCAGTCTCGTGCATTTACAGGCTCTGTCAGGAGTCTCATGAGAGACAGACAAGCACAAACCTGAACTGGAGGCGCTTTAGGGCCTCCAAAATCCAAACTTTGGCACATGCAAACTCACTCGGGGTCAAGTGCAGGCAGATCTGCATCAGTCAATTTAAAGGACTAGAAGCTCCTCAAGTTACCCCTGAAGGGGGGGCACGAGAGCACACATCACGTTTTTACTCGTGGATAACTCGGGGCTGTAGGTCAAACTGACAAAAATCTAAGTGTGTATGAATAAGGAAACCTCCCTAACAGCATTTTGTTTTTATCTTTTCATGCCCTTATTTGGCAGAAGTCACTCAGGTATTGGCTCCCAGCAATAATGCTAGTTTCGACGGCTCAAGTAGGCCAAATGTAACGTGACAGAACATATACTCTGCTTTGTTAAGATGACTTTAATGTGATAATCAAAGGTTTTTTTTAAACTTTCATTTAGTGCTGATAAGACTGCTAACTTTATGTGCTATTAATGAGCGTGTTTGTTTGTGCATGTATGAGCAGGCATACTTAATTTATGTATAGAAATGTCAGAAAACAGAGCAATATACCATTAAAACAATGTCAGCAGCAGTATGAGATTTCTTACTTTGCCTGATCAGAGGTGATCAGTTTGTTATCTTTTATAATAAAAGTATTGAGTCCTTTCATTTTGCAACATAAAACCTGCATTTTGTTCTTGAAAAACACACTTGTGCAAGCTGCTTGTTAAATGTAGTACGTGAAGCTTTCAGTAACTCCACAGAGAGGTCCCAGACTAAGCCACAGCAAGAGTAGCTTTCTGCATCAAAGCTAATTTCACAAGTTGCATTTAGTTACCATAATTTCATTTTAATTTCGTTTCATTTTTCATTTCAAAGCCCATTAAAATGCATTTTTAAAGAAGTGTATTTATTATTATTAATATTAGGTACTGTGATGAAAGTTTTGGGTCTATTTGTCAGAACTGTAGTTAAACCACCGATGCTGCTGCTGCTGGCCACCACAGCTTAAACCAGATCAAGTTTGCTGAGATTGTCGGCCAACTTTCATTGATAGATTTGTATTTCCAGGTTGATATCTCATTAGACTTCATGACTGCACTCAGGGCCCACTGTCACTCCTGCTTTGATTATTTTTTCACTTGGCCAGATGTTGACATAACCAGGCTATGTGGGCACTCAGTAGCCTTGTAGTTCTGCTTACAGTTTTTGAAAGAAGTCACACAGGAGGTACGTACAAGGAATCTGAAGGTACCCCACATCAACATGTGGTTATTCTGTCAAACTCAAGACGACGAGCTGAAACAGCAGCACTGACAGCAAAATTTAATGAATATAGGTTTAAAATGTGACAAAATCTAAAAAGCACTTTAGTCCCAAGACTAGGACTAAATCTAAAATAGCTGCCTAAATAAACTCTGGCATGTACTCGGCCAGTCTGTCTCCCTGTCTTCCCTGAACCTTATGAACTTGTCATACGAACAAAATCTCTCCTTGTCCCTATAAAACCAGGTATGCCGGCGATCTCAGTGAGCTGAGCTGCTGTGTGAAAGTATGTTGTTTGTGAGCTCTTTAAACTTTAAACTTGTCGTGTCTAAATTCCTCACCAGTGCACAAAGAAACTCGAAAGTCCTTAGCCTCTGTTTGCGGGGCGTGTCGGCGATAAATCTGTCATGGACTCCAATATGGAAATGGAACCATAATTCACTCCCTGACAGTTATGCGTACAGTAGTAGATGGGTTAGTTGGATTTTCTACTACCTAAAAGGGTTCCTTTCCCCTGCCTTCCATCTTTGCACCATCCCCCAGGATCACACGGCTGGTAGATTGTAATTTATGAAGGTGCAGACAGAAGTGTTAGGTGACATGAACTTAAACCCAGCGGGAGCATGTATCTGTCTGTTTTTTTTTAGGCTGTGGCAGGTTATGTCACCTTGTTAACTCGAGAGTTAACAAGTTTGAGAGTTTGTAATTTATCCTGCAGTTTAACACATTTTGTGACAAATTGAATTAATCTATCAAAGTGTTGTGTGGGGGGGGAATCAAACGATGAAAGAAAGCCTTCATGCCTTCGTGTTTTTTTAAAGTGAACACATGCAACTCAGAGGAACTGTGACTAAAACTGTGACTTATTCAAGTAAGTCGAGTTGATTCCCAGCATGCGGTCCTTTTCTAGATTTGACCTCCGAATTACTTCCTGATAAAAAAGACAAAAAACTAGTGAGTGAGACAAAACAATGGGTTATATTATACAGGAAACAGATCAAATGAGGATAAAAACAATATAATCAAACTATTTGATTCTTTCTTTTCTTCAAGTAGTTAAGAAGGGAGTGAATTAGAAGATGAAACTGCAGTAAAAAGGCTCTTTTTTTGGTCTTCTACTATACTCATTTCTACATTTCCCCTTGTTAACCGCTCATTTTTCGTATCGATAAAGGGCGAATTTAAGCATTTATAAGATTAGACATGTAGGGCTGAGATTTGTTGCCAGGTGATATTAAGAACCCGGTGTATCATTAACATCCCATGAGAGCAATTACCTAAAAGCCGGTAAATATTTGATGCGCCGAGTAATTTTATCTACCCTCTGCCAACGGGAAAACTGCCACTGTTTGAAGTTCACTTTCTATTCTTCAAAAACAGCCTGGCCAAGTGGTAGTAAGCGCACGACTGTCAGAAGAATAAACAGAAGAATACAAAGGTGACTACATGATAAGATCAGCTGTAACTCGGGATGACCTTCAGTGACGTCAGGATGGTATCAAACCACCACTCTGTAATGTTACACAGGAAATAACCACTGTTAGTTTTCTATTATGCTTTACAAGTGTGGCAGGCAAGTTTTCGCAAGTATGAATGAGTCCTAGAATGGAGAAAATACCCATAATGCACTTGGGTTTGATTGGTTTGGATTGAGCCATCACTTCCTTTGACCTCTCTGTGTGGTTCAGGCTCTTCCTCTTCTCTCATTCACTCGCTCTCTCTCTCTCTCTTACTACCTCTCTCTCTCTCTCCCTCTATGTGTTTTCCTTCCTTTACTCATGTTTCTCCTGTCTCTGTTTCCTCCCCCATTAAAATGCAGGAACCCGTCCACTGCTTTCTACCAGGCTTTCCGGCCTAGCAGATTACGAGGGGCAAAGCCTGCCAACGATAGGTACGAGCTCCTCGGGTGTGTTGACATGTGTGTGTTGCTTGGGGCTGGACTGGACTAGACGACTAAACCAGAGCCTGCACACCTTAAACCTTGGCACCTTGCAAGAAAGTACAGATTTTGACAAGTCAACAACACCATGTTTATACAGTATAAATACTCAAATTAAAAAATGGATTCAAAGGTTGCAAATAGGTGCCCGCAGGAATAAAAACTGAACAAACTGGAGATAATTGTGATCAAAGATACTCGCAGATTTACTCTTATCAGCTGCTTTTATTGTTTTAGTCATAAAGTGACAGAAAAAATGAATTACTTATTCACTCTGTTGGCAGACTCCTCTCTGTTAAAGGAGAGACTGTCACTTTGAGACAGCAGATAAAGTGACCGACTCAGCAGCTGTATTTATTTATATCTTTATTCAATTAGGATCCTATCAGTTCACTGCAGTCGAGTGCTGCGGCTCTTCTTCCCGGGGTCCACTCAAGGTGTGGTGCTGTAGGTGTGTAATGCATGCAGAAAGCATGGCATCAAGCATCGGGGTGCAGTTTTTGACACTATGTGGAGCATGTTCAGTGACAACTTTGTGCCAGTCACAGGGATCGGCTGCTCTAGTCGCTCTTACCCCAGCGAAGAGTGCGACACTGTGCCAAGGGGTCTAAACAGCTGATCACGCTGAGATAACATGACTGAGGTTGTGTTGTGTTGCATCGGTTTGTCCTTTTGCACGGTTGTGACAGCAACTAACCCCTCATGCCTGTAGTTATATTTTTGAAATCAACTTGATCACTTGAACTTAAAGGTCAAATTAAAGGTTGATTAAAAAGAGAAGTGAGAGAAATTAGTGATAGATGCAGTGATAAAAAGAGACATTATTTAGGTTTTTCGCCTTATTCAGTATATTATAAATCTGCTGCTTTTCTGTTTGTTTGAGCAAAGTCAATAATGATGAAAGTGATTGATAACGCAGAAGTTAGTCTTCACAGCAAACATTACAACACTAAGAAAACACTCCTTCAAAATGATCTTAAAATCTCTAACTTTGGCACCAGGTTCTTATCTATGATTAAACTCAAATGTATGTGAATGCACATAAAATGAGGAGAAGAATTTTATTAATCTTTCTTTATATCAAAGTCTGTTAATTTTGCATCGTCTCTGGGTTTCTGACTTTCGAATTACTTGAATCAAACTCCGGGACATTTTCATTTACATATTAACAGATTTTATTTCTGTGGTTGGCTTACAATAGACTAGACGCATAGTTGTGGAAGTACTTTTCTAAATGTTTCTTCATTTCTCAGAGGTTGGGCTTCTTTCTGACTTTGATTTTAATTACTATAAGACAGGTGAGTACCTGTTGACTAATGTCAGCTCTTTAGAAAAGTGGATGCAGTCGTTTTTGCCCTTTTCAGTAAATGACTTTGTGGTTTCTAAGTGGTTCGCATCACTCATAACCACTTTCTGTTCCCATGAGCTCTCTCATGGAGGCTGCTTTGGGGCTCTGGCTTTCAGCCACCAATGTGTCATGGCTGCCAAAAAATGGGGACAAATAAACTCTGGATCTGAGGTGGCACTATACTGAAACATGTGGTTGGCTTGTCATGTCATGAATGATCTGATCGCTCAGTTTGGGTTCATTTTTAAGGGCCATCATGGAAATAACAACCAAATCTGAGCATGATAGAGTAGTGGGTGTAGGATGTTTATTCCGGAAAGATAATTCACGTTATGATTTACAGGTGGACAACAAAAATTAGATTGTTCGGACCGAAAAGATCCATCACCTTGAAGAGCTCTCTGATTCAGTTGTGTGCTCTGAATCATAGAGCTGTATATTATTTCCAGTTGTGGTATAGTTCGGATTAAAGTGATTTGTCGTTATTGGAAATTCATTAATTAAACAGATTGATAAATGGCATCATTCCTAGTTTATGTACCATCCCATGATCGTTTATGGCTTTTGGCACTTAAACTGGAAAGATTAGTTCAATAAAATAGATGTAGCTACCAGACCGTGTGTATGTGTGCGGTGCGTGTGTGTTCTGTATGCGTAATTGCACTGTGACGGGCATAGGATGTACCAACATCCACATGACCACATTGTTTTTCAAGCTGATCCGGATGAGAAGTGGACGTTTGTGTAAAACAACAGTAGCAGTTGAGCAAGTGTGGGGTGTCACAAGATGGAGCCCTTTTGTTTGTTCCTGTTCCAGCTCTTATTTGCCTGAAGGCTCTGTGACTAACAGTGCTGCTTTCTTCTAAACGTCTGCAGCTAACCGCAGGTAAACCTGAGGGAGCCGCCTCGCTCCTTTTGTCCTGTGCCTGATCTCCTGCAAGGTTGGACTTGTTGAAAGTGAAGGGGGGATAGAAGAGCATTCCTGGTTCTTGAAAATGTTTGCTTTGTAAAAAAGGGAAAAACCTCAGCTGGGCAGTGTGCCCTAACATCACTGTAGCTTTTAGTTAAACACCACTGATGGCTGCTTTAACCATTTGTGGTGTTTTGCACAAGTTTCTGCCACATTGTGGGCATCGAGACATTCTTGCATGTTTGTCCTGACCCTGACAATGCCACATCTGCTGCAGCACTGCAGGCTCTAACTGGGTCACGATGATTGTGAAATAATGGGAAGAATCATTTTTGTAAAACCACAAATCATATATCATCCTTTTGTAAACCTGCGAGAACACTGCCAGAGCGTGAGATATTCCACTCTGTGTGTGGAGAAGAACGTTATGATGTTAATAACATTTTGACAACATCTCATGACAAATTCAGAGTAGAAAGTTGAGGTAAAAGTAGAAAAAGCTCGTGCAAATGTTGGTCTTTTTGGAAAAGACGTGTCAAAAGATAGTCAGTTGTTTACTTTACTGACAAACAGTGTGGGAATTTTGGCCATTACAGTTTCATACTGTAACTTTCTTCACTTTTTTTCACAATAATTAATTTTTTTGAACAATTTTTTTGTGTCTCATTAAAAATATGCCTGAATGCTTGCAAGAGTCAAACATTGTCATGGTTTCTCGATTTATCGTTCTTGCAAAAAAAAAAAAAAAAGTTTTCTATAAATGATGAGACAAAATGCAATATTTCAAGAGCAGGTGTAGAAAATTTGAGGGTCAATTTTCACTTCTTTCTCAGTGAGATTGTAGAAAATTGCAGCTCTAAATGACAGAATTAATACACATTTTTTACCACATAAATCCGTATCACACACCCCCTCGCAGTTCTTCATGCCTAAACGAATCCTGATATGTATATAAAAGCTCACTGACCTATTTTTCTCATACAGCTCAACCAAAAGCTCTTTTACAAAACTGTTTAACTTATTCATATTTCAGCCGCACTAACACACTCTGCATTTGTAAACATTCCTGTTAAGTGATCTGTTGGTCGGCTGAATGGAATCATTGTGCAGCTGTGATTGTACCAAACCAGGCAGCAGCAGCTCTTTTACCACCCTCAGTCCACAGTGATCAACTTTATGATTATGGACGACAAAGAAAAGACAGATTTATATTCTGCTTGACTGCACCTGATCAGTGGCCCCAGGCTAAGCCGGGGGGAGTTATTTGATACAGACCAGGTATGTGAGTGCTGTTTATGACACAGAAACAAACATTTCATTATTGGGTTGAGAGAAACAGGAAGGTTGGACGTGGGAAAGCTGAAATTTCACTAGCTAACTCCTTCTCTTTGACTCTGTTGGTGAATTTCCAGTGGCAAGCCTTTCTTATTAATTTATTTTTAGACAAAATTGGTTGTTTATTGAGCATCTTTAAATGGATTTTCTCCAAATAGACCATTTTTCTTGGCAGAGACTCAAATTGAATCAGCTTCCCGTCATACAAATGGAAAACAAACAGACAAAAATTCACTTTGTAATTGCTATCATGCCGTGGGGCATATCCTCAGAAGACCTTGCCAATTTAATTTTGAGGTCTTCTTCAGAGCGCACAACAGTAAGAACATAATTTTGGACAATTACTCAGCAATTTAACAGCTAAACTGTAACTGCTGAGCTTCAGTAGACATGACATGACTTGATGTTAGCCAGGGCTCTGATCACATACTTAACAAGCCTATTTAGACCGAAGGAACAGTTGATGGATGGGGATCCTAACCATGAAAGATTTTTACCGCTTATGTAAGAGACCTCAAGTCTCAAAGACGGCATTGTTTTGGAGAGACTTTCTCCTTCGTTCAAAGTTATCTTCAGAAAGACGGTTGATATTTGACCTTTATTAATACACTAAATGTTTACTGAACACACATTGCCGTCCCTCCTTCAGCACCCTCTTACTCCAGACTCTGACAGAGGCATTCACACCAAGGAAATATGTAAGGTAACCAAAGGCAACCATTATTTTCTATTTGAAGAAGTCTGTTTTGACCAGAAGCCTTCAAACTGCATCTTCATCTGCGTGATGCCGAGTCATATGTGAAGCTAAAGTCTTGCAGATGTCTCATCGAGACCAGTGTAAGACTTTGGCTAAGACCATTGTAACAGGCCCTCTGTTTTTGCCGCATAGCGCCTAATGACATTAGCCTGACCCAAACCCTGCACTTCAGAGACTAAGCCCAAAATGAGGCTAAGTCCTTGATCCGGTGATAAATGCTGTGCTGAATACAGTGGCTCGTTAGCGCGGAGGTGCCAGGATTTTCCCATTAAAGCCTCTGGAGTAACTCTATTACTCTTAACACATTCCAGTGGGCTCTTAGTCAACATGAGCCAAACTAGAGGCTCAGGCACCGAATAAGTCATAGTGAAATATGATCCAGAGGCCCATGGTGTAAACTGAAGATCTGGCTTTAGTGGGACCCAGTTTAGGAGTGATTATTTTAGGGCAGAGGGACCCCTGACCTGGAACCCCCACTGTGTTTGCATATGGAGTTTGATGGTCACATTACATTGCAGCTCTTAATCATTACTTCAAACGCTGTAGGAGAGACTCAGCAACCTTTAACAAACTTCCTCGCTGCAAGTTATTTCAGCCGTCTCACTGGCTGAGCTAACAAGGCCAGTCAAAATTTAGGAAGATGTTCCGCTGTCTTGAGAAATCAGATCTTATCATCGCCTCTATTGGACCCCTGAGGTTCTTGATTCATTCTCATGCTCCCTGCCGTCCGGTCCATCCAGTGCGGTGTCTGACAGAGGTCCTTTTGGGGGTTCAGCTGGTGGGCTTCGAGCACGTCATGAAGGGACAACATACATAACAAGATGTTTGTGCACAAGTCTGGAGATTATGCAACAGGCGAGGGTGCGAGTGGGACAGTTCCGACAGTCTGTTTTCGAGGAAGCTCGGTGGCAGCAGGCACACCTACTCATGACTCTGATTTAGTGCTGGAAAAATAAAACTCCAATCACCAGACAAGGGTTTCCTGAGGTCTGTCTTATTTTGTTTAGTCTCCATTGTGTCATAATGGACCACCCCGTCTGAAGACCAAACCCCTCAACAATGCAGTGACCGAAAAGTGCTCCACATTCAGGAGCGCAAATTAACATACTTCAGCATCCTGCAATTGTCACCCACTACTGTTTGAAGATTTACACTGTAATAGTGACAGAAGGGGTTCGGCCGGATTCTTTCTTTTGGCTATTTTTGTGAAATACGTCAAAGTTAGGAATTTCTGAGGCGCTCCTTTAGATCTCGTCAATTTTGACCCTTCTGGGTAAACTCAGGTTTCAGGTTTTTGGTTTGAGCTATGACAAGCATGCTGAAGTTATGTAAGCCTAGTTTTACACACTTCATGATAAAACTGACAGTGGACATGAGATTGACAACAAGTTTGTTCAGATTTGTTGTAGGAAAAAAGGACTATTTCTCAAAGACCCCTTGTTCATGGTTGGCCCCCTCAACTTCCCCTGTTGTGTAACATCTGTTGTGCCTTCCTCAGTAACAGGGGTGCAGTGTTAGTGAAAACGACGAGGAAAGTTGCTGCCAAGATGGATCAAAAAGACAACAATCAAAGAAGTGTGGGGGTAAATAATGGGTGAGGGGGTTATTATCAGAAGTGGACCTCTCATAGCACAGCTGTTCACACCTGGTCAGGTGTCAACATACCTCTCAAAATGCGCCAGCAGGGATCACTGGTGATGGGATGTCATTTAAATGCTCCATATGCAAATAATCATGAAACCTGTTCATGCTTAGTAGCCTCTGGCTTACACGTGAAGCAGACCGAGTCGGAGTCGTAGATGAGATTGTGCTGTTTACGCAGTCAGGAGCAGATCACAAAAAAAAACGGGTCATCTTTAACAGCTTGTTACCTCTCTGATTGCTCTCACTTTGATCCATGTATAGAGGAACTTCTACATTGTTCTCTTCACTTTCACATCGTTGAAAGAAAGGATTAAGAGATGTTACGTCAGCAGGGAAAGTTTAGTTACATGAGCGGGAAAAGTTTAGTTACATGAGCGAGGAAAGTTTAGTTACATGAGTGGGAAAAGTGTAGTTACATGAGCGAGGAAGGTGTATTTACATGAGCAGGGAAACCGAGTTACATGAGCGGGGAAAGTTTATAAGCTAAATATGTCAAATTATAAGAGGGTTCTCTTCAAACAGGCACAACTTGCCTGGTCTGCCTTACTTTACCTCGTTACCACGGAAGTCAGATGTCGGAGCTGAAAATGATGTGACACCAGAGTTACCAGCGTTTCAGTTACCAAGTTGGAAAAAGCAAAATCGGAGGGGGAAACAATATGGCTACATCTACGAAAGTTATTTTAGCTCTTGACTTGAATATAGCATATATAGCAAGGACAAGCCATTGTGAAATAACTTTCGTAAATGTAGCCATCTTGTTTCCGCCTCTGAGTTTGCTTTTTTCCGACTTGGTAACTGAAATGCCGGTAACTCGGATGTGACGTCATTTTCAGCTCCAACATCTGACTTTGGAGGTAACTCGAACGCAGCATTTGTATCCAACATGCTTAGCTGTTGACTTCTTTGAGTGTTGTCTTTTTAGTAAAATACCATGGCACAGTAAACTGTCTCTAGCTGCACTTGATCCTGGTGAGATGACCACTTTAGTCAGTATATGAGCTGCAGTCCAGTTTTTTGTTAAAAACATAAAGGCCTGTCTTAATCACGTATGAATGGTTTTGTACTATTGTTGGTAAAATCAGCATGTAGGACTGTTTTAAAAGGATTTGTTCTCTGTCAGTGAGGCAGATGATCATCAGTGTTCAAGGCCTGGCCTGCAGCATCCCACACTTGTTTTGACATTTGGCAAACCGAGAATCCACTTTCAGTTCCTTTTAACCTTTTCTCAGAGCATTTTTCATACACTATAGAACGAGTTATTTGTGTCAGCGTTAAAGCTTTGCATGCTAAATCACGGCTTTCAAGTAGATACAAGGGTAAATGTATGAAGCATGGTTCACAACAATTGGAATTTAAGGAACGAATGAGGAGACTGCTGAGAAGTATCAAGTTTATGCTTTAAAGAAATAAAAAAGTCTTTCTTTAATTTGATTTTCGAGTACAGTTCAATAGGGAATAAACCTTAGTACCCTTTCTCTATGAAGAATTGGAGCCAAGTTTGACAAAAATGTGTTTGAGGAGAGTAGAAATCCTAACACTGTTATTGATACAGGAATAAAAAATAATTAAATACATTAACCTATATCCACTAGGAGTTTGATTCACAGTAAGTCTAATCTTCTTCCTCACATGAATATAATCTAATGCCTGGCCCAATAACTGACGCTTGAAGTTACTGTAAATATGTGGACACCCCCACAGGACCTCCAAATGCAAAACAAGAAGATCTTCGTCCTCTTGTACAAAAGAGAGAAAGAGACTTTATCTGTGACCATGACAAGATCGTCTCATTCACAGAAATAATTGGAGACAAGATTTTGAAACAACACTCCCGTTTTTCAGCCAGCTCGTAACATATCGCAGTAAATTTTAAGCCTCTAAGCAGATTCCTGCCATGACAATAGATCCATTGTCATCACTCAAGAGAGATGTGACTAAGCTTCCTTTGCCTGAAGCCTCCCTTTTGCATTTTCATCATCTATATGAGTCGATATGTCAAAGCTAATTGGAGCCTCTGCTGACCTCATCTGGTGAAGCAGCTGAACTGCGTCTTTCTCCCCCGGACGCCCTGAACTCTGGGCTGAAACCAGCCTGGAAGAGAAAAGACTGTTGCTTTTTGGGGAGTGCTCCTCTCTTTTGTCAAAGCCCCCATCCTCCATCTTTTGTTTTGAAATACACTTGCCAAAGAGGGAGGGGAAGGGTGGAGGGGGTTATCTCCAAGAGGCTGAGGTCTGATTTATGCAGCTGTGTCCCCCCACAGTGGGTGTTTGTGTGCTTTGTGACAAGGGACGTGTGCCGGCTCATCCCTGCCTTAATGCAGAACATGTTCGATTTCTGCCTGTTTTAGACGTCACATGATACACCAAGAGAAGTAGAGGAGACTTCCCTTTGCTCCCACACATATCCTGCTCTCATATATACAGTTCAGACTCTTACTGTGTGTGAGCAGGTAGACACACGCACAGACACGATGGTGAAGAAGCTAGCTGCTATCAGACAGATAACTTGTGTTTGCAGGGCTGTTTGGATAAATTGTCCTCAGTGTGTTGTCACAGCATGAAGGTGGCTCTGACACAGATGTCTGGATTGAGAGGCTGTGGCCCCCAGGCCGGAGGTGTCCACTGTTGGAATGTGCCTCCTTGTGGTCCTGCAGACTTTGTTTGGGGGAGATGAGTCCATGTGTTCTGCCTCAGACTGCAGAAGAGGGCTTGTGTCGAGGTTGACACCACAAGTGGTCCTTATATAAACCACCACATGTCTGCCTCTTTTAATCAAATGTACAGTCTGATTTGTTTTCTTTGGACACTGAGCAGCAACAAATGAGTTTAAGCTTTTTCTTCGACTTTTCTCCAAGTTTCCTCAGGCAAAGAGCCCTTGACTCTGATCCAACCTGCATGTCCCTTGTTTTTTGTTGTTGATAAAAACACATTCCAGCCGAAGCCCGTTGACATTCTTCGCTCTCTACGTCCCAGATGTGTTAAAGCTTGCTCAAAAAGGAAGATAGCTGGCGACCTCACGTTTTTAATCAGTCCTAAAATCACACGTGTGAGTCACCCGATGTGGAATTCAAGAAATTCACCCCAGAGACATCAGACAGTTTGGAGGCTGTCACGCTATTCATCAAATCCTAAAGTAACCATTAAATGTAGCCCAGCTATTTGAGAAGAAGTATATACCTCGTTTTTTTAAATCATTGCACCGCCCTGGAAAAAAATGAAAAGACAGGGACTGAAGGGTTTATGAATTTTGCTTTTTGGATTTATTGACTTACAGGTCAGATAAAGAGAGACTAAAGCACTGATGTAACTTATAAAAGGAAGATATCATAACTATGAATGTGGATGTCTAATCAGTGCTAGATTGAAGCACATGCAAAATTGACTGGAAATAGTTTTCTCTCACACTTATGGTTCATTAGTTGCGAAACATGCCAAGACACCTAAAGTGGAATAGCCTACAGTTCTAGAGGGATAACGGCTAATTTAAGGGATTTGGCTGCACGCCACAAACAGAACATGTTTTGCTGCAGAAGTTTATCAACTGAAGATGTCTCCTGCACTTTAAAGTAGGGACGCACCAATCCGATATTTGATGTTGGTATAGGTCCTGATACTGAAGAAAAATCTAGATCGGGTATCGTGACAATGGGCCCAATGCTTAGGGGCTGATCTATTCAGTCATCCCTACTTTAAAAAAATGGAAAATAAGGTTGAAAACATGCGAAAAATCCCTGATGTGTTGTGGTGTATTAGTGATAGAAATACTTTGGATACTAAACAATTACATGGAACTTACACTAGACATGAAATTGAGATGAGAGGTGGTTCATCTGGTGCATAAAAACTAATAGAACTTACAAGATGAACTCAAACTCAGACAGTTGTAAAAGTTTCTGAGACAAAACAGAAACAAGGTCAGCCAGGCGTCTTTGTCAATACATGCAAAACCCTGTTTCTTTTTTATGAAGCCTTAAGTGCATAATTTATGACCGTAAATAACTTACAGGGAGTAAATGAACTTAGAAAAAAAGGAGGTAGGAGGGGGAGGGAGGCTGAACTCCTCCCCTTTGTTTCCTCACCATGTGACCCAAGCTGCGAGTTTTAAGTCTCACCCTGCTCCTTCTCAAACAAGAGCAGTCCGTGTTTGAACTCTCAGAGGAGTTGTACGGCTGGAGAAAAACTTTTGAGAAACTTTAAGAGAAAAACAAAAACAAGTCAACATGCGGTGCAAAATGAGCTACAGCCTGCCCTGCTCACCAGGGAGCTCTCCAACCTATTCAGGACGATTGATGACTTACAGAGCCAGATGTGCCAGGTAATTTCATTCATGTGCTTATAATTCTGGAGAGTACTACTCTTTAGTTTTATGATCCATACTTTCCCACTTTAAATCCACGGATTTTTACACCTCTAGTTCTGGTTCTAAGTTTGTGATGTGTTATGCGTTAGTGCCAGTTTGCTTTCCCTGTCTGCGGCCCGCATGTTACTGTGTTTTTCCAACAGCTGCCTGGTATTCAGGTCAGCCTTCGTCTTCTCTCTCCTTCTGTGGTTGGTTGATTTAATGGTTGTGGCACTCCAGTATGTTTTTTTTCCCTTGTAAGCGTGGCATCTGTTTGTAGTTTATTTAGTGGTACGTCCTCTCCGGGGGGGCTGGTCTCTGCGCGCTGGACGTGCGCTCCAGCATGGAGCTGCGTCCTGGAGCTGATGGCGCTGCTGGCGTCAGTGTTATTGTTTATGTTTACATTATTTTACACGCGGGATTGTATAGTTTGAGTGAGGGATTAAGATTTCTCGAGTGTTTTCATGTTGGTTTTACTATAAACATCAACTTTACGCACAGCCATCATATTATACCCTTATAAATTGAGTGTAACTTGCGTATTTTAGATGTCATACACTGTCCCAAACCTCCATAAAGCAAATTTATGACTATACCTGTGTCAAATACCTCACTTTTTTATCAGTAGTAGACCCTCTTTGCACATGTTGTTCCCCAATCCCAGAGCTCCGTCTAGCGGCGTGAGAAACGTGCGGTGCCTCCTCTCAGTATTTTCCTCTTTGCATCCACATCCACCCGTGATTGTGCAAGACCCTCGCTGAGACGGATGAGGATTTTGTGATTTTTTTTGTCCTTCCGTAGAGTATTTGGCATCGTTTGGTTGCACGCGGATCTCTAGCTTGGCTTAGTAAGTTAATCGTCTTTGTATATGTGTGTATGTGTGTGAGGTTGTTGGAAACGTTAGCGCCTTTCTTTCCTTTCTCAGAGGAGCGGGGGCAGGGCGGTGGAGATGGTGGTGGTGGTAACAAAATGTTGCACCATCGTCGTGTTAAAGTGGGTGAAGCCTGCGAAGATGCTTCTCATTTTAGGAGGGGATGATAAAAACGAGTTTTCACAGAGATTAGAGGACAATGAGATTTGGAGATATGGTAAATAGATCAGGCTAGTGGCGACATGAGCCGCACCCGCAGCAGGACTCCTGCAGGAGAGGAGCCACAAAGGCTGCCAACTGAGCTTCAACCACAGAGGAGTGGTTAAAGCCGAAAACATCATGTTTTCAGTGTTTTTATCAACGGAAATACTCTAATGAATCAGGCTGGGGTTTAAAGTATTTCATTGTTTGATTTCCTTTGTCTTGTGAGATCCTTTCAGACAGGTGTGGCATGACCTCATTCACATGTTTATATGTGTGTTATCATCATTATCATCATCTGACTCCTCAATTAAACAGTCTGACTTAATTTATGACTTTAGTAACTGGTTTGAATGACACCTGGTTTTTATAAGCCAGAAGCGTTAAGGCAGGTGCCTCAGTAGCTGCTGTCTTGAGTGGAAAATTACACCAGGTGGTGTTTTTTTTTTTTTTTTATAAAGCTGCCACACCTTACAGCGATTCTTTAAAAAAAAAACTATCATTTAAGATCCGATCTTGTATTAATGAACATAAATGGAGGCCCTGTTTTTTAAGTCTCCTTAACATCCTTTTTGATCACAATATCATCAAGCTGAGGTGCTTTTTGGGGTTTGAATTTTGTGGGTTTTTTTTTAAGTGTGATAAAAGTAGGATTTTGTCTTTTTTCAGGGGAGTCTTGTGCATTTCATTTACCAGTGAAATCCAGTGAGGTCATGGTTATCGCTCAAAGACCGGAAGTGCCATTTGATAAACGTGAAAGAGCTGATATGAATCAGAAGCATGCAGTGAAAAAGAGGATGTGTATCTTGTATTCACTCGTGCTCTATTTCTCTTCACAGTGCATCCGGTGCCAGTGTTGTCGCCATTGATAACAAGATCGAGCAGGCAATGGTGAGTTTATTATTTTTACATATAAATAGATATCATGTGGTAATCGTTACCATTAATGAAGGAGTTTTGAATCTACCTTTGCTAAGCAGCACAACAGACTCTGAAGTGCAGTTCATGAACTTTACAAAAGCTGCATTTCTTGTTCCTAACAACCAAATTTAGGTCGACTTTTTAAAAAAAATCACACTAGAAAAACTAGTCTGTGCAGTTTCACTGACAGGTGACCTCGAAACCCTCTCTAAACTAGCTGTCAAAAGTAAAGGTTAGACTTTTAAATTTATGGATCTGAGCTAATATTGAGTTTCCCTTGTCTTCCAGGACTTGGTGAAGAGTCATCTGATGTACGCTGTCCGTGAGGAGGTGGAGGTGTTGAAGGAGCACATCAAAGAGCTGTACGAGAGGAACTCTGTGCTGGAGCGCGAGAACGCCGTGCTGAAGTCACTCGCCAACACAGATCAGCTCGGCCAGCTGTCCACTCAGCTCGTCCAGAGCAGCAGCAGCAGCAGCACGTCGCCACCGCTTCAACAGCAACACCAACAGCAGCAGCACCCGCTCGTCACAAACAACAACAACAACAGCATCGCTCCTTCGGTTCACCACGAGGGGAGTCAGAGCGTCCCCCCTCAGCCCAACATCACCTCGGCGTGATTCTCCCCCTGCTCGTACTCCAGAACACACGCTCAAACACACCTCACCCAAGCAAGCAGGAGTGGAAGATCCTGTTAGCAAAGAACAATAACCGCTACTGTCCCCTCAGCTCCATAACGCGAAAAGTCTCTGCTCTGCGTCCTGTATGCTCCATTTAAGGAAAAATCAACATCCTAGTTTGCTGCCGAGAGCCATGCTTCAGTGTGTGCGTTCTGCCGTCACCAGGTCGACACATCATTAAGACAGTAACCACCCCCGAAGTCTTAGTCTGTCCCTGTGGTTGGCTGCAAAGAGAAGGGGCAGAAGAGTTGGTGCACACCATAAAAAACTGCATGCTGTTCTTGTGGGGCAAGACTGGAGGGTCAAAGGGCACAGGGAGCTCAATTTGTCGGGGCAAGTGGTAGAAGAGGGAGGTGCAACCCCCTGAGGTGTCAAGGGTCCCGTAAAAGTCCAGCAGGGACTGTCCTACCAGTGTACCCCACCCCCCCCACGGAACTCTTTGGTACTGAGGGAGGGGGAGCAAGGGAGAAGCCGGGGAGAGGATCTGTCCTCCCCGAAAGGAGGAGGACGCCAGTGGGTGCCTCGGAGCGAGTCGAGAGCCTCGGCTTGTTATATGCTGCAACAAAAGCTTGTGTTGTTGTTTTTTTTTTTTTTTTTTTTTCTCAGAGCCACCATACTTTGACATGAATCATTATACTTTTTCAATAGTTCAGTTTTAGTATTTGCATTTATTTATTTCAGGGCTGCTATTTTCACAATGTAATTGAACAATGTTATGGAGATGCTTATTAAAAACACAAAAAACAAACCTTTCTCTTTGGTCTTTTGGTATTTTAGAAGCTGTCAGGTATTCAAATTTGGTAGTCTCTTGCAACAAGTAGATCTCAATAAGTAGGCAATAAGTTCCACAATAGAAACTTTTCTTCTCATGAAATAGTGCTAACACTAAAGCAGAGCTTACATTAGGTGAAATCCAGGTTTGAATGTATATTTTGTAAAGTGTAAAGTATTAAGAGCAAAGAGGGTTTGTACAGGAGAACACCTGTTGTGTAGATGTGAGGGGATTTTTGGATCAAGAAAACCATCAGTTTTCCTTTTTTTTAAAGCCTTTCTTTGTCAAAGCAGAAATTAATTTGGGGGTTTGGTTTCCAGGGGGATGAAAAGCTGTGAAATTGTTCGACCTACTTTATAACCAAAGACGCAAAGCTGTGTAAGTCTTTTGTCCTTTTTTTTTTAAATGCAGACTCATTTCTATTTTTTTTTTACCTTTTTTTCTCCCTAAATATTTTTGTCCCTGTTCTGCATGTTCTGCATGATCTATAATCAAACCACTTTCTTACCTCATGTTTTCCAGCACTCTTCAAATTTCTTGTCAAATCTGTGAAAGCTTGTGAAAAGTTTATGAAAGAAAGGGAACAATGGGGCGGAGGGGAGAGGGGAGGAAGAGGATGTAGGAAATGAAGAGATGATTGTGTCAGATGTAGAGAGGGAAGGGTAGAAAGGAGCCATCTTTTTTGTTGTCATGTAAATGCTGTGTGGAAAGTTCGTATGCAGAGAAAAGGATGTTACATTACAGACAAATGTACTGAATGAATGCAGCGATTCGATTTGATTGTAGTGTACCAACACGTAGCTCACAAGCAAACAAACAAAAACAACTAGTCAACAACTCCACAAGAAAACAAAATGACAAACTATGAAGCAATTCGCACGTTAGAGCTGGACGTCCGTAAATTTTGTGTGAGCGCTTCACCGGATGTCCTGTCTGTGTCACGTCTCTTTGTGCCTCATGTGCCGCGATCGTCTGCTGTCCTCAGGCGATTCGGTTTCTTGCTCTGTGGCTTAAAACCAAACCAAAATGCTTGGTAATTGTACAATCAGTCATCTTTCCACAGGATGGGCTCTTATATTTCCATTTTTGTTTTGTTTTGTTTTGTTTTGTTTTGAAAATGGGCTTATTTTCTTCCCTTGTCCTGCTTTTCTTGTGTTTGAAGGAGATGCCGTGTACATGCCAAATGTACTGTATGAAAGTGATCACTGAGCCTTGGAGAGAGTATCTTAACAATGCCCTTGTAATGTGCTGTTCAGACAATTTTAGTTTTCAGTCAAAAATAAATTACGGTTTTATTAAAAGAATACCCTCTTGTTGTTTTTATGCTTGTTTTCATCTTCTCTCTGATCTTTGCAACCACTCATTATTAAAGTGAGATCTCAAACATGGGCCTCCATCATTTCCACAGTAAGTCTTTCTTATTTTTTTATCACTTTTGACCAGTTCACACAAATGGTGTTGGTGAGCATAAAATAGCAAACACAGATGAGGTCACAAAAGGCACTAAAACACCCTCCTGTTGGAGGCTCTCGTTGGTGTTAATACTGGTGACCTCTGTGAACGACATGGTGCCTTCAGTCTCAGAGCTTTTCCTGAAAATGAAAATCTCACTCTGCTTTCTTCTAACAGTCAAACATGTAAACTCAAACTATAAACCTTTACCATTGAGAATTTAATTGGACTGTTGCTGCGAAGTGCTGACACCAACACTGGCAGTAATGTCAGTCACCAAATACAACAAGAAAAAATACCACAGATGGTGTCTGTTTTACGCCAATAAGAGGTATTTTGTATTAGTCTCAGTCTGTTTTGATTACCTTTAACATGAGCTTTAAACACCAACCTCCTCAATGGTTTGTTAAGTTCCAGGTTCCCACCAAGTCTAAAGATGGTGACCGTAAACCAGAGTGCATCATATCAGGACCCTGATTCTGCAACAGCTACAAAATGGACTTTGGTCCTAGTTTCCATTATTATTTACAGTACTATATAGCAGTGGTTCTCAAGTCCAGTCCTCGAGGCCCCACTGTCCTGCATGTTTGGGATGTTTCCCTGCTCCAACACACCTGATTCAAATGATGAGCTCGTTATCAAGCTCTGTAATGGCTTACTAACGAGCTCATCATTTGAATCAGGTGTGTTGGAGCAGGGAACCATCCAAAACATGCAGGACAGTGGGCCTCGAGGACTGGACTTGAGAACCACTGCTATAAAGTGTCAAAATTTTGTCTGCCAGACAGCTACTAATAGACATGTACTAAGATACATGCAACTGGGTCAAGATCACAATTTATTCAAAGTATTTTCAACAATTTCCGGGCAAACAGCTGACAAAAATAAAAAACACTGACATATAATATAAACAGCAAAATGCTGAAATGTCATTTCGTCAGTCCAAAATAAGGAGGATTGAGTGACTGTGGATCTATTTATGACATATTTACAACAGAGGCTTACTGTCAGGCATTTGTTACAGATTTCCAATGCAGTATCATTTCACAGAAATACTGGAGAGTTTCATCTGAGTCAGATCCTGTAATCATATGATAAAATCCACAAGAAAAGACAAAAAGATGAATCAAAATGAGCAAAATATCAAAATACATGAAATGATGAAGCGAGGGGAATAAGTGATCTTAGTCTGGATTTAGACCATAATAGTGTTTTCCATGAGAGTTGATCATTTATGTAAACTCAGAGTGGTAAACTTAGAAAACACGTTATTTGGTGAAAATAAGATTAAATCAGCAATTCATGCAATATTATTTTATGTTGGTTTTAAGTAAAACTAATTCTATGACAAAGCTTAACTATATCCTGTATTTTATCTTTGCAACAACAATTGAACAAAACCACAATCTGAGGGTTTGAATATTTCCTCGTTATCTAGAAAACAATTCAACAGAAAAACGGTTGGAATTTATTTTCCAAGGAGGAAGTGGACGTGCTCTGTGTTCACTGAAAAATAAACAAAACAAATGGTTTTCTTTTCCCAGGAAAGAAGTGTTGAGACGTGCCCAGAAGCATGTGAGAAATCCCGAATGACGTCAGACTCCTTCACTCACCACCGACCTGTCCTTTCAGCCATAAATTAACACTTCATACTCGTTCAGAAAACCAGTCATTTCAAGCGGCTCTGGCATGTAGTTTGTCCTCCATCACCCTCAAGTTGATGTTTGCTGACAGAGAGTGTCCATTACACAACAGAGAGATCTCAGTTTCAAATGAAGCCTGTGACACCAATTTCAGCTTCCTTTGAAGTCAACAGGCCTTTCGCTTCATTACCTCTATGCTGTCTGGTGCTCAAAATCATCTTGCATAAGACCTCTCTTTCCAAATCCTGACTCAGTGTTGTGTTTGGCAGACACTGACACGTTTGTCACGTCCCAGATCAAATGGAAATTGACTGGAGTCCTTTTCAGCAAAGATAAGACGAAGCACTTGACTACGCAAGCGGTGAAAGAAGTTTTGCCTGGTGTTAAGTTTTATCACAAAGCCATCCTCGATTAGTCTCATTCAAGACGTAAGTCCTGAAGAGGAAACAGGTAAAACTAGGCTTTGCATAATGTATACAGATATTGATGATCATTTGTCAACCTGTGACCTCTGGTGATACAAAAACGCAGGAGTAAAATCTGCTTGGTTCATTAGTTCCTTCACATCGCCAACAGATTTCAGTTTGGTTTGAAAACAAAGAAAAGGCCAAAAATTTGTTTTGAAGAAGAAGAAATATCAGGAGGTTCTCAAACATCTGAGTCACAATCCTGTCATCCTTCTCAGCAAAGCAAAAGTTCATAAAATTACAATTCCCTTCAATTCTCCCAACTTTTCATTTGCTGCATCCATACCCTCAATGATGACTTGAGCAGTTTTCCCTGTAATATGACGCCTTTTAAATAGCTTTAACACATGAAATGGGATTTAAATCAGAGTGACTTTTCCTTTCCCTTGTAAGATCAGTAGGATGTAGCATTGGAGTCCCTCAAGCCTTGGTTTCTGTGTTTATAGGTGCCCCCATGTGAATCCAATTTCCCTTTCAATGTTCTACAAAATTATGTTTAATCTGATCAGGCATGGTTTGAGTTGGAAAAAATGTGGATTAATCCTCCAGATTGATGTCAACCCAAGGGTCAGGGTTACTCTTTGGATGGACTTTGATTTTTCTTTGATCCTCTTTGATTCAGTTTGGGTGTCTTTATTTGTAGTTGGACATCACTGCCCCTGCAAAGGAATGACGAAATATTTTGTTGTGTAACATGCACAAAAAAAGTCTCTGGGTAATCAGGACACCAAATGAAAGATTTGGGATGACATGAACCAGCTGCTTTGTCCCTGAGTGTTTTCCACACCATGCTTTCATCTACTTGCTAATGCTGATCTTCTGGGTACAGCTTTGACCTTCTTGCATCATGGGATAAACCCGCCTCATCATTTTTTCTTAACCTTTAAAGGAAGCTTAGCTCAAAGGAGCAAACTCCCAAAGGCTCATACTTCAAAAAACAACTCAATGAATTGGGCCATACCTAACTGCACAGGCTCGTCTGATTCACCTACTTTCCCGTCACTGTGCATTCAGGCCAGAGCAGGTTTGAGCTCTGAGTCACAGCGGCTCTTCCACAGTTGTGGTGAGAACAGGGTTTGCTTCCACGTCACTGTGGGGAGGTACATCAGCCAAAAGTAAGAGGAGCAATTCAGTATCTGAGCTAGCATGCACACTTCCTCTCAATGTAAATCAATTATCAGTGTGTGTCCTGACATGCCCCGATTCCCAACATTTATCATATTAGTGTTATGCAAGCACAGTCAATAGATGATATTGTGTGAATGCAGAGAACGGAGCATAACACAGTTACATCTTAGACTAATCAAATTACTGGACATGGATATAATACGGTCATGATGTTCTTGATCTTGAGTGTTTTTGTTGTGGTACTTTTTTATCTCACTTCATTTCATAGAGAACAGAACTTTTGATTTCATTTTCCCCTGATACAATTCTGATCAATCACAACAACGCTGTGACCTGAAAGTGGCGGTCACTTGGACTTTGGACAAACATATCAGAGGACAAACTCATCAGACTGTTCATGTTGATTTGAAAGAATTGTTAAAGTGATTTTTAACAATTAGTAAGTAAGTTATCTGTGGTAACTGTGCATGTTAAGTGTGTGAAAAGCATTAAGTCAGTTGACTAGTTGGACACTGTAGGCATAGAAACTGTTGCAGATAGAGACCTCTGACAAGTGTTTGGTTGATTGTAAAGTTGTGCTTCAGTTGTGTAGGGTGTGTATCTGCTTACTCAACAAAAAACACTGACTCTGTATACTAATTCAACTTATTGTTTAATTGTATTGTAGATTTCAAAATCATTCAGACCATGTGTTTCATTTACTTTTTTAACTTGTTGCAATCTGAGATCTTAAAATCTTGACATACACTTTGAAACGTAAGGCAAACACTGTCATGTATGAAAACAAGTGTTCTTTTGGCCATCTACAGTCCAAGATTCCTTTGTGAAAAATTGTCCCAGCATACTGAATAACTTCAATATAACCTCATTAGTCTCAGCTGTGACCTTACATTAGTATATTCCCATGCAGAAAATCACACTGGATCATTTCTTCTGATATCAAAAACCATCCCAAAGCCCAAAAGGCATCTGGTAACTTAATCAGTGGTAACCCGGTTACTTAATATAAATTAAAAATGTTGCAGACTTTGCCAGGAAGGACTTTTGAATTTTCCCCCCATGAAATTAGTTGGTCAACACAGGACAGATACATTTGGCAGAAAGATTGTAACTCGTGGATGGAGTCAGGAAATAATAAAATATCAAGCTTAAATTTTAGATTAACATGGTCTTGATGTCCTGGTGGACACTCAGCTGTTGCATAATTTTAAATCAAATAAATGGATGTTTTGCAGATAAGGTCAAATCAGGGGTGATACTAAAACTGCTGCAGTTCAATCATTTGTACTCTACTGCTATCTAGTGGTCAGTTTGCAGAGCTGTGCAGACAGAAACGCTATCAGGTGATCGCTCCATACTTGTTTTTGCAAAACAAACAACACAGATGCCATGCTTTGTATATGCTTTACTACAAAATGTATTACACTGACAAAACATAGAGTATAGAAGAAATACAACAAACAGACTGCATAAAAAGTGGTTACAGTAGCTACATGTAAATTGAATTTGGAAATGTTGGTAAAAAAAAAACAACTAAATTTAAAACCATACTCAAAGGAATTGTGTCTCATGTTTTAACATTATATACACTAAAAGAATCATAGATTTATTAAGAAAGTAATGAAGTACATTTTTGCCTTCTACTGCTCTCATATCTATGCAGAAAAAGAATATAGAAAAAGCTTCAGTTTGTTAAACCAGAACTGTACTGAGAACAATAATACTACATCTACTAATTAAAACTTCATTAATAAAGTCCCTTTGAAAACTAGAGTTTAAAAGGTTGTCTGACACACATGCAAAACCAAACAACCCACATACACAGGAAGGTCAAATGACAGAACAATCAGTTCACTAAAAAGATTTGTTCAAAAGAATCGTTCACCAAATCACTGAATTATTTAGAGGGAGGAGCCTGTGACGCTGACCTCCTGAACTGATACACAGCTGAATGTTTCAGGATTCAGTTCAGATCATAGCTTCTGGGACCCGGAGACAAGAGTGTTTGGCTGTGTTGCTTTAGCAAAAAGGTTTGTAAAAATAGAACTTATTTGTTTTAAGTGTACTGTCCTATGGTATGCTATCTACCAGGTCTTCTCAGTAAATTGGGCTCAGTGAGTGATTCGTTCACTGAATCACTCGCAAACAGCTGCAATGATAGGATGCTGTGGGTTTAATGCACTACTTGTTACATGCTGTGTTCTATTGTATGCGAGTTGTTGTGGTAGCAATTTAGCATTGAAAAAAAGGTAGTTTTGGCCGACAAAAATGATTCCAAAGAGTGTAGTTCAATGCGTGATTCGTTCACTAAGTGATTCAGGCATTGGTGCATGTGGTCCCTCGTTCGCCGGCTGCCAGCCTGGCAATGCTGTTTCTCACTTCAGCTCAGCTCAAGTGAGAAACGAACGAATCACTCGAGGAAGTGATTTGGTTCAGTACGTTCACTTAAAAGATTCGGTTCTTTTGAATGAATCGTTCGCCAACGACATGACACTAGGCTGAATACAAATGCACACCACACTTTTCTGATTTTTGTTTAAATTTTTGAAAACCATGTATCATTTTCGTTTCACTTCCCTATTATGTGCTACTTTGTGGTCTATGACGAAAAATCTCAATAAAATTATTTTAAGTTTGTGGTTGTAGAATGACAAAATGTGGAAAAAGTTCAAGGGGTATCAATACTTTTTCAACGCACTGTATTTTCTCGTGTCTTGTTTAAAAATTTCTCTGAACAGCAGCTGTAGCAGGAATCAGAGGACTCCAGCAGAGGGAGTGTAAAGTCCTTGGAAACACGGCTGTTCTTCCCCACAGTCACTAACTGGACTAGAAGACAGTTTCTCCGCAAGACATTTGTCATAATTTTCCCTAAAGCATGATGCTTTGTGTCGCTCAATTTTGGGTCTCCATACAGCTCAAAACAGTATCTGTAAACAAAACGAGGATGTGCATTTGCTACCGGTGAACGGAGAGGAATTTTGACCCATTCGGCGCTCCATAGAGGAAAACACCACCGCCCACCTACTTGAGGTCATGCGGCCTCCTCTGTTTTGATTCACAGCTCCGACTCGGACAGATTGGGCAGAGATGGAGGAAGACTGGGAGTCGGGGTAGCAGTTTCAAGCAACCTTCCTACTGGAGTAAAGCATTTTTTTTTACCTTTAATAAGACAGAGGCGGATAGTAAAGCTGGCAGCGGTGTGTGGTACTCGATTCCGCCCGGATGACATGGAGATCTCGGCGGAGGGAGAGGCCGAAGAGCGCAGGTGAGAGCCGCTGGGCCGGGGGAGAGGGGCAGGTTCTCCGGCTGTTCGGTGTACAGAAGCACCGTGGTAATAGAAATTCGGACCCGTGTCTGTAATGAAGAAGACCAACAACACTGATGAATTGTCGGACTGGTAATTCTTGCGATAATTTCAGATGCTGAGCTCACTGACGTGCTGCACTTTGAGAGGATTAAATCTCCAAACCGAGGCTAAGCTAGGCTAAAGTAGCATGCATAGGTTTGACAGTTGGGAAGAAAAACACGCGATAACGTTGTTAACACGTTTAAAATCAGCTGGATTAATCTTTACTAGAGGTATGGTTGACTGAAAGTCGTTTAACACTCATAAGCTTTAATCGTGTTGTTAGTTATCCGTAAGCTGGGACATGCTAACAGCTTAAGCTAGCTGTCAAACCATATGACCAACCACAATTTTACAACACCAAGGCAATCTAACGAAACCCAAGATATCAACTCTACCATAAATCGCAACTGGACGAAGCTACACATCTATCAATCATTGCTGACATTTTCAGACAAGCATTATTGTTTGGGTGTTGATACTGGAGTGCTTTATATTCAAAGGTGCAAGTAATATAGGGGAGAGTGGGGTAAGATGAGCCATTTTTCATATTTCGGATCACTACATCAAGGCCATCATAGTTTTGACTCTAACTAGTGTATCTGCGTTTGAGGATGTTATGTATCCCTGCAAACCAACAGAATGAGTATAAACATAACTGTCTTGATAATATAGCATGCCAAAAAAGGTGGTCTCCTATGCTCAACTTACCCCGTGTATGGGGTAAGTTGACCATAGGAGCGGGGTAAGTTGAGCCGTATCCCTACCATCCACCCACTCTTCACCCCAGCCCTCCCTCATCTTCTCTGTCCCTAAATAACAGTCACTTCTTCACATTCATGTGTATTTTTATCTATTATACGCTATTCAACTGGTACAATAACTCTTTTAATTATTATTGCATATAACTGCTAAAAAGCTGTTTAGTAAAAAAAAGTCATTTTAACATGAGAATGTCTTTAAATGATTCAGAACACAAGTAAGACATTTCAACAATCTGAACTGAAACTCTGATCCTCTCATCAGACTCCTTTTACTTTCTCAGTTGAGCCACTGGATCAACTTACCCCAGAACTGCTATTATGACTTTATTAGTCCTCTAAGCTAAATGGTGGACTTTTATGCTAGGTTTTTGACCTCATGTTGTAGTTGATAGATACCACAATTGATGTATAAAACACACTTAAAATGATCTTTTTTGGTCTGAACACAATTCTAATAAAACTTATGACAGACTAAATTCACTTTCAAGAGTGAAAAATGTATTTTTTGGGAGTAAATGTCTAACCCCTTCACCCATGTGCTTCTAACCTTCACAGACTCCATGAATTGATGCCCATCTCCTAAATATTTGGTCACATGATCAATTTCTTTTACCATTTCCAAGCAACAGAGGGTGGCTCAACTTACCCCACTCTCCCCCCTACTTTGTGTTTGTCAAACGCACCTTTCAGTATGTGAGATCTAAATTTAAAGTAATAATTTCCTGTGTGATCATGTCAACAAGAGCTGAAAATGTTGTAACTTCCCGACAGTAGAGCTCGTGGTACAGTTGACTGTTCTTTGGTTGATAATGTTATTGCTAGCTCTATCAGGTGTTGAAATACTCTGTCCATTCACACATTGTTCACTAGAGACAGTTCATAACTGGTTTCAAAAGCAACCAGCAGTTACAGAAAACAGCTTTCAAAAGCGAAGAGGAAATTCTGCACAATTTCATTCAGCCTACTGCATATAACTTACAGGTGACCGGAGTTTATCATCACAACTGAAAGACTTTTTGTGTTTGTTCAAAATTTAAAGGTTAGATTGTGTAAACAAATCTGGTTCCAGGCTTGTCTAATATAACACACATACTAAAACAAACAACATGGAGTGAAGACGACCCTTAACCTGAACTATATCTCTGACTCTTGTCAAATTTCACTCCTCGATGTTCAGCACGCACATATACGAACAAACTCAAGTCTTACTTAATACAAGTCCCCCTTACATCTTTCTTGTTACATAAAGGCATAATGCTCTGCTTTATGTGGAGAACTCTCCCTGACATTTAATAATCACCTTCATGCAATGGTGCATGATGTGATTAGATTAATTATGTTAAGTCAAAGCTCGTCCTCTGCTCGACCTCCTCCAGGACCACGCTGTCCAATTTGGATGTTGCATGTTGTGTTTCTTTGTGAAAGGGGACTTGTTTATCAGTTTTAAATGCTCCAAAGGAATCTAAAGTTACTAAAATCTGTAAAAAGATATGCCTGGTAGCAGAGTTTAGTGTGTAGGGTCAGTGTGTATGGTAATGGTTAAAGGATACTTGGAAAAACTTTCATTTAATAAAGAGTGGCCCTGCAGAAAAGAGAGGCCTTTGTTGGCTTCTTTTGAAGAACATGAAGAAATAATCACTATCATGGGTTACTTAAAAAAAGCAGCATGACTGTGTTGTTCAAGAGAAGACGAGCCTCTTGCTTTGGCAGCATATTTGCACGCTGAAACATAATGTATGTGGAAACAGTTAAAGAGCACGCCTTTAAGTGTCAATACACTCGACAGTTTTTTTTTTGTCCTTGTCGCTGGGGTAATGCAACTCGTCCCGATAGCATTCAGTCTTTTACTGCTGACTTTGTGGTAAAATGAGGAAGTCCAGGTTGTGAGTCGCAACTCTTTCGCTCAAAGGGACTGTGACCTAGTTTTGTTTTGTATTCAATGCTTTTGAAACAGCATCTCTATACTGCTCTAAGGTTTCATGTCCTAAGATTGCATCAAACAAACTTAACTGTGCTCTTGTGATGATGCATGTATTCAGTAGGGAGGCAGAGGGGTAGTTTATTTTTAGTCTAGGAGGTGGTGAACACTAGCTTATGTATAATAACTAAAACGCTGAGGACTTAATTTGTAACAGTATTGAGTAATGCTTCAAGTCACGACACTGCTAACACCAGCAATTCTCTACCTCCTTCCTCATTCCTAAACTTCCTTCCCACTGTTTTCTTTTAGGAGGGAGCACTGGAAGCTGCTGTCCAGTCTGAAGACAACAGTGGAGGGTCTAGTGTCCACCAACAACCCCAATGTGTGGTCACGTTATGGTGGCCTACAGCGGCTCCACAAAGACATGAATAACATCCTGAGCCATGGTTTGAAGAATGAACAGGTCAGAGCTCATTAATTACACTCTCCTCAAGGGAATAACATAAAGTTAAAGGGTGTTGCCTCCACCTCAAAAGGATCAACAGACACAATCAAAATCTGAATTACCAACACATACGGTCATTTTGCTCAGAAGAGTTTTCATCATCATGCCAGTCTAACCTTTTGTCCTAAACTACATGTGAATGCGAGTCACAGTGGTACACACAATGAAGACTTGTTGTGATTTTGTGTTGCAGGTTTACTATAAGCAGAGAGACTACTGGCCGTTTGTGTGGTGTGTCCGCTACGTCAGTCCCCACCTGGCCTCTCATGTTGAGCAGGTATGTTTGGTCTAGGTTGCTGCATTTCTCAAATCTCCTCAGTATTTTTTTTTTTTTATGGGAGTAGAGATCCCATTAAAAACGTGCCTTATGTTGCTTGATGCTTCAACTAACACCTTGAATAATGGTGTTAATCCCAGCTTCAAGAGCTTACTTCGCAGTTGACAGTATGTTACTTCCAAAACTTGGTATTATGTGCTGCAGCACGTTTGAAAATCTTAACAGATTCTGAAGACGGCTGTCTTTGATCAATCTGTAGTTTGCGATATTTAAGCTCAAACATTTAAGTACTGGCCCGGCTCTTAAGGACCCTTGACTGACATGATTCAGCAAAAAGGTCAAACAGTGATGCTCAGGAGGAGCGTGTATATGTGGGAAATGATAAGAGCAGTAATTTTAGAATCACTACATGTTAAAAAAGGCTGTTTTCCTTCAATAGCTTCCATGTCATGTGACCAAAAGACCTAAATTTGATCTCAAATAATAGAAGCAGGACACACATTATTTGATCAGTTTTTATTGTGCCCCTAAAGTTCTTTGTGTGCACCTCACTTTTTCACATTTGCTCCTTGGTAAAAAACTTGGTGTCAAGCCCTGGATAGTGAAAGTGCCTTGAACTCATTCTTGATTATCCCTGGTTTCTTTAACATGTTGGATGGCTTGTTTTGACAAGCCCCACACAGAAATGTTGGTAGGTTTCGTGAGCAAAAGAAGGCAGATATGTGATTTAGTTATGTAATTCATGGATGCTCTCAACACATACGTGCCTCTACATTCATTCTGCTGCTGCTGACAAAGCAGTAGTTAACTTTTTTGGGAAGTTAAGATGTGTATCGTTTCAGTCTGTAAAAGCCTGACACAGTTCACACTGTCAGCTTTCAACCACAGCCCCCTCTTTTAAGGATTGTCGGTCACAGGATTGGGCAGCAACAAAAAAGGGATTAGGAGTGCTTGGAATCTAATTATCGTCATTATGCCCTCTGTTTCTGACCAGAAGGGCTTATAGTGTGATGTAATCATCATGTGACGATTGGCCTCTGATGTCTCATCTGTCAGCCCTAAGCTTTGTACCAATAGGTTTTTTTTTTATGAAAACAAAACCTTTAAACTAGTACATGCAAATTTGATCCAAACAATGTATCTTTAATTCTTAAAATTCTTTTTATTCATATCAATAAGAACTTAAGATGAACAGACTGACGTTTGATCAGTTTCAGTGGTGAGTACTTGCTTTCACATGTCTACTCTCCTCCTGCTCCCTCTTTCTGTCCTCAGTTCAGTCACCTGGAGCCTGTTGTCAGCAGTGGAATAAAGGACGCGGGTGAAAGCTATAAAGCCGAGCGCTGGCTTCTTCACAGTTTACAGGTTCATATGGTCTCGGCTCAGCTGCGACCCCTGCTCCGACATCTGGGACACACACGTAAATTCTACAACGGTGAGCCTTACAATAACGCTCCAGTTTCAGCCAGAAAACCTCGTTGTGAAGTGTAAACCAGCTAAAACATCTCGCTCTCTTATCTTTGAAATCTCATTTGTGCCTTCACTATAGTTTCTTATCTCTCATTGTCTTATCTCCTTATTCTCCCTCCCTGATTTTTACTCCCTAACTTCTGTCAGATGATGCCTTTCTGCTGAGTGAGCCGCATGTGACTGCCATGTTCCAGTGTCTGGAAGCTGTGGAGCAGAATAACCCCAAACTGCTGGCCCAAGTAGACACTGTCGGGGTGAGTGTCAAGAACTGCTGAGTTTGTACTTATTGATTTCCTATGTGCAACTGAATTGAGCTTTTAGTCCTTGTTTGCTAACGACTCGATGAGATGTGTCTCTTTTTGTTTTTAACTTTACTTTTGAAAAACCACATGTTTGTAGTACTTTTGACATTTTATTTATCGTCTAAAGAATCAGGGATCACAGCAGCTGCTCAAAATAAGGAATCAATGGGGCACGCACATAGCCGTTGTAGTATAAGCACACCCCATGTATGGGACCAGGGTCCGGTCCTGACCATGTGCTACATGTCCTCCCCCTTCTCTCTCTGTCTCCCCACATTTCACCCTGTCCTATCAAAAAAAAGACAAAAACCGCCACAAAAAATACTTAAAAAAAAAAAAAAGGAATCAATTTGAAATAAAAAAAAAAAGATTTAACAAGGGTATTTTGGATTTGCTACCAGGTTAATCATTTCTTTCTGGTCCATTAGCTGTCTCCTCTGAAGGGTCCACCATGTCTGGGTCTGCTGAAGAGCCAGAGCCTCTGTGTGTTACCAGGGGCTGGTGGGGCCTGGAGGAGTGCTGACTCGGCTCTCAGAGGAGAGTCTTTAAATCGCAGACTCACCACCTCCAACTGCTCCCTCCGAGAAGCTGTTACCACGACCAGCCACAACTCTGTGAACACTACAGGAGTGGGATCTCAAAACAGCAACAGCACAAGTGAGACTAATGTGGAAAGGCGACACATTTGGTTTTATGCGTTTCAATATTTATAGTCATGGGTTCAGCTGGGTACTTTTTCTCTCTTCAAGTCAAGGATTTTAATGTTGTACACTGGGTAAATCAAATGAAGGGAAATAGTCCCTAATCTGTAATCAGTACATACAGGGATAAAGAGGTGGGGTGGGGGGAATGGGACTATGAATGCACTACAGTTTGTATGTGAATAGACTGACTGACTTAACCACACAGAGGCCTGATTGTTGGTAGACGGAGTCGGTTTTTGAACAATGTGGTGATGCAGCGCCTAAAACTTGGTGTCCTGAACTGACTGGTTGAAACTATGACTGATTGTTTTTCTTAACATTTTTAACATTTTTTTACTGTTTTGAGTTGATGTCTTTTTTTTTAAATCTTCCTTTTTTTTATTATCTACGCTCTCTATTGCAGATACTACCTCTACTCCAGCCAGCAGCCTGGGGGCTCCCTGGGTGTGTGTGTCAAGGCCAGGGGAGAGTGAGCGGGGTGTGACACCCTCTCCCGGTCCCCTCTCTGTACCCTGCATCTCTCTCACAGAGCCTCCCTCGCCCACCTCTCTTCAACCTGAGGCAGTGGACTCCTGCGATGGCGAGTATGACGACGGCCCAGAGTACCTTGCTATCGGCAACCTGGGGCAGCGCAGTCGCCGTGACTCGCATAGCTCCTCCCACAGCAGTGAGCAGGCGGAAACCCAAGACCAGTCCCTGCTAAGGGGGCCATCGTTACCGCCGCAAGCAAGACGCTCTTCCTTCTCAGAGGGGCAGAGGGGGCCGACCCGGGGATCCCGAGGACACACACGCTCCTTTTCTGACACGGGGGTGAATCAGAAACTCAGGAATGGTAAGTGGATGTGAGAGTAACAAGCATCCAGTTTGAGAGGTGAAATTGATAAAATTAAATACACATTAGGGCAAACATTTCAGAATGGATATCTTAAAGTAACTAAAACAGCATTAAAGCTGTAGATAAGTTTAAATCCCACACAGATCTGGTGGTAAAAAAGAGAATATAATATTTAAACCTGAGCAGTGAAAGTTTTTTCTACATGGATCAATAAAGGATTACGTTTTTCCTGCATGCTCCTTAAAAAATCTGCCAAAATGAGCAGGTTTTGGTGCGATGTGCATGTGTAACCAGAGATCATGGTTTTAACAGGAGAATTCCTCTTTCTTTCTGAGTGAGGTTTCAGCTCAGATACACTCATGGCTGAAAAAAGTTTACTCCAAAGAGATTATATCTGTTCTACCAGTTGATTTATCATCAGTAGTTTGGCAGTATTTTGTCTCAGAGGGTGCGAACTTTCCTTCTGATCTCTATTGTGATTGCTCTCCGTTCCACCTTCTCGGTGTGAGGTAACTGTCTCTCCCTCTGCTTTATCTCTCCTTTTTTTCCCGACTATTTGCGCAAAGGAGGTGGCCATCGAAAAATCACCATTATAATTGAAGATCCGGTCGCAGGTTGGCAGTACAGTTCAACTGTGCTCCATCAGATCCTCCCCTCTTTTCTTTATTCCTCCGCATGCTGATGCACCATCCCTCTCATTTCAAGTCCTTCAGCTCATAAAATGTGATTTTGGTCGTTGGTGTTCTTTTCGTGAACTTCTTGTCTTCTTTTTTTTTTTGTGGTCGGATTGACGTGATGAGGCCATCAACGATCCCTTTCATTCTTTTGTCAGTTTTTGTTTGTGCACACTTTTTCCACGACCTACTTTTGTTTTATTGAAAGTCTCATAAAACTCAACAAGTGTGTTTCTCTTCAGTTTATGTCCAGTCATGAGAACTGAGAGAAACTTGACATTGTAATCTCAGTTCTTAACTATTTAACTTGAAAACATGAAACAAAAAAAAAATCGTACTTATTTTGAAAAGTGGTGATTGCTACTTTGTCGTCTAAACTTCAGAAAAGTATCACCACAATCTACCACACTGTTTTTTTTTTTTCCTGAAAGGTCAGCAGTAGTGTGTTTTCTTTTTTTGTTTCCCTCATGCATTGATCCATCTTCAAAGATTTCATTGACAGAAAGACTCATAAAATCCACACTGTGCAGGATGAAGCTGCATGTTCCCATCCATTTTACAGATTTTTTTTAGAAACTGACTTCATCAGAGAGAAGATTTAAACATGTATTTCTCGTCTCCTAGAATCAGCGGAAGACGGCTGTATGAAGGACTTCAGCCCCTTCACACCTCAGCGCAGTGATGCCAGCACCCCTAGCTCCCTCTATATGGAGTCACGTGAGTTTGCTCTTGATAATTTTGCTCCTAAATGTGCAATGGTAGACAAATCTGCTCTCACGTGGGATTGTTTGATGATTGGGCTTCAGGACACTTCAGGAGGAGGAAGTAGAGCTGACATGACATACTTCTTTGAGACGGTTATGATTTCATTGCATCTGCAGGAGTTGAGCGTAGATGACCCAGAAACGTGACACTCTGGACATGGGTCATCTGAGATTTTATAGTTTTGACAAGAAGACGCACTTACTAGCACACAGTTTTTATATGTGTTGTTGGCTTTTTGCCACGTGTTTGGGAGACATTGTCAATCCCATTATGTTTGAAATACAAAAGTCTGTTTCTGTTTTTGTAGCCGTGTCATATATTCTCATGATCATGTTTTGGTGTTTTCAGATGGCTCCCAGCACAGTGGTGTTCCAGATGGGATGTTTAGGAAGCCTTCAGAGGGTCAGAGTCTCATCAGCTACCTGTCAGAGCAGGACTTTGGCAGCTGTGCTGACCTTGAGAAGGTCAGGACTCTGCCCATTGAAGTTTAAAGCAAAATTTTCAGTCAAATTAAATGATCGCTGTTTATCTACAAACATGTAATAACTGAAGGCAAACTAAACATCGAGAAACATTTTCTTTTACGTCCTACAGGAGAACGCTCATTTCAGCATTTCAGAGTCCCTTATTGCTGCCATCGAGCTGATGAAATATAACCTGCGGCGTCAGGAGGAGGAGGGGGAGGAGGAAGGAGACAGTGACTCTGAGATTCAGCAGCTCAAACAGAAGATCCGTCTAAGGAGGCAACAGATCCGGCGCAGTCGCCAGCCTCCCTGCGCAGCCCCCTCCCAGCACAGTAAGCACACACTACCAGTGCAGTTTATGAATGTCACATACGTTACATATGTTACATAAGTCATTTTCCTATTTAGTTCATTTTTAATGTTGAGTATGCTTTGATAACAAGACCTAAGTTGACATTGAACTGTTTGCTTCTACATTGTCTTTTGATCTACTCTATAAAAACACACGTGTACCATGATAACAACTATTTTATTTGTGTAATTAAAAAGGAGTGGCTATTATATAATGGTAGGTGACCTTTTAATGTCGTTTATCCAGGGTTGCTTTATCAGTTACAGTTATAAAAAGTTGTGCATTTAAGTATCCATTATTGAAGACAACCCATGAAAGGAGTTGAATGAATTGGTTTTACTTTTCTGTGTATCTTTCCTCTCGTCTGGGTCATTGAGGAAGATGTGATTTATTAAAACAACTTCATAGCTTATAATTGTGAAAACTATTACCTCCATGTTGACAAGCATAATAATAAGCCCCACATTGTCCATCACATTGTCTTTCAATTTTTACTTTTATATCTGTTTCATTTGTTGTTTTGCCTCCTGTTCCCTCCTCCTCCTGCAGATTTTCACTCTACTGATAGTGGAGGCTCCAGGAGGAGCTCGCAGGACTCCTGCCACGGCCTGTCTGACTCCGGCTCAGCTGAGGAGGTGGAGGAGTGTGAGCTGCGAGGTAGAGAGAGGGAACGAGGGAACTCTTGGAGAAGCGCTCACATAGGGAGAAAGTAGCTGCACATTTTGTGTGTTTTGTCAAGACAGCCAGCTTTATAACACAAGTTGATGAGAAGCTACACAGTAGAAGTATTATAAATGAAAAGGTTAAAATTTGAAATTGCAAGCTAAATTTTCAAACTTTGATTGAATTTTGATTTTTCTAATGTGATAGAAGTCTCTGTGAAATTCATCATTTTTGTGTGAATGAGTTCCTTTTTCTTTTCTAGTCATTAATGACCTCATCTCCTCACTTGCTTCACATTGCTCACCAAGCATGTCACGTTTACTATCACTCATAAACAAAGTACGAGAGTCCAATACCCTAGCTGCAGAGTTTGTTGCTGTAAACTCTTTTTATCAGTGTAGATACTTAACCCTTATTCAAGTGTACATATCTAAGATTTACAAAATTGTTTTGAAAGGCTTCAGATTGCGCCCAGCTAATTTCCTTCTTGTTTGTTTTGTGCAGCAGACACTAACCTAATCACTAACATGTAGAAAGGTCTTAACCTGTGCTTGATAATATTAACATTGGTTGTGGGATTTCAGCTGTGCATGTATTTTGAGTTTGGTTTATGGTAATGTGTCTAACCATCTTTATATACAGCTGCACTTCTCAGCACTGTAGTACGAGGCACACTTTTTTCTCACTTGAGGCTATAATAATTGCATGACCACATGTCTCAGTGAGGTGACACCAGCACACAGCAGTGAGGAATAGCTACAGAAAGTGTTTGTGCCACTGGTGACGGCTGTGCTGAGTGTTAGTTTCTGTCTCTCAGATGGCTGCGAGGGTCAGTCCCTGCTGGCGGTGTCTCGGAGCGGCCTCTCCCTGTCACTCGCCTCCCTCTTCTCAGGTATCTGCAGGCTGGGCGAGTGGGCGAGGCTCCACAGACTCACACGGACTTTCAGTGTGACCATGATCCTTTGAGAGTAGTCTGATGGCTTGACTCCAAACTGACAACTCCCACCATTAAAGCCATTAATCTAATCTGCTGACATTTAAAGTACAACTCAAGTCATAACACCTTATTGGGTATTTTTTACTTCAGTTAAATCTCATTGAAGTCATTTTGTTTTCTTAAAGGGATATTCCGGCATAAAATTAAGTTAGGGTCAAACACACAGTAACACCGAGTTAGACACTCAGTCGAGAGATGAATGTTGCAGAACGCTTGCTTCTCTTTTAATTTTAATGTTAATTTAATTTTACGCCAGAATATCCCTTTAAAGTCAGAGACTTAAAGAAATCAGCCCCCCAAAATCTCAAAACCTTTCCCTAGAGCATATTGTAGTTATCTATGCATTTCTCTATTATTTTATAAACAAAACTATGGAGTGACTCTCCCTTTTGATTCATCATTTGTGAATGCATGTTTAGCTCAGTGAATGCAACATTAGCCTGAGAAAAACAAATAGCTGAAGCGATTGACTTAGTACTTGGGTTAATGAAAACAATCTCAATCATGCCAACCCCCAAGTTATAAATTTTGTGATGATTTTTGAGTTCAACCAAAATTCCATTCAGACCAAAAAGATGTGAAGGAGTCATATTTGACAGAGGCTATCAGTGTGATAGATAACAGACATGATATGACTTAGTGCAGTTGGATAGACTCTAGTTAGTTTACTTTTTGTCTTATGTACTCAGATCCAGGTCTACATTAGCTGTTATTTTCCTTGATACTAATACGTGTCATAAACTGAGGGGGTCAACATGATCATGTTACATCACTGAAAGAAGACGATTTCTTCAGCGTCGTTTTCAGTTTGGAGTCAAACCAGCTGCCTCCTCCCTCTGGTGGATTTGTTTGCTTGGCTGTTTGTTGATGCTTGTTGTTGACTGACCCGGGGTTACGGAGAGTTTACCGGTGAAAGTTTAACAAGACTCTTGGTAGGAGATGAGCGAAGTGTAACTCAATGGCAACTTCATCCTTCCATCATACCAATTATTCATGATCTCTTTTGCATTTCAAGTGAGACTGCGGCGTGAGTGATGTACCCTTCACATCCTTCAACCTTATTTCACCAAATGTCAAATGAAACCAGTACTAAATGTTTTTTTAAGGATTTAAGGGTAGAGATTGTTGTTAGTTTCCAATCTTTTATTTAAGAATAACAACAGATTTAGACTCTGAAAGTATTGCGGTTATGATAAAAAAGCTGAGTTTTACTTTTTTTTTATTTAGCCTATAAAATGCACAATGAATGCTCTCAACCTGCTTTATGATTCCAAATGATTTCTACCTAATTGTGTAAATTTCTTAACCAAAATACTAAAACCTCATTTCAATCCAAGAGACTTTAATCTGGAATCATGTGTGTGAATTTCAGGCTTGCTCCTAAGAAACCATAATCAGTTGCAAATGACTGTTTTTTAAGAGTCTGTGTCCAAAGTATTTAGTTGCGGTAGCTAAACTTTATAACTGTAAATACAAGTAAAGCCACAGATAATTCAGATGATCTTAAAAGATGTCTAAAATGACATTAGTGCTCATGTGATTCAAACTTATTTCTGAAGGTAAACAGAGTATCTGCCCATCCTTTTATAGTGCAATCAAAAAAGCTCAGCTGACCCAGACAGAAGCATTTTTGTTAATTTGGAAGCCACACAAAAATTCACTATCTCCTCTCCCGCCAAACCTATTCTTCCCAATTTCTTTGCTTCTATATTGTTGGTGAAGCTTAACAGGAAAAAACAGCTTTCCTTAGAGCAACATGCTGTCTTTAAACAGAAACTGTTTTCTACTTCTCTTCATTTTGTGCTCATATGGCCTTCCTTCCTTCCTTGTTTGTTTTTTGAAAAGCTGCTTTGCTGTAGCAAATACTGCTGTTCTCCCTGTGTGGGAAATTTTAACCATCTATCCACCAGCCAGCTGCTGGTACATTTGTCTTTTGTAATTTTAATCTTATCTTTATCTCTTTGATTATCTTATTTTGATCCAATCTTCCTTTTTTTTTAAATCAAAAATACAAAGAATCCAGAATGGCTGATGGATAAAGAGGCTCTCTTTGTAAAGTTTGACTTGTTTAGTTCTCACCAGGTGATATTATCGTTGTTTAACTTTCAAAAATGCCGTGTCTTACAGATGCAGACATTAAGCGCAGCGTCAGCTCCAGTGGCAGGTCCTTCCTCAGTTCAGATTCTATGTAAGTGCCAAAATAACTTCTCAATAATTTATGACTTTTTTTTTTTAAAGCAGTGTTTTTAAAAATGTGTTTGTTCTTCTGCTTTTTTTCAGCTCTCCATCCTTTCTCCAGTCTAACTCAGCTGAATCAGTGGCCATGGGTTTACTCAGGCAGTTTGAGGGCATGCAGCTTCCTGCAGCCTCAGAGCTCGACTGGCTGGTCCCAGAACACGATGCTCCACAGAAGGTACAACATCTCACTTCCACATACAGTAGTCTTATACTTACGCTCAGCACAGTTTACAAAAGAAACATGAACTTATTTCTCTCTCCAGCTCTTGCCCATCCCTGACTCTCTTCCAATCTCACCTGATGATGGAGAACACGCTGACATCTACAAGCTAAGAATTCGAGTTCGGGGCAACCTGGAGTGGGCGCCACCTCGACCCCAAATTATCTTTAATATCCATCCTGCTCCAAAGTAAGACAGCTCTAGTTTTAACCTGTCTTGTTTTTTGGTTCTTTTTTAAGTTTGTTTTTCCATTCTCCTGTAGTTTCTCTGTAATAACACACACATACACAGGAGCCTTTGGTTGCACGTGAAAGTATTTGATGATGATTGACTGATTGCAGCCTAACCGGTTGGTTGAGCTTGCAGGATTTAAGATGATTAGGAGAGAGCTGTTCCAGTCCAGAGGTGAATACAGAACAGCACTTAAACCTCATCCTCTAACACCTCCAAGGAAAATAATGTGGACACAGAAAATGTGACCCATAAGGACACTTTCCAGTCCCTCCTCTTGACTCTGGTTTAGCATCTAGGAGAACTTTTATATTTTAAGCACAGGTGGCTGTCAAGTTGATGTTTTGAGCTCTAATCTGTTTGTGTTTTTTTTTTTTCAAGAAATTTGGATTTTTACAGAAATATTAACATTCGTGTTATTGACGATATTTCTCCCATCAGGAGGAAGATTGTTGTTTCAAAACAGAACTACCGCTGCGCTGGCTGTGGCACCCGTGTCGACCCTGGTACGAAATAAAGAAATATTTCAGAATAATTGTTAACTCCCTTCAAAGTTTGAAGTTTTAACATCATTTTAAAGGATTTTCAGTTTGGCAAAGCAAACTTTTTGTTTAAAAAAAAAAACTTTTGTTGTTTTTATTTCACAAAAGTTTTTTCAAGATTTTTTTTATTTTTATTTATGTTTGTAAAAAGACATGCAGGAATCTTTTCCTTTTGCTCTCTGTCACACTATCACTCAAACTTCTTATCTTTCCGCTCTCTCTCCTCACTTCAGACTATATCAAACGGCTACGTTACTGTGAATACCTCGGGCGTTATTTCTGCCAGTGTTGCCATGAGAACGCTCAGGCGGTGGTTCCAGGCAGAGTTTTGAGGAAGTGGGACTTCAGCAAGTACTACGTCAGCAACTTTGCCCGGGACCTGCTGAGCAAGATTGCCGGAGACCCTCTTTTTAATCCCAATGACATCAACAGTGGCCTGTACAAGAAAATCAAAGCTCTGGAGGCAGTCAGAGTGAGTACAGAGGCAGCATGAGGAAGATTTTACCTGTAACTAGGAGGTTAAAACGGTTTAGAAAAAAAAAACAGGTGATAAAATGATGTCATTTAAAAGACAAAGTGTTATTGTTTTTACTGAGCGTAGTCACTTAATTGTAAAGTGGTGACACTGACCTTGCGCTGCTAAAATTACTTGAATTATCCGTGTGGAAATCCACCAAAAGACGCCATTCATTCCCTTGTAAACACACTATCAGGTGATGCTAAAAAAAAACACTTGATCCTTTTTTTTTTTTAAACTTGTTATTTAGCAGCCAGTAACACATGACCATCGGACACAAAGTACCTTCAGTGTTCTTGATAAATCACATAGAAATTCCTTTAAAGCCGAGACATTAGCCATGCATTCTTCTGTGTTCATGGTTGAAAATCTCCGACCATTAGTTTCTCTTTTTTCTATGAACAAATTTATGCAGTTAAGTTGCTGTGTACTTGTGACATGTGCAATGACAGTAAACCAAATCTGATCTGATCTGATGTTGTAAGGATTTTACAGACCTCTCTAGAAATAGCTCGGCATCATCTTGTTTTATGTTTATGTATCATGTTGGCATGATATGTTCAACATTTTGATTGTTGTGCCTCAAAAACCTTTCACTGATGATGATTTGTATTTTATGGCTAGGACAGCTAATGAGGCTAATATGGTTGCAGGTCAGAGTTGCACAAATAACCAGTCCATTGAGAATTTAGGGCTAAAGCAGTGCTGAATATAAATCATTTTAACAGTACAGATCCTCTTATCGAGAGATTAACCTGATATATCTGCTCTTTCTGCCCTTATAATAAGTCCTAACTTTGTATTTCTCAGTGTTTAAAATCACGTTTTCTGTCATTCAGGTTTTGAGGGTGCAGCTGTTTCACATGAAAAACCTCTTCAAGACCTGTCGCTTTGCTAAAGAGTAAGTCTGCTGGTGCAGGATTTTTAGAGTTGTAACCTTAACAAAGTCTTCCTGATGAAAGGATGATGGTCATGACCCATATCTGCCTGTTTGGACCGTAGAGTGCTGGATCAGTTCGACAGCTTGCCAGGTCACCTGACAGAGGACCTCCACCTCTTCTCCCTCAATGACCTCACTGCTGTGCGCAACGGAGACTTGGCTTCCCGAATGAAAGAGCTGCTTAAACTTGGCACCATACACGCAGCTGGCTGTGTGGTAAGATCCCCACGAACGAAGCTAAACAAGCAGAGATTCACGGTGTTATCAGATGTTTATTTTTGTTTGTCCCTCTTTTTTATTTCTTCTTTCTCAGCTTTGCCAGGCCAAGGGTTTTGTGTGCGAATTCTGCAACAACGACAAAGACATCATCTTCCCCTTCCAGCTGAACAAGTGCCAACGCTGCGAAGGTGAGCCCTCTCTGCTGGTGACAGGCCTGGGCGCCTCACGAGCCCCCTCTCCCCGCCCCCCCATTCATCAAACCTGGAGAGACTGGAAGATCTCAAAACCTCGTAGGCTGGCAAAGCTCCTCTTTCGAGACAGGAAAGAAGGAGAGGGAGGAGAGGAGAATTTAGGGTTAAATAGGGATCAGGGGGTGGAGAGCGAAGACGATGAAAGGTGGGAGACAGCAGATGAGGGGCAGGAGGAAGGGAAATCTCCTGATAATCTATTTAAAGCTTTCTCCAGGAATAAAGGCAGAGAAGAAGAGCAGGAGATATCAGGAACGACAGAATCAGATAGTGAGGAGACAAAGTACGATGAAGAAGAAGAAGAAAAGGGGAAAAGAGAAACACATGGAGAGGATTTAAGTAAAGAAAAGACAAGTAAGAATAGGGAGGATGTGCATGAAAAAGGAGAAAAATTCAACTTATTAAAGGTTTTTCAAATAGACAGACTGAAGAAGAACGTCTCTGAGTATGAAACATGCAGCAGTAAAGAAAGTCTAGAAGAAGTCGGACTAGAGAGGAAAGGAAAATGGAAGATATCAGGGTTAGCAAGTTTTACCAGGGGTTTTCCAAAAAGAGAGGTTACTGATGGAGGAGAAGCAGAAGTGAAAGAGAAAGATTCTTTACAGAGTGAAACGGTCAACGAAGAGGAAGTAAAAGCCAGGAAAGATGCTGAGGAGAGAGATGGAAAGTCAGACAAAAGTCAAACGGAGGAAAGTACAGAGAAGTTTACACTTTTTAGATTATTGAAACCACATCAGCTGTCAGGTGTTTTCTCTAAAGGCAAGAGCAGTGTGAAAGAGAAGGAGAGAAAGGTAGAAGAGAAGGAGAGAAGGGTAGAAGAGAAGGAGAGAAGGGTGGAAGAGAAGGAGAGCAGGGTAGAAGAGAAGGAGAGAAGGGTGGAAGCAAAGGAGAGCAGGGTGGAAGAGAAGGAGAGCAGGGTGGAGAGTGATGGAAAAAGAGAGACTGATACAGACGAGTTTGAAAGCCAGCAAGTTAAACACACCAGCTGGAGGAGTCGTAAAACTCGCAAAGCCAGGAGAGTAACCAAGGGCAGGAAGAACAGGGAAGGGATGGAGAAAGAGGGCACAGACGGAGGTGGGGAGAGTGCAGAGAAAGAGGGTGGAGAAAGATGCACTGAAAAAGCAGCGGGACAGGAGTAAAGGCAGGAATGAGTCACAGATGCAGCATTTTCAGCTGCTGTGGAGATTCTCCAGAAAACAATAGTTTGTGTTTAAGTCCATGTTTCTGACTGATTTAATTAAACTGAGGGCTTCAAGTTCTTATTGAACCATATGACTTCAATGTCTACAGAGCTTTTTAACATTATGATGAGATTTTATGATTTTATTGCATCTGTAGTCTGTAAATTTTACATATGCGGCAAAACTGCATTTAATATATTTGGGGAAACAGCCTTTGCAGAAACAACATGATGTTGTTTACAAGGTGCTTTGCGCTGCATTATTCCTCCGCTGGATGAAGTTAACTCTTCCTGTCTGTTGCGTCATATCAAGTAGACTAAATGTTGAATTTCCCTTCAGATAATCTGTTTTCATTCTGCTGTGCTTTGGTGGTCCCTCCTCCTTTATTCCCTTTCTTACTTTCACAACTTCTCAGCTGTCTGGTGGTTTGAAACATAAACTCTTCTTCTGCTCTTCTTGTTGAGCACTGAGTTGCTTGCACTAGATTGGTGTTGGTTTTTCTTGGCCTGATTCCTGGAGCTCGTTGCAACATTTGCAAAGGTGGTGGAGGGTAGTTGTTTTCCTGGTATTTGGTGATGGGTGACTTCTGGCTCGATGATGTTTCTGAAGCTGTTTTCGGGTGTTTCTCCGTCAATAGCTCAGAGCTTCTGCGTTTGTTTTTGCCACAGGGATGGCAGATGATACTCTTGGTCTACTCTTGGTCCTTTATTTCAGCTTGAAGATACCTAAAGTATGAGCAGTCTTTGGCTCTAGACTCGTCCGTCAGAGTAGAGGAAATGATCTGTTGTAGCACCTTATGTCACCTGTGATTGTTTAGTTTTAATCAGATTTTATTGAAGAATGAGTGCAGCATTATTTGATGTGTTTGTCAGTTGTGTCTTAGTGTGAACGTGTGATTTAGCTGCTCTTACATCTGACTTCTATAATTTAAACTTCATCCTTATGTGAACATGAAATAAACACTATTTTTGAATTGGAGTTGCCTTTCATTTCATCCATCTTTCATTAATTATTTCTAAACCTTTGATAAGTAGTCTTTATAATCTTTTTGAGCTTAAACATTGAAGAGTTTAAAATCACTCTGGCGTCCTCTCTTGGAAGCTCTGGATGTGTCTGAACAGGTTGAGGGTGTGTTTCCTGGGATTTCAGCCTTCTCACATACCTGCTTCCTTACTCCCTACCTCTGCTATGCTGACTTTAACTCCTGAGTCTTTTATACCCTCCTGCCTCCCTCAGGCTCCATTGTGATTGGCTGTCATGTTTATGGCAACCTGGTTTTATTGTCGGCGAACTGGTTCGACTGGTGCTGTAGCATTGTTTGGTTTAGCAGATAGGAGCTGCTCTCTGAATGCTGATGTGCTCCTTTGTTTGAATAACCTCTTTGTGCTGTGAAGGCTTGAAAGGCTCATGTTTCTATCCCTTGTTTTTTTTTCTTCCTCTGTTTTCAGAATGCCACGCGTGTTACCATCGCAGCTGCTTCCGGGCCGGGAAAGACTGTCCTCGATGTCAGCGGCTGGCAGAGCGGAGGGAGAGGATGGCACGCAAAAACATGGAGGAACAAGAAGACGAGGGTGGTGGGAGCTAGTGGTAACTCAAGGACAAATGAAGAAGAGCACAATGTGACCATGATTGTAGTGACGGACCACCTCTGTCTTGACGTTCCAGTCCTCTCAGACCTGGGTGGCAATACTTGCTGCAGAAACGATTCGATCTTAAATCAAATACCAGGCGTACACTAATTTCCAGATGCATCAAATTGAAGTAAATGCTCCTTTACACCTGCAGTTTCCTCTGTGTGGAGGGTTCATTTTTTTGTTGAAGCTTAATTTACCGATCAAGATTTCTTTGAGTTAAAAACCTCTATGATCAGTCTACATCTCCCTTTAATGACACAGCGGTTCATCCTTAATATCTCATTCCTTGCTGTGTTACTAGAGTAAATGTCCTTTTGATATTTTGGAATTTGATGTGATGACCAAATGGCAGTGTCGAAGAGTCATTGTTGCAGATGTTGCCCCGTTTGTTTCTCTTATGTTTTTGGAGCAACACTGCGTTTCCTAAATGGCTCTGCGTAAGAAATCGACTAAAACCTTCAGCCTTACTGGGGTGTTTGATGCTCAGAAGAAAGCCTGAGATTCACCTAACTTCTTGGCACTTTGTCTCTGTGTGTTTAAAATCGAGTAGATGAGTTGACTCAGTTTTTGCTCAGGCTGTTGTACCCCAGGTTTGAAATTCCTCCTTCCTACAAACTGCAGCTTTTTTGCAACTGCTTCAACTCTGATGATTTTAACAGCTGCAGGCTTCGCTGGAGTTTGTTTTTGTGGCCTGATACGGCAGGATCTCTTTTGAAAATTTAAATTAAATAGAAAGCAATATTTCTTTTTTTTTTTTTTTTTATAATGATTTGAATGATTTTCAGTGTAGACACTGTATTGAGCAATCTCTAATCGTTTTATGTTGATTTGAAAGATTTGAGGTATTTAACTCTTCTTTTCCTGCCAGTTTTCAGTGTTTTTAAGCTGTTTTTTTAGCTACGCGTCTGTGCCTGCGGGACCAATGGAGTTAGACTTGTAGAGCTAGCAGAGTGTCATTTGAAAGCATAATTTATAGAAGGACTGGGCTTCCTAAAGGGGCCTCAGGGTCAGTGTTGAAAATATTGTTGAATGAAACTGCAAACGCTCCTGTTCTGTGCTGCTTTGAGTGATCGGGTGTGTGCGTGTGCATACTAGGAAAAAGCTTTTTGAATATTTTGAGTGTGTGCTTGTGTGTGTGTGTGTGTGTGTGTGTGTGTGTGTGTGCTTGTGTGTGCACATGTCTACCTGCTGTACCAGCAGCCATGCACAAATGGGTTGCACCAGCCTAATCAGCACTTGCCTGTTTTCTAATGTCGTGTAATAGAAGAGAGAGAGAGCGAGAGAGGGAGAGCGAGTCCAGAAGTTTGCACTGATCCTGTCTGTCTGTCTGTTTGTCTGTTGTTGGTGGGTTGGCGGGTTTAGGGCGTCACACTTTGGAGATTTTTGTGAAATATTAATGTTTGTTTCATCAAGCGCCTGCACTGCACTAAACTTTTAAGGGTTTCTGTTCAAAATCAGAGAGATTAAAAGAAACAACAGATACATAACGAGTAGAAAAAAATCCTGATCAAACAAAGACATCATTCCTTCTTATGAGTAAATCACAGTGGTTCCCAACCTTACTGGCCTGTGACTCAGAGCTGAGGAGAAACTGACATTTGGAAAAAGTTAGCTTAGCTTAGCATCAAGACTGAAACAGGTGAAAAAAAACAGCCTGACCCTGTTACAAAAAATCTCTGTGCCTGCCTAACAACATGATAGTACTTCTTATCGCTACAAGCACTGAAACAAACAAAAACAAGTCAGAGTTAAATGGGAGAATATGTACTGATAATTTTTCAACAGTTTATGTGACGAGTATATCTCTTGGTTAAGCTAAGTTAGTAGGTTGCTGGCTCATGTTTGCACAACAGAGGCGTGAAGAAAAGTTCCTTAAATGTCGAACTATTCCTTTAAAATGAAGCAGCTTATTCTGACTGTCTCTGCTGGCATAGACTTACCTCATACTTGAGTTTTGATTCGTCGACCAAACTCTTATTTTTCCTCTTCAGATTGTTTCCAAACATCGGTCCTTTTTTCACGTTCAGTTTTCTGGTGATCCGCAGATTGGTCTTTGGACCTCCAAGGCTCTGAACCACTGTGCTGGCCAACACATAAGAGGGTTTAGTGGGTCGGGGCTCTGCCTTTGCTTTGCATACAGCCACCTATCAGAAAAATAACCCGTCATGGGACACATTACGAGCAATAATAGTCCGCCTTAAAGGTTTAAACTGCAGTAATAAGACTGCTTTTCAATCCAACACTGAACTCTTAACAAGCTCCAGAACAAAGTGACGCTCAAAACCTCGCCTGCTTTTCCAGCACATTGTTTTCCTCTTGACTGCCTTTAACATGGAGCCATGTTGAGGTTTTAAAGTGCACTACACTTATTAAAAATGTTGATTTTGTTATTTTAATGATTGTTCTTTGTGGTAATTTGCCTTTGTTCTGTAATTATGTTGACAATAAAAGACTGGCTAGACTGTTGAGGAGTCTCATGGATTTTAATGTGCAGATAGAGAAATTACAGCAGTAATGACAAACTTTTGGTGAGAAATTAAAATGTTTGCAGCTGAATCATGATGTTTTAATAATAAAATTATTATTTCATACAAAAATAAACAATTTACCAAAGGCTTCTGTAAAACAAAACTGTGAAAGAACAAAGAAAAGACAAGAAGGAAGAAAAAGTTTGGACAAGTAAAGGCAGCACATCCTCTTATTTGAGACGTTTTTTCTGAGACATGATTAAATCAAACTCTAAAATTATATCAAAATTGCTTTAGATCAGCTGTTTCTATAAAAAAAGGCAGTTGATTGACTGAAATGTTTAGTTTTTGCCAATTTGAATTTCATCTTTGTCCAAATTTGCTAATCAACCTGATCAAGAAGTCACCAGCTGATTTTTAGAGACCACTTTCTTTGTGGTCTAAACATGGAGAAACAAATGGAGTGAAACTGTTTTGAACCTTTTTTTTTTTTATGTGCAACTTTATTTAAAAAAGCACAGTCAGAAGAGCATAACAAAATTTTTAGAATAATAATAATTATAAGTGAATAATTCAGATTTTTTCAACTAAAACCATGAAAATATAATTTACAACATATATTATCGAAGTGCTGTAAGTAAAAGTGATCATTGCACAGACTTGTCCACTTGAGGCTAATATGTATTATATACATCTATCATATATTAGTGTTGTAGGTTTATCTAGTGATCTCTAATTAAAAAATAGCGATGAGACAAAGTAGCTGTAATACTCAGTTCTGTGTTGAGCAGAGCAGCAGAAATATTTCTTCTTCAATGTGGCACTACACTACATTTTAACTAAACAATGGCGCCATCTAATGGATAAGATGAGCAGAAATGAAACATTTCTTTTTAAGTAGACTGGCTGTTCTAACGCAGGAGAGCGACTGTAAGCTGAGTACAGCTGCCAAACACAGTAAACTGAAACTGATGAGTGATTATTTTTAGACCAATCGAATGACACAACACATATGCGATTAAAAAAAAGCATGCCAATGAAGTTCATTCTTGACCTCTTTTCAAAATGTTCCTCTGCTAAAATTCTAGAATTTGTCATTCAGTAAAAAGTCCTTAAACTCACATCTAAATTGACAAAAATGAAAATACCAGTGTCTTGTTTAAAGAAGGAATCATAACTCCTCTTTTCCAAGAGCTGTAAAGTCACTGAATAGTTTTACATCTCAGGATAAGATGCTGGTAACTCTGTCTCCACAGGTTAAATTATTGCAGATTCTCTTGATGGTTATGAATGTGTCTGTCTGATTTAAATCCGTCTATTAACTCCTTAGTTTAATTTTACTTTAGAGTTATTATTCCAGATCCAGATACTGATGATGGTGATGAAGCTGACAAGGATGAAGAGGATGTACAGGCCGAAAAGCAGACGGTCGATGACTATCCCAATCATTTGCCACTCATGAGAGGTGCTGGTCCCCTTGAAGTGATTGTCTATCTGCAGGCGGATGACCGTGAGATCTTTGCCGATCTTCTTCAGTTCCTCCAGGGCCGGGTCAGGTTTGTCTGAGGGGAGTAAGGGGCTTGGGGAGAGTTTTGCTAAAGTTTCATCCCCGGAGATGGCATGGATTATTGTCGGTTCTGTCCAAAATAATAAAAAAAAACAATAAAAGTGGTTATAATTTATTCTATTTACACTGCTAAAATGGGATGTTACGAGCGTTAGTAACCTTGAGAAGACTGTCTCACTTACCAAAGAACAAAAAGAAAATATAACAAAGATATTACTACTGTACCTCTGGTAGACTGGTTGAGGTTGACAGTGACTCGGTTGCTCTTTTTCTTCGGGGGAAGACAGACTACAATAGCAAGATATCGCAGCACAAGGACGCTCAGCCAGTTTGGAACTGCACTGTACTGACTGGAGCTGTACTGGACATTAGTGATGAACACCGTCTCCAACAGGCTGGTCACCATCAGAGCCAGGCTGAGGGAGAAGAAAACATCTACAGGACACACATCAAAAGATATTAGATTCAGTAAGAACTACACAATTTGTTTATCATGAATGCTTAAATACATGAACTTAAGCCTTATTGGCTTTGATGTAGGCCTTATTCTGGAAAATGTAATACAGTGTGAGCTTAACAAACATGTAAGAAATGTCCTTTTTAATCTCATTCTAGTTAGTGGCTTTTTTTAAACGGGAAAAGCGTCATAAAAAAAGGAAATATGTTGACATAAAAACATTTGGAGGATATTTGGATTTATCTAATTATTTCACAAAAATAATTGTGATTTTTTTTTAACCCTCCTCCTGTGTTAGGGTCTGCACCGACCTGTTTTTGTTTTTAAATGCTTAAAAGAACCACTTAAATTAGTTTATTTGCATCAAGACGTTTTGACTTTGTTAGGAACCTCTATTTCAACAAAAATGAAAATAAAATAATCAAATTGACTAAATTATAAAATGCTCTTATTAAAATGATGGCACTTGTTGTGTTAGGGTCACTGTTGACCCAGTTAGATTAAAAATCAATGATTAGAACAAAAACTGAAATCATATTGTGCACTGTCAGGCACCTCAATGACAGTCAGATCCTCTTCCAATCATGTGAGATTTAGGAAATTCTCATTTACCATGATTTACCCTGCACAAAAAACAACGTCGGGCATGTCCAGACATGTGAGATCAATTAAGTGTAGATGTCTGTATGAGGAGTATACTGACAAAGAAAAGCCCAGAGGACCACTACAAAAATATTACAAACCATATTTTCATGGATAATGAAGCCTAACAATGTAACCTAGAGATGAGAACCAAATTGGATGATAGAGAATTTTTTATTAGTGTTATTAACAGCTGATTTAAGACACGGGTCAAAACTGACCCTTGACATAGTGGGTGTGTAGTAAAAGCTAACATAGGAAGAAGGTTAACATGCTCAGTTCACAGTGAAGAAGACTCTTTAACTCTGCTGCTCTTTTCGGAGATGTAACTCACTGATGAGAGGTGTCGTTTCTCCAGTCACAGGCAGCAGGTCATTCATGATGAGCAGGAAGACCGTGTAACCCAGGATCAGAGTCATCTTGAAGGAGGATCTGTCCACACTTGATGGAGGCAGTAGGAAGCTGAAAAGGTCCACCGTGACAAGGAAGCAGCTGGGGATCAACAGGTTCACCACGTACAGGACAGGCCGGCGCCTTATGAGGAGCTTTGGAGGAAGCAGGTACAATGAGACTTGAATTAGGCTGCTAGATAGAAAATTACATTCTCTGGTATTTTAATCAATTGCAGTGTTTTATCTTGCAGAGGTAGCCTGCTACATGTTCTGTGTAACCTCAGTCCAAAACTGCCATAATTTTGCCTTACAGGATAAGGAAACGTAGGCTTATAGATTTTTTTTCTTACAAAGTTGCTATTGTGAGACAAAAGATGGAAAATATACAATAGATCAGTTTGATGTTAAAGAAGAGCTTACACTGTAGGCAACCTGAGAGTAGCTTCCACCTTCTAAGTCCAGGATATAAGGGGTCACAGTGATGCCTATGAGCTCCCACTCCCCATTGGTCTCAATCACTGTTCTGGACTCTTGCAGGATGTCTTCAGCTGAGGAGCCTTGCACCATCTTCACGTCCGTAGCTTTAGTGAAATATTTCACACAGTTTTTGCATCACGTTGGTAGATGCTCAAAGTGGAGTTTGACATCTAACTTGACAAAGACCTTCAACAATTAAAACGTTTGACATAAATACTCTTACCAAAGTGCACATATGCTCCAAAGGTCAGCGAGCAGTTCTGGATGTCGAAGGGAAAGGTGTAGATTTCTAACCGACAGGAGCTGATCACCCTGACAGGCTTGTCATCATAAACATGACCTGTGTTGTACAAGTACACATAGGGAGTTTTTGGAGAGGTATCTTCATCCATGCTAAAAGTGAATGGAATAGAGTTAAGAATTGATCATTAATTGAATCCAACACAAAGTAAAATAACAGACAAAAATTGCTGTCTTTAATCTCAAAATAAGCGTCAGGATTATTACCTTAGACTATAAATGAGGGTAATGGGAACAATGTTTGCTGGTACTGACATCTCAGGTTTTTACTTTTATCATAATTTAAACTTACAACTCTCCAATGTGGACATCTGGAACCCAAAGCTCTTCCCGAGGGACTGAAACTCGGTCCGTTCCACATTCCTCCTTCTCCCAGCTCAGTCCGTCTATTTGCCACTCCTTCATTTGACAGAACAAAAGCAGTGTTACCGACAAAATATCAAAATATTCTTTTTTAGCCTTTATTTTTGTGTGTAAACTTTTTGTATAATACCTCATCAGTTTACTTTAATTCTAGTGAGACTAATTATCAAGTTTATTAAATCTCAACAAGTAAAATAGTGAAATCTTTATCTGCAGATTTCTGACTGATTGGTGCCTTAAAGTTCTAATTTCAGTGAGATTACACATCATATCTTTGTTTATCCCTGTTTTTCTTCAATCAAATACTAACCCATAAATAATAATCTACAAATGGTCAATGTCATCAGGGTAAAATAAGAAAAATCTCATCATGAACTTACTAGTACTTGCCATATGACTGTTGTCATGGTTTGGGCTTTCTCATCCTGTGAAGGTTAATTAAAGGTATTTAAGTAGATTGCTGATGATTTTGACAACAAATATGTGAATTCAACATTATTTGTGTTTATAGAGAGGTAGTATTTGTGTAAAGGTGGACTCACCACTCCTAAAAGTCCCACCACAGTGATACTGACTGTCACTTCAAATGGGTGAGTGAAGTTGTTTGGAGGCACCAGTTTTTCAGAGAATAATTCCTTTTGTAGTGCGCGGTACAAGGATTTACGGGTTGGGCTGGTGCAGTTTAGTGCTGCGGTGAGACCTATAAATAAAAAAGGCAAACAAAATTAGTGACACATGTCATGTACAATGCTACACTGGGTCCCAGTACAACAATGCTCACATTAAGGAATAATACTGCAGTAAACCTAGCAAAGGGCCTTAGCTAGCAACAAGTCTTACAATAAATAAACTTGTCAGAAAACAATGTACCATGAAGTAATAAAATGTAGTAAAAATTATAAATTCGTGCATCAAACTACAGTATATTTAACAATATAAAATATGTTCTGTTGCTCAGATATTTTAAAAAGTCATGTCTTGTTTTCACTGTCACAGAGTGTCTGCAGTATCAGACTGTATCAGAACATAATAAACTCCTGTGCTACTTCAGATTCTTTGATTTGAAACAAATTGAGAATTATATTTAAAATAAAAAGGGAAAGAAAAACAAGGAAAAGAAGAATTTTGATTTGCTTGAACAAAACCATTCAAAAGAAGGAAACATAAAAATTAGAGGTAACCAATCAATGGCATCTTGATGTAATTAGTGTCACATCACCATCAGCCCTCACAAGGCTAATAACACCATGATCTCTCCGAATGAAAAATGCATTTGACAACATATGAAATCCAAGACTAACTACTGTTTGTCATAAATTGGCTGCTTATAAACTGATATTATTCATCCACTGATAAAAATGACCCCTTTCACAGCAGTAGACAGGAAAACAGACCATGTGTAGGACCTTACATGGTATTTATATACAGCAGTACACTAAAGAAACAGAATTAAGATATATTGCTAGAAAATCATTGGACATCCTGTCACCATTGTCTGTTTGATGGCAAAAAAAATAGTGAATATAAGTGAATATAACGATTTAGCTGAATTAAACGCCACCTCATATCTCCCATATAAAAGTTGTGATTAATTTTCAGACTTCACTTTAAAACGATGACAGAGATAAATACTTGTTGTATCAGCCACACATGCTTTAGTTGGCTGTTTTTCTACTACTGAAACTCCTCTCTTTGCAATTTATAATCCCATATTATTTTATTTATTTTAATCCCAAAGTGGCGTCTCATACCTTTAGAAATGCCTAAAGCTTTACAGAGGTGTTTGGGTTAGGATTATAGTTAAACCTAACTGGAGGCGATGCAAATCTACAGGCAAATATCACAAACTCTCAGTTTCAGCCGATTACAAGCAACACGCAGTCCTCTTGTTAAGGATCAAGAAATCCCTCTCAGCTCTTAACTGGCAGATAAACTTGAATGAATAATGTCATTCATTCATTTATCTAACAGGAGAGGCAGATATTATAACGGCTTTGTATTGTAAATTCAATAAGATATGGAAGTTACTTTATTTTAAAAGAGTTTCTTAACACATTTAGTTAATCTGTATTTTCCTGCCTTACCGTGAAGCAGCATGAAACAGACAAAAATTGACCACGCTGGTTTTTCCTTCATCTTCAGTCTCAGTTAAGTCTTTCCCATGACAAAAACCCTTGTCTACTCCATCAGACTGGGACTTGTCAGAAGTGAGGTAACATATGTAAGCTCCTCAAGAGGTTAATATTGACTGTGGACTCTTCTGCACCGAAATGTGACTTACGCCCCTGAGCATCTCCATTTGTTTGCATAATTAGTGTTTGGACTGTACAACGGGTTTTTGAGGACTTCAGTATGTATGTCAATAACTTTACTGGAATGCATGACAGCTGAGGCATTGGCAAACACAATTATGTCCACTTAGCTGATCCCTGTGTCTCCTGTTGTCTCCTTGTAGACACTTTAACTCATCGAAGAAACAAAGGATGCTTACTTGCCTGTTTTTGTGTGTTTTAAGTTCTTTGGAGAAAAAAATGCAATTGTACAGTTTGATTTTTGCTATGAAAGAGGCAATTTTGTCCTTTTGAGGCAAAGTAAAGTAGCTCCAGTGCGTCTTTACCCATCGATTTGAGCATGGTGTTGAAAACTGCTGTCCCAAGTCCTTGTAGCAGCAACAATTAAAGAAACAACATTGACACACATGCAGGTAATGGTTTCTGACAAATGATGAGTAATCTGTTCTTGTAAGTTATGTGGCATAGTGTTCATTCCGGTGTTTAAAGAAGAGAAATAGCTGCCTGGTTTCTCAGACAGAGAATAATTTACACAGTTTAAGTTAGATTTTAGAGGGTCTCACTGATGAACAAAGGATCATGTGTCTGATCACATTGAGAGAATAGAGTTGAAGACAAATGAGCGCATTAATGTGATGATTTTATTTCTGAATTCTACATACAACAACTTTTACATTAGAATTCTGTCTACGCAAAAACAACCTCGAACAGGAAAATAAAACTTACAAAGTGAACCACTTAGGTGTGAAAATTGGATCAAGGGTTGGAGCTGTAGTTCTGCCAGATTGAATGTTGTCTGACAGATGTTATATTGGGTTTTTAGCTTTTACAGTAAATTCCAACATTGTTATTTTCGATAGAAATGAGCAAGAAGCTTCCTTAAAGGGGCTCAGGGAACCTTCCTTTTTGTCAAGTTCATCCATTGCCTAGAAACTAAAAATATTTCCAAAGCTGATAAAAACCCAGCAGACACAGAGTTTTAAATGTTGAAGTAAGTCTTTGTCCATCGTTTGACCTAGAGAAAAGTTTTTATCTGAATTTCCAATGAACAAGAAAGGAATAACAAACATTCTCCACTATTGACAATGACAATGATAATAAAAGCACATTTATTTTTCTTCACTTCATTTCTGTGTGTACTTTTTGGTTCATCTGCCTGCAAACAAAACCAGTCTTTTGTTTGTTTTTTTTTTGTAAAATCAAGCATAGAAAAAAAAATGAATTGGATATATTCTGCAGAAACTGATTAATGTTGACAGAGACCTCACTGGAGCTTTGAGTCATAAGGGAAGCTTTTTATTTTGTTATTCTACTGCTGTGTGATTTATGCGCCCAGCCCTTGTTGACATCCGACCAATGTCACGCAACTACTGGCTGATCCAGATACACCACATAGAGATGATCACCAGGGCGTAGCAGGAAATGAGGAGCAGGTAGATGCGGAAGAGCAGGAAGTCGAGGACGTAGCCCACATGGCACCACTGGTCCTGGAGCTCACTCTCCTTCTGCAGCGAGGTGAGATGGGCGCGGAGGTCGCCCAGGTATTGACAGATCTGCTGTAGTTCAGGTAGAGACGCTACACCTGGGAAGAGGATCCATATGTCTTTTTGGTCAGAGTTAAGAGTGAAAGTAATAATGTGATTCCTGTGTGTGAGCTGACTTGATTTGAAGGTATTTGTAAAGTAAGAACTTCTCATAAGATGTAATACTCTTTAGATAACCATCAGTAAGAACATATTGGTGTCATGGTCTTGTTCGAGTAAAGGTAGGGTATGTTTGAGTACCTCCATCCGTTAGGTTCTGTGCAGGAGGTCGGTTGGCTGGTTGGATGATCCATGGACCTGTAGTGCTGCTGTTTGAGCTGTCAGCTTTATCTCCATGTGGTGTAACAGGGGGCTGGGCGTCCTCCGGCTGTCTGTAGCAAATGAGGTTGGCGATATGTTTGAGGACAACCACCCGGACCCAATTTGGAACTTCTCGATATTTCATGGAGTTGTGATGGAGGACGTTGGTGATGATGACGGTCTCCAGTAGACTGATGACCATGAGGGCCAGACACACTGAGAAATAGATTCCTGGATTGAAGGACAAAGGGAGATTAACACATGCACAATAATCAGAGGAAACTTGAAAAATCTCCATAAAATATTCTGCTAGGAAATGCAGAATCTGCAGGGAAGTGACATTATTTCTTCGTTCCTAGCATTTGTCTACAAATAGAAAAGGACAAATTTCTATTTCTTGAGCTAAATTGTTTTTCTGTATCCAGCCAAAATGGATTGGTGTTGTTTTTCCAGTGTCTAGTGTACAGTTATTGGTGTGATATAATATGGAGAAAAAAGTTTGGAGCCCCAACTCCTTCGTATTGTCTGTGTCTCTGGGGGGTGACAGTTTGATTCTTGGTTTTGTTTTTGTTGGGTTTTTTTTCCAATAAAAATGAGTTACTGTACTATTCACAGACTTATCCTATGGGTGGGGTGTTCAGTATCATGTCAAAGATGTCATGAACTCAATCAATCAATCTTTATTCATGTAGCGCCAAACACTGCAACTGTTATTCCAAAAAGCGTAACAAAAAGCTGGTCTAGATCAGACTCTAATATTGGAGGGGATATTAATATTTATGGTTAAATTCAGGATAACAGTCATTTGTTTCATCTTTCTTCACTGTCTTTATTTTGTGCGTAAGAGGAAAATAAATGAGCTGAAATAAATCATTCAAATTTGATGAGACTGAGATTGCGAGCTCCAGAATACATTTGGCTATATCTTTCAGGAGGGGATCCCCAACCCCAGCATCCCAGTTAGATCAGGTAATGGGCAGAATTTCAGATTTTGTCCAGTTCATGAGGTTGCCAGACACTTCACTGTAGTTACTGATTAGACTATAAACTGATGGAAGTAAAGATGAGGGATTTGTGATAAATAGTAGGATGTCGTCGGCATAGAGGCGGATTTTCTGGTGGTGGGATTTAAATTGTTTGCTGGAATTGTTCGTCTAAAAGAAAGAAGCAGGTATAATCGTCATCCCTGTGGAGTACCTCTTTAGACCACTTTGTCTTCTCTCAATTTTATTACTGATGACCACATTTCGAGTGATACTGGGGCCTTGAAACGAGAAAATGTCAGCGCTCTCTCAGACCTATAATAGGTGTGCCGTTGGCCGTGCTGGGCAGCAGGTCATTCATGATGAGCAGAAATACAGTGTAGCCCAGGATGAGGGTCATCTTGAAGGAGGCACGGTCCACGCTGTGGGGGGGCAGGTAGAAGGAGAGGATGTCGATGAGCATGAGGAAGGAGCTTGGGATCAGCAGGTTGACCACGTAGAGCACTGGCCGTCGCTTTATAACCACCTGGTGTCAAAGTCAAACATTTTTGAACACAAGTTTTGTTCACAAACCTTTAAATGATAAAGAAACTGTGAATGTGGAATGTGTTTTTGTCTTATAGATGTTTTATTTACTTCTGCATTTGAATAATTCATAGATAAACCTAAACCCTAACTCTTACCCAGAAGGTGATGATGTCCCACTCATCGATCCCAAACGTGAGGATAGACGTCTCCCCCAGTATGTCCACCAGTTCCCACTCTCCACTGGCCTCCAAGTAACGTTTTGAGTTTCTAGACATCTCTGTGAAGGTCAAGGCTGGACTGACCCTCACATCCCTTACTGTAACGGATGAAAACACAACAAGATTACACTGTAAAATAATACAAGCTCTGCTAAATACATGTAGCGACTCAATTTAATTTAATTTGGTACTCTTTTCCTCAATAGATACCATGTCACGTTTTTTTCTTACTGGTGTGCATGTAGGAGCCAAATGTAAATGTGCAGTTCTGCACGTCAAAAGGAAAACTGAAGATCTCCAGGTTACAGGCTGAGACTAGCCGAAGCATCCTGTCCCAGCGGATGTGGCCCGTGTGGTTCACGTAGACATAGGGACATGCTTGGGAGACATCATCGTCCACACTGCAGGGTGAAAGGGCAGAATAGTAAGAAATATACCCTGCAATGGCCACCTTGTTGCATAAGCTATCTTTTACTTACAAATGTTATTAGATCATTGTCAAGGATTAATGGATGCATGGATACATTAATGAGAGACACAAGCACTTGATAAAGTACTCAAGTGTTTGTTCACAACCTTGGGGAGGTATTAAAATGGATGAAAAAACAAACTTATGCAGCAGGAACACTTACAACTCATACACAATGATGTCTGGAGACCAGAGCTTCTTCACAGGCAGAGAAATCCTTGTGACCCCGTCACACTCTTCAGGTTCCCAAACCAGGAACTCATGGTGCCAGTACTGCAGTAAATTCACCGGAGAAGATTCACGGTTAACCTCCCAGCATAGACTTGAACTATCAGCTTTCTAAATTGTATTTCATCAATGGGCAGATTTTGTCTTTTTTTTCTACTCACCAGTCTCAGCCACAAGAAGGTGGTGAGAATTTGTGTTTTCTCATTCTGAAATAAGGTAAACAACAGATTAACTTCAACTGAAGATGATTATTACCTCTTAAACTTTGTTATAGGTCAGCACAAAATGGAGTTTTTGTTTGAGAATACAACTTGAAAATATGATTCTCGGTATTAGGAACAGCAGAGCTGACTGCACAGATTAAATAAGCTATTCTGTCTCTAAAAGCCGGATGAAGTTTCTTTTACTTCTTCTCAAAATTGAGAAACTCACCACGCCCAGAACAGCATACAGAGTAAAGGAAATGTTAGCGATGGTGGGATTGCTGAGATTCACTGCCGGTCTAAAGGGTTTCAGGTCAAACACATCCTGCATGGACTCGTAGGTTGGACCACTGTGTCCGTCTTTGCAGGTCAGTTTACTTTCACAGAGAAACACTGAAGAGAGAGAAAGTTTAAAGACGTGCTGAGATTTATTTTCATTTCATCTGAGTGGAAAACCTCCACTTCCTACTTTAAGAAATCCTGAGCTGTTACTCGGAATAAAAAGCTCATCCAAACAAAATGAAATAAATTGTACTTTTGCGGTAACAGATCAAAAATCATTCAAGAGTAAAAGAAAGTACTTAAACTTTTTGTTTTAGTTCAAAGAAAACAGACATGGAAGACAAAATCAGATTTGAATGAACTTTACAAAATTAAAAAAAATTTCTCAACAGCCAGAAATATTTAACAGCATCATGATTTTGTTTCACATAGCAAGCTAAAGCTTTTTCATATCAAATATATATACTTTAATTAATTACATATGTTCCTCTTGTAAAATAGCAAAATGTTTAGACAATTTAACTCTGCACACAATTCATCTAAAATGTAAAATACAGTGGAATGATGGATTTAAAATATTAATATTTATTTGCCTAGAAGCCTCTGTACTACGATGGCTCTTACTCAGAAAAATACAGCACATAAAAAAGATGAACTTCTTTTTCCAACACTTTACATCCCTCAGTTTGATAATACACCTGTGCAAAGCTACTTATACGTAATAAATTCTTTTAGAAAACGTATAATAATTACCTGTGATGAGGAGTAAAGCTGAGATAAGGCTGATCCTCTGTTGACGCAAAATCATCCTTCATACTCTTCACACTCTGCAGACTAACAGTCTCTTCAAAGTACAGACAGTTTCCACCGGCTCAGTAGTGCACACATACACTTATTACTCCTTATTAGTGTTTCACTGGATACTGAATAGGCTCGAATCAATCCTCTGGAGACATACTCACTTCTAACTACTACATGCTGACTCATTACATTAGCCTAACTTAACACAAGTTTTGTAGGTGAGTTCATAAATGGAATAAACATAATAAGAAACACAGTTAGGTTCATTGCCCCACAGTCATGCATTTAATAATTTACACACATTTCACACTCAAACACCTCCAATAAAGAAAACATCACAGGATTTATTCCAGATAAGTACGTCTGAATTAAAAGTTAAAACTTAAAAAAAAAAATAAAAAACTGGTACAAAGATAAACTGAATTCATTATTTTAGGGACGGTTTGTCTTCATGGGTTTATATTGAAACTCAAAGAAGTGTAAAACATACAAAACTAGGGCACATGCAGTCTGGTTATAAGTACACAGAGGGAAAACAGGAGTTGTTGTTAAACACCCTCAATAACCACTCGCCCGTTTTATTTTTTTAGCACCTTCACCCATGAGAGTATCTATCTGTTCCACTGTGCTTATTATTGACTTTCGGTGTTTTACAAAGCAGAGACTAAAAAAAGACTTGTTAGCACACTGTATCTACTCTTTATTTTTACTGTGGTACAAGTAAAATAAAAGATCAGAGTCTCTGGGAAGCATTTCATCATCACAACTAAGAATCCTATCAAAGATTTAATGGTGAATCCAATATTTGGACTTGTAATATACTGTAGTAAAATAAGTTACACGCTTCTATCATTTTTTACTCGTGACTATAAACTTAAAACTGCCAAAACTTTGACATGTGATCATGACAGTGGTGTGATTTGACAAGTTAACTAGTCTAAGGAATTATTCCAGATCCAGATGGATATGATGGTGGCGAAGCTGGCTGAGATAAAGAGAATGTACAAAGCAAACAGCAAACGGTCGACGACAATCCCGATCATCAACCATTCCTGGGAAGTGCTGCTTCCTTCCATCTGCTTGTCAATCTGGACTCTGATGGCGGTGAGGTCTCTGCTCAGTTTACGGAGTTCATCCAGAGCCGGCTCCGGAGGGGGTTTATCGGGGTAGACGCCCGGAAGATCTCTGACAGAGACGGTGATTGTGTCTATTGCTAGGTAGGCAAAATAGTAAGAATTCAGAGTCAGGGTAAGGAAAAACTTATCAAAAGAATGCTAAACAGCCTTTTTGCTACCTTATACTTATCCTTATACCACAACACTGGCAGCAACCTACACCTGCAGAGGCACCAACACCTTATGGCATATAGATTCATATGTTAAACTAAAGCCATATGCTATTGCTATAAACGGCTGCACTGAGGGATTTAGCCTCTGCACTGCCATTTCCCCCTCCTCAAAAACAATGATTCACTACAAATCTGCCTGGTTCTTTCTGCGGAAAAGATACATTTCTTGCATTTGTCCTGATACTTATGACAATGTGATGCTGAAACGCCATCCTGAAAGGATTTAGTATCTCCTTGTTTGTGAAACCTTGCTACTGAAGTTCAGTTCATCTAAATGCCCCACAGCGCTCATTTAAACAACTAAACAACAGGTTAGAATAGCTATTAGCTAAGACTTCATTCTTGTAAGTAACAATTTTATAACTACTTTATTCTCGTAACGATTTTATTACGACTTTATTCTCGTAAGTAACGATTTTATTACGACTTTATTCTCGTAAGTAACGATTTTATTACGACTTTATTCTTGTAAGTAATTATTTAATTACAACTTTATCCTTGTGAGTAACTATTTTATTACAACTTTATTCTCGTAAGTAATTTTTTTATTACAACTTTATTCTTGTAAGTGGCCCCTATACTCCATCATAGGTTTGTGACCAACAAATACTTTTTTTTTTAATTTAGATTTTCAATAAAAGCATGTATAAACACTGATATAATTTAAAATGAGCTAAATTATGAGGCAGAGATGACCCTTCTTCAGCTATTGATAGCTTAGCTTCCATGCTAGTGCTGCTGCCAAGCTTTCCTCTGTAAAATATGCAGAGGCACCTGCTGTTTTTTTATTTATGTTGTGGTTTCATCTCTGAAAAGTTCTCTTAATTGTGAAGTGTATAATCTTTAAGCTTGTTGGTCAAGCTGAATGTTGTAAAAGTTTTCCCGATCTTTTTACTTCACAAGAAGTAGCATGTAATATTGTTTCTGTTTCAATCAGATGTAGCAGCAGGGACAGATTTAAGAAAAGAGGCACAATCACATCTTCATACGTCTGTTAGGTGGATGAAGGGAGACCGTGACGCGGTTGCTTTTCTTCTTTGGAGGGAGACACACCACCCTGGCCAAATATTGCAGCACAAGGATGCTGAGCCACTTTGGCACTGCACTGTACTGACTAGAGCTGAACTGTAGATTAGTGATAAAGACTGTTTCCAGCAGGCTGGCCACCATCAGAGCGAGGCTGAGAGAGAATAAAACATCTGCAACAAGAGACGGACAAAAATGAGAAGAGGTGTTTTCACTCAGACTTTGCTCTTCAAGGCTGAGGTATTATCGCTTACTCATGAGAGGTGTTGTATCTCCAGTCACAGGCAGCAGGTCGTTCATGATGAGCAGGAAGACTGTGTAGCCCAGGATCAGAGTCATCTTGAAGGCGCCTCGGTCCACGCTATGAGGGGGCAGGAAAAAACTGAAGAGGTCCACTGTGATCAGAAAGCAGCTTGGGATCAGGAGGTTCACCACATAGAGGATTGGCCTTCGTCTTAAAATGATCTTGAGGTAAGATAAAAGACAGAGACTCAAGGTTTTTGTAAACCTTTACAATATTTACTGTAAAGTTTCCTCTGCTAAAGCTTTACATGCATTTTCAACGGCCTTGTGGACTTTTGGTGTTCTGCAAGGGTCTGTCCTTGGTTCTGTTTGGCTCTTGGTTTTCATGCTTCCTTCACTAAAATTATTTACAAAAGAAAACATAATTCTACTTTGAAAATTTCCCTGTTGTTGCTGTTCCTCTGTAGTTCTGTCTTGTGAGTTTTCAGTTCATGTCTGACCCCGGTTCCCTCATGTTCTCAGTCTTTTATTCTTTATCAGTTTTCAGTGTTTCCTGTTTTATTTTGTAGTAGTTTATTCCCTGTGTTTCTAGTCTTGTTTTACTTCCTCAGTTTTCCCTCCTCTATTGTCTGCACCTGTGTCTCCTGTATCTTGTATACTGATGTCTTTGTGTTTATGCCAGTGTCTTCTTGTGTATTTTTTTTCCACCAGTGCATTTTCTTGGATTTTAAATTTTTGAGTTTGTCATATCCTATTAAGCTTTTGTTGCTTTTTATTTAGTTATTTTTTCATTAAAATCACTTTTTGTTCTGCAATTGGGTCCTTTTCTGTTTTTCAACTTTGCCAACATGACAATTTGTCTAATTTATCTTTCTTTTCTTTTTACTTTTTCTTTTTATTCATTTAAAAAAACATTAAAAGTCTAAATTAGTTTAAATAAAGAAATAAAATTAAGTGTCTCCTCCTTTTTTTTTTTTTTAACCAGAGTTGATTAAAAATGAGTTCAAACATATAAACAAGTGTTTCTCATGTGAGTACAGCATTAAAAAGGTAAAAGTGCTCACATAGAATTTGACCTCAGAGAAGCCTCCCTCGGCAATCGCCATCGTACTCGGATCTGCTTTGATATCCACAAGCTCCCACTCCCCTTTGGTCTGCAGCACGTTTTTTGACTCTATGAAGATTTCATTAGCCGTTCTGCTTTGAACCATCTGTATGTCTTCAGCTTAAAGCAAATCAGGAACATTTCGGTCAGTTTCTCAGTAAAGTCTTGTAAAGGCGTAAAAACACAAAATTATAAAATGATGTGTCATTTGTTACAAACTCTGACATAAACATTAGGCTTACCAAAGTGTATGTAAGGTTGAAATGTCAGACTGCAGTTTTGGATGTCGAAGGGAAAAGTGTAGATTTCTAACCGGCAGGAGCTGACCACTCTCTTGGGCTTATCATCATATACAAGTCCTGTGTTGTACAAGTAGACGTAAGGAGTTTGGGGAGAAACATCTTCATCCATGCTGAAAAAAAAAAAAGATAATACAAAAATATTGAATAAAAAAATGAAAAGTCCTTCTTCTTTATTTTAATTATAAAATGAGCGTCATGCAAACAGATCAAAATGTAATAGAGCTTCATTTAGAGGATATCATATTTATGTTTGAGGCATATTTTTCTTTTTGAACAAATCTTACAGACTGCTGAAAATCTTTTTTGGCTTACAACTCTGTTATGAGGACGTCAGGGACCCAAAGATTTTGACGAGGAACCGTGACTCTAGTCGTTCCACACTCCCTCTCATCCCAGCTCAGTCCGTCTATTTTCCACTGCTGAGGTAAACAGGAAACAGTCAGAATTCAAAGTGTCAAATTTATGACACTAAATACATTCTCTCTTGAATCAATTTGCTGTTTTCTCATCTAGTACTGATAAAACTCATGACAAGCTCAAAACAGACATGCATGCTACTGTAGATGCTTCTGAGGGCAGGTTTGGCAGACTTGAGTTAAAGAAGACGTCTGTGTGATTTAGGCTCCACAAAGGTATTAACCTTTTTTTTCCTTTTTATTTTCACAATAACATTTTAAAAATAGACAAATTTCACTTTTAAAACCTACCAGAACCTGCCACAGGTATGTCGTCAAGGACTGGGCTTTTTCGTTCTAGGGATGAGACAAGTTCCTGATCATCATGAGGCATACAATTCACTCATTTGTTAAACTTAGCTAATAAAGTATCAGATCTGAATTTTGCATTGAACTCACCACTCCCAGAATTCCCACCAGGGTTATGTCGATGGATACATTTAGTGTGTCTGAAAAACGTTTTACAGGTCGCAGCATTTTTTTAGAGAAGAGTTCCACCTCAAGGGCATCAAACAAGGATTCAGGTGTCGGGCTGCTGCAGTTCAACGATGCAGCAAAACCTGAGTTTAAAAAAAGAGGAAACATTATTTTAAAAGAGAAATCACTAATACAGAGCTTGGAAGCTTGATTAATCATTTCATAAATAGCATTAGCTGCACAGGCCACCCTTTTATCCTCTAAACTCTCATTACTTAGTTTTTCTGGTGAGATATCATTGTGTCTATGAACCATTATTGTCATGACTGTAATTTTTCACATCAAGATCCTTTTCTTCATTTTTGAAACTCATGGTTTTCCTTTAATCTGTAATTAAGTATTGGCGTGCTAACAATCTGATTTAAGGTGCTACATGTGATAAACATCTGCATGCTAGTGTAGCAGCATAGAAATAAATGTATTTCATTATGTGCAGTGAGCTGATTTGGTGATTGAGCCCCACAGGTGTCCAATCACGGAACAGGTGGAGAGTGTTTAACCTGTGACTCCTCCCCCTGCTTCTCCCTTTGTGCTCCTGCTTGTGCTGCCTCTCGGTGCTTTGCTGCTTCAGGTATGCCCTTATTGTTTTACCTGGGTAGTGTTGTGGTCCATCAACTCAATGTTCATTGTTTGTTTTGTGCTTCAGAGCAACTTAGGAGTGTGCTGTTTCTCCCGCTTTGTTGCTGCTTTGTCTCCTGGCTGCTTGCTACCTTTAGCCTCCCTGCTAGCTTGCTCGGGCCCTCACAGTGCTAACTAGGCCTGCTGTTGGTTTGTCTCCGGCTTGGCGAACTTTTCTTGGAGGCATTTGTGTTTTTAAGGGTGTGAGTGAGCGGTGGGGATGTTCTTCCTTTTTTGTTTTTTTTGGTTGGGTTAATTTGTTTAAGTTTTCTTTTTTTTCAGGGTTATTGTGTACAGGTTTATTATTTTTGTTTGATTATTTGGTTTTAGTTAACTTCTCACTCCTTCAGTTTCTCCTAGTTTGGTTTTGGGTAGTTTGTGGATTTTGTTTTCGGAGTTGTAGGTCGTTTTCTTTGGTTTGAATATAATTTGATTGTTTTTTTAAACAGTTAATTTATATGAACTGCAGATTGGTGTGTGTGTGTGTGCGTGTGTTTTGCTTGTGTTTATTATTTTGACCACCGTCCACTAATTGTTTTTATTTCCCTTTTCAGTTGCTGAGGGCCAGTGGTGGTGCGGGTGATCTGGATTGTGGTACACCCCCTTTTTCACAAGGCCCCTTATCCATCAGGTAAGCCTCAGCACCTGGTTAGGTTTTCACCCTTTCCCCCTGTGTGAGTGATGTTTCAAAAACCAAATAAAGTGTTCATTTTTTTACAACTGGAACCAAGTGTCTGGCCTCCTGAGTGTACAAACCTGTTTTTTTTTTTTTTTTGTGAGAAAAGAAATAATTCTCTGGGTGAAATTCCCAGGGTGGTGTTTTCTGGCAAATAAAAAACAAAAATAACATGTGGTCTGACTACAAACTTCCTCCACACACTGTTGCTACAACACTAGCGTTGCAACTGCTTGGTACACAACTGCTGGTGTAGCTCTCAGCACTTTTCCTGACACGTGTGGTTATGTAAATCTATATGATTAGTGCTCTTTAAGCAATTTAATGTATTGCAAATGTTTTTTTTTTTTGTTTGTTTTTTTTACCGTTCAGTTTAAGGCTTATGATTTCCCCAAGACTTTAAACTGTCTTCCTTCTTAATCAAAACCAGCTGAGTACAGTTAGCCTAAGATTATAGTGTCACAACATAATGGCTAAACTTGCAGCCGGTCATATTGTCACCTGACTAAAGTAATGGCCCAAGTCATTATTGTCTTGGGCCATTATTTTAGTAAGGTAATATGTAAAAATTTTGTAATGAAATGAAGAGTGCAGTCATATCATACAGTTTAACTGTTATATTTTGTTTTTCTGTTTTAGGGTCTATCTTTCTATATTAATAATAGTATATGAAAATCAGCTTAACAGACGTTATACATTATAGCTCTCATGATAAAATGGTTTAAAGTTTAGCTTTTTCTCTCTGAAATGTGTGTCTTAAGTCATCATCACACTTACACTGTTAATTTGGCACTTTTTGTTTTTTCACATATCATCTTACTATTTTAATCGCTCAGTAGATTGTTAAAATGCATTCTTACCGTAAAGCAGTAAAAAACAGATGAAGACGAGTCCACCTGTCCTTACTTCTGTCATCTTGTCAATGTCATCTCCACCCAAAAGGAAACAAAACTTCAACACTTTGAACAAAATGTGTATCTTTTCACTGATTGGCTCAACCCAACTTGCACCTTTTCCCCTGCTTTATTTGCACAAGCGTGTTTTTTTTGTGTGTAACCAGTGTTGCAAATTTTCTGAAAAACTAGTTAAACAAGGACGTCGAAAAAATGTATTTGAAATGTCACCATTGCTTGGTCAGCCTTGTTAACAGATCTAATAAAAGGTTGATAAACTGTTAAAAAGGGAAAGATATGCTGCAAAAAGCAAAGATATTATGCATCATTGTTCATATGATTCTATCGTTTTGAGCAGTTTTTAAACCCTTTGGTGTTAAATGTGTATCTGCTCTGCGGTGTGAACCTGCGGTGAGTCATGCATCCAAATGAAATAAATCATAAAAACAGATAAAATAAGCTAACAACTTTATTTCTGTTTTTCTGATTTATTTCTTGTGACAGTAAATTTAAATTGTGACAGTAAATATGAATTTGAATAGCTAAATATGAGCTAGGACTTGGTCTGTAGTGCTGTAATTCACGTGCATGAAGACTTGAAGTAGAAATAAAGCAAACACAAGACCTTTTAAAGTCACGTTCTGGAAATTCACCTCCAGGGTGGAATAATTACTGTGGGCCGCACGCTATGTCAAAACATACGTGTGTTTGTCACGTGTACAAGAGGAGTATGATTTAAAGAACAAAACGGGATACATCCTTGACCACAAACTTAAAAATCATAGTAAATGACACAAGAAAGCCTATAAGATGTTTATGTAAAGAAAAATATGTTATGACTCTTGATGTGTTCAAGATAAATAAGATGACTAACAATCAAGACTAAAGTTTTAAATTTTGTATGGTTATGGATTAAAATTTGCACAGTCAATCTTATGTCTATGAAGACTTAATTCTTATATATAAACTCTTGGTTTTTTATTTCATTTTGTGCACATTTACGATTGCCTTTCATGCTCCAGTGAAATTTTTCGTCTCGCACAAACTTGTAGTTAATACTAGCGGGCAGGTGTTGTTTTTATGTGGTCGATGTCATGAAGTATATATCTGTTTCTATTGATGTATTTCTATTCAACATATATTACAATTTACAATATCTAAGATGTAAAAAATAAAAAACACATTTTGTAGTTGTAAAACACAGTCCAATCCAAAAACTGTATGAGGCTTTAATTGTGAACTTTTCCATCTTGGTGTATAATCCAGATATAAATGAAAAACACATAGAAAGAGAACATCAGCAGCTTGAAATGCACACATCTTTAGAAAGACAAAGCATATTCATATTAGTACATGAGCATAAAATGAACATGGAAGAGTCAATGTCTTATTTCGGGTCCTGTGCACCATCTACGGGTGACATTTGCTGAAATTGTGTTGCGTGAATGTTTCACACTGTGATGTGTTGTTGATGAATCCACTTAAAGCTGTTTCATCTACTTTAAAAACTGTAGTTACTGTTTTTAACACACAAGCATACTTTATTTAAATATTATGCATACCAATTTTTATTTTGAAATGAATATTTGTGTTTATGAGACAATATGTAAATAGAAAAAAAAAATCCCCCAACCATATAAATTATGAAACAAAGTTATGAAGATTTTTAGTATGACCTGAGCCAGAGAACAGTTATGGTTATGAAGCTGACGATTATGAAGACTATGTAGAGGCTGAACACCAAGCGGTCCATGATGATACCCACCTGGATCCAGTCCTCTGAGCTCTGGTCTCCGGCTACCTGCTGCTTCAGCTGAAGGCGGAGGTCTCGGAGCTCCCCACCCAGACTCCTCAGCTCCTGCAGGGCTTGGTCTTCATCTAGCGGTCTATTTTGCTCTTGAGTCTTGTGGATGTCAGACACCACAGAGGAAACGTTTATTTCTACATCAGAGGAAACGAGGGAGGAGATAATAAAAATGATTAATGTGTAATCTCATCAGTATAAAAACACATCCCAGTTCTGACAGCCAACCTTGAGTGGCAGGATTCTGGATGACTGTGTCCTCTTGGTCTTTGGGTTTTGGAGGAAGCAGCACAAGGCGGCCGAGGATGTGAAGAACGAGCACTCGGATGAAGCAAGGGACTGGAGCGTAGTGAGCGGAGCCACACAACAAGTTTGTGATGACGATGGTCTCCAGTAAACTTCCTACCATCATAGTCAGGCACAGGGACAGGAACACATCTAGAACAATATAAAGAGACGCATTCATCAACTACAAATACAGTCAACGCCTTAGTTTTAATTATTTGAGGGGTGTTGAGATTGAATTCAAGGATGCTTCAGCACTCCTAATAAGGTTCTACAAACAACCAACTTATGAGAGGTATGGTTTCTCCAGTGATGGGCAGAAGGTCGTTCATGCTGAGAAGGAAGACTGTGTAGCCCAGGATTAGAGTCATCTTGAACAAGGATCGATCCACACTCTTTGGAGGCAGCAGGAAGCTGAAGAGATCGATCGCGATGAGAAAACAGCTGGGGATCAGCAAGTTCACCACATACAGGGTGGCCCGGCGCCTCACTGAGATCTGAAACAGAGTCAAAGACAGGCAGTAAAATCAGCTTTTTTTTCCCCCTCCTGGCTTTGTAAATTACGGACTATCTTTCTTATCGTTCAGATGGACAAAATGGTACAACATGGCACTTTTAAAGGTGACAGTGTATGGAGTATTTTCTTACAAAGAAGCGGATCTCTTGGTAATCGTCCCCCACACTTGTCGGAAACAGGTATGTCGCCGCTGTGATTCCAGTCAGTTCCCATTCCCCCATTGTTGACATCACTTCTACAGAGCGCTTATATATTTCCTTCACGGATGAGTGAGAGACGTTAATGGCGGACACTAGCAAAAAAACAGAATAAGATAATGTAAATCCACTTTGTGTTCATTGAAATTTGGAGATGATATTTTACAGAAAAAAAGGATCAGCAGCATATAAATTTGTGTGAGTTTGAAGTTGTTTGGTCATACTAGTGTGTAAGTAGGAGTTGAAGCTCAAACTGCAGTTCTGGGTGTCAAATGGAAAAGTGTAAATGTCGAGCCGACAGGAGCTGACCACTTTGATAGGCTTAGCATCAACCACAAGGCCGTTGGAATACAGGTAGCTGTACGGCACAAAGGGAGCCGTGTTTTTCCCCATACTGTAGAAAGAGAGGAGACACAGTCACCTGATACTGTTAAGAATGTACAAGTGTCTATTCAAGGTGATACGATTAAGGTCATTTGTAAATCTGCCAGTTAAATCGTTCATAATATAGGTCAGGTTAGAGGTTTTAGAGAATAAAGCAAACATGCAGGGAATTCTTCCCTTACAGGGTCGATGGCACTTACAATTCATTGATGACTATATCGGGCACCCAGAGGAGCTCCCTTGGAATTGTAGTCCAATAAGAACCACACTGATTTGGATCCCAACTTACAAACTCATTCTTCCACATCTGCAACACACATCAGACAGATCCTAAGGAACTTTTACATGGTGTTAATTTTGGTAATCCCTGTTAGGTCGTCTCACCTTAAGATGAATTTGTCTTTTGAATTCAAGAGTAATGGTTTCTAAAGGAGGTACTTACTAAAGTTTGCCAGATGTATGTTGTCAGGAGTTGGGCCTTTTCATCCTGAAAGACAAGAAGCATTTAGTTGGATATTTCCTTTTTAACAAATATTTTCAGTGATACTTTACAATAACCATAAATCATAAATGGTAAATAAATAGTTTATTAATGTTTAATCATCATTTAAAACCAGCACATAGACCAATTAAAAATGGCAAATAGATAGTTTATTAATTTAAGTTAATAGTTACTTTGCCATTGACAAGCAATGAAATTATGATTCATATTTTCATTCATTATTAATGTACTATTTATGAAAGGTTTATAGAGGGTTTAAAGATGATTAATAAGTGGTTTTTAAACCACCTATAAACATTACTTAGATGGTTATTGTAAAGTTAGGGTTAGGGTTAGGTTTTTAAAATTGTAAAATGTACAATTTATTAATGGTCTATCTGCTATTTATAAATGCTGATTAAACATTATTAAACTATCTGCTTACCATAACTTACAAATGGTCTATTTACCATTTATAAGTTATGGTTATTGTAAAGTGTTACCTTATTTTCTTGTCTTGAAAGCAGTTTTGATGTGTTCTTCATTTGAATACAGTGAAATTTGCTTGTACGGTGACAGAAATTGTCAGTAGTCATAAAAAACAGTTTTTAGATACTTGCACAAGTGTCTAAAAACTGACTTGGTTTAGATTAGTTTTCAGGTTATTTGATTACTTACCACCCCCAGAATGCCAACCAGGACAAAGCCAATGGTGACGTTGGTGCTGGTTGACATATTCATCACAGGTCGAATGGAGCTCAGATTAAAAACCGGTCTGAGAGCATTCAACAGAGAGGGCGGGTCAGGTTGTGTACAGTTTAGCATTGTAGGACTGCATGGAGCTGCGGAGAAAAGAAAAAGATTTTTATAGTCTTTTCTCTGGCTGCGCTGATACAGGTCTAAGCCAACAACCAAATCTGTGAGAATGACCAAAACTTTTGTACATCCGCTGTACTGAGCAACACACATGAAAAAATTAACAGTCAACTGAATTTTTATATAAAAGGCAGTAAAATTACATTTCTGTATGAAATAAGTTAAAGAGTTCTGAAATGTTCCCCTTCCTCTCGGGGGTTTAAGTTTGCTAAACAAATATTCATTTAAATATTCTGACAAATTCAAATCTGTAAACTACCTTTTCCTAACTCGATAGCAGTGGAATGAGAGTGTTGTGCACTTTTATTGATGTTTCTATTCAATTTTCTTCGGAGTTGTACTTACCATGCATGAGCAGAGAGATGAAGATGAATAGAACCTTAGAAGGCTTGACTTTGGGCAGGCAGCACTAAAAACATCAACATTGAGTCAAAAGCGGTCGTTAGTTTGATGGTGTGCTACTGGTCAGGGTTGTCCTGTAAAGCTGTCTTCACACATTTTGGGAAACAACTCGACATGACAGTAAAGTTGTCTTGAAAATAAGTGACGAATATTAAGGGATAAGGTCATTTATAGTCCCACTGTCCATCATAGTAGACACAAAATATAAGTATGGAGGCAGTACATGGACATTTAGACCAAAGAGAAAGAAATGGGTTTGAGTGGGTGGAGTTTCCTGTATGTGTTTGAATCTTAAATATATGGTAATGTGTTTTTTGTCATCTAAATCTTATGTAAAAACTTGTGACAGGAAAATACCTTTATCTGTTCTAAAAATTTTAACGGCTCTTATGTCAAAAACACAAATAGAAATGTAGTTCTCTAAATAAAGTGTGTGTATGATTGCTCAAACATGTTGCTTGTGTTTTAACAAACCGGTGCTCAGTAATTTATTATAAAGTCTAAGTTTTTCAGTCTTGTTTTATCACTATTTCATTTGCTAATTTTTAAAAACTTTTAATATTGAATTTAGTATAGTTAATAGTTATCAAGCTAGAAAAGATAATAAATCATGCAGAAATTTCAAAATTTTTTGCCTGGTTCAGTGTTTGTAGAGCTGTTTTAAAAAACTGATCAAATGATCTTTTTCTACTTTTAAGAGATTTCAAATTTTATTATTTTCTTTGTTCTGAGATAGTTTTTGACTGTTCAACAACTGAATCATTTTACATTTGCTAAATTTAACTCAACCTTTGTCAGTGTGATCTATTTTTTAAAGATTTCTGCTTCAGCCGTGTATGACCAAATTTAAAACCGACATACTGATAACCAAATTAAGGAAACAGCAGAATAAGAGTTTGAAATAAACTTCAATCAAAGCCGAATGAAATTTTCCAAGTGATTTTATTTGGTATACAATGGTGACCTTCATTTTAAATGGCACAGTGTTACACAAGCAACATCTAGCTAATGAAGTAGAGCTAATTTAATTTCTTTATACCACCATTGACTTTGACTAACAGAGATATTATGACTTTAGAGTAAGAGTAGATATTTGGGTCCCAAAACAAGCTTAAATACTATCATATATGATTTAAAACTCAACAAACACTTTAGCCACTAAAGCTACTTTAACAGAACCCCTGAAAAAAACATTACCTACTGACTGTAGTTCACCCAGATAATGATGATGGTAATGAAGCTGACTGATACAAAGAGGATGTAGATGCCGAACAGCAGGCGGTCAATGATGAAACCCACCTGGATCCACTCCTCCGAGCTCTGACTTTTCACGAGCTGCTGCTCCACTTGTTGGCGGATAGCCTGCAGGTCTGTCCTCAGGCCTCTGAGCTCCTGAAGGGTCTTGCCCTCCGCACCTGATCCGGCTCCCTCTGGGGGCCCATCATCAGCTCTTGGCTTTGCAAACACAGATTTCAGATCTAGATTTTAAGAGGAGAGGGAGTTAATTATCACCTTTGTATTGAATTGGCAACAGCTGCTGTATTTTTTATCAGCACTGATGGGTTTGATTTAAAAAAAAAAAAAAAGTCCATATTATTCTTACCAAAGTCCTTTCGAGTTTTAGGCTTCTGAGGCAGGCAAACAATACATCCCAAAAATTGCAGAACAATCACTCTGATCCAGTGCGGCACTGGGGGGAAATCAGCAGCACCATTCAGCAGATTGGTGATGAGGATGGTCTCCAGCAGACTGGCCACCATCAGAGCCAAGCAGAGAGAGAAAAACACATCTGGTAAAAAGCAAGAGGGGATAGAGAGTGTGAGAACAGGGACCACCTTCGATTTAAGTTAGCATCATTCAACTGTGTCATATATTCTCTTATTTGATCAATCGACAGCTGTTTGTTTGTGAAAAACATAGCAACACTGACTTATGAGAGGTATGGTGTTTCCAGTGATAGGCAGCAGGTCGTTCATGATGAGCAAGAAGACTGTGTAGCCCAGGATGAGGGTCATCTTAAAGGCAGAGCGGTCCACAGCCTGAGGAGGCAGCAGGAAGCTGAAGAGGTCGACTGTGATGAGGAAACAGCTGGGGATCAGCAGGTTCACCACATACAGGGTGGCCCTGCGCCTCACTCTGACCTGCAGAAAGAAAGAGAGGAAGAAACTGTAATGAGGTTTGTTTCCAATTTGATAAAACAGACATCTCAGGCTGTTTCGAAGTTACAAAAATCAGAAGTTATGGTTTAAAATTGCTGAAAATCTTGTAAAATATAGAGCTAAATAAATAAGATTACTTTAGCTCAAGAATTTCAGTGAGGTTGATGTTTGCTGCTAAGTTGGATTCACAAAATAAAATTCTTTAGAAAGGGTAGACATTGCACAACTCAGTTTCTGGCTTGACCCCCAAAGTCTAGACTAGAATTCAGCCAAAATACAAAAAATGGTGAATATAATCAACCTACATTGAATGTAAGCTCGTCAATGTATTCAGCCTTATCTTGTCCCTTTTCGATTTTTTTGGAGGTGATCTCCAGCAGCTCCCACTCCCCCATGGTAGTCATCACCCTTTTGGAGCTCTGTGTAATGTTTTCTGCTGACTTCCAGAGGGAGATCTGGATGTCCATGGCTGAGAAGAGCATACAGAAATCTTATACTTCAAAGCCAATGTCAGGAAAATTACATGCCTATGTTACAGAGCTGAAGAGGTTTATGGTTGAATTTTTCATTTTATCGCTAACTCACGACTTCCTCTTGAATTGCCTTTCACCACCTTAACACTGTGAGCTCAAAAAAGAGACATTTGATGCTGTGCATGTCTTACCATAGTGAAGGTAGGAGTTGAAAGTCATTGTGCAGTTCTGGATGTCAAAAGGGAAGGTGTAGATATCGAGGTTACAGGAGCTGATGACTTTTACTGGCAGAGCATCGTGCACCCTACCGTCACTGTGCAAGTACACATATGGGACAAGGGGGGCTGTGTTTTCATCCATACTGCGAAAAAAGGGAAAAAGAAAAAACAGTCAAGCTGAGGAGGTTTGTGATTAATTCATGTGAAATTAGAGCATAGCAACTTTAAGTTATTAACAAAGTCACATTGGAAATATTCTTATTGGTATTTCTGAATCGGAGGAGGCAATATTTTCACTCAGCCCAGGCTTGGCACCTCTTCCTTTGTTTTAACACACTGTTTATACCATCAGCCCACTGAGAATAGACGGCTATTAGACATCTAGTTTTTTTTTAGACCTAATTTCAACTGTCTAGATTCTGTATATTTTTGACCGAATTTAGACGTTGCACTTTAACCCATTAATCAATAACTATTTCAAAAAGCAACTGTGAGTTGTATAACTGATCTCCAAGTACTGAACCAAAATAAATATGATAGCTGTTGAGCAATATACAGTGTAGTATAGCCTGATTTTAGACCTGCCGTCTAGGCTACATTAAGATGTCTATTAGACCTCTTCTAGAACAAAAATGCTCAGTGGGAGGTCAAATAATTTTGATAAGAAGATTCAAAATTCACATCAAATTTGGTCCTGTTTGCATACTGCTTCAGTTAAACTACCCAGCTCTGTGAGGTAAATGCTCTGTTCATTGAAATCTGTGAAACTCACAATTCGTTGATGACAATATCCGGCACCCAGAACTTGGCCCTAGGCAGAGAAATCTTGTGGGTGCCGCACTGGGCTGGATCCCAAGAGACGAATTCATTATGCCACCACTAAAAGCAACAAAGTTGGTGTCACACAGTGTGAGTATAACAGAAGTGGAGTAAATTATATAACAGGTAGAAACAGATTTAAAATCTTTATCAATATGAACAATATGAAATTTAACTCATTACAAAGACACAGGGATAGAAATACACTGAAATCATAGAAACAATGCCTACCAACACGAATAAACATTTCAAAATATCAATAAACTGAAGTGGAAAGTACAGTTGTAGACAGTGAGACATCAGTGCAAAGATGAAGTGTGCAAATGACCCTGAAATAAATAAGATGGAAAAATATTTTGTCTGTTAGAGGCTAAAAAAAGATGAGAGCAGTCATACTTACGTAATGCAGCCAAATATAAGTCTCCAAAAGTTGAGCCTTTTCATCCTGGAAAAAAAAGAATTGAACCACTAAATCCTCAAACATGTCAGTGCAGCCATCCTGACCTAAAACACAGTTTTTTGGTGACACTGTCTAGTTCATCTGTGTGAAATGTTTGATATTTAATCATACACTCACAAATTTGTCATTTGCATTGAGAAGTGTTTACCAGGACAGTTACTATGAAGTGTCACATGCTTTGAAAAAATGATCTCCATATGCCTAACAACTGCCTTCCTCTTATCTTGTCTACTGTGAGCTGAACTTACCACTCCAAGTATCCCATACATGGTGAAAGAGGTTGTGATCATGGTGGGGGTCGTGAGGTTCATCACAGGACGTATGGCGCTCAAGTTGAACAATGGATTCAGAGCCTTAAGCAGGGCAGGCTGGTTTGGCTCAGAGCAGTTCACGTCGATTGCACTGCACAGGGCTGGTAAGAAGACTCAGACATTAACCAGAAATGTAATTCAGCTCACATGTTTTTAACAACGCTGCCGGCCTGTGTTGTTTCCACTTCCCAAGTGAATCTCAAAATGCTAGAAACTGTCTGTGCCCAAGCTCTAATCCAACATTGAGACTCTTCACAATCGAAGAGAATAAACTAAAGTAATGGGCTTGTAAACATCTTCATATCTTTTTGTTCATTTATGGATGACACACAGATGTATGTTTCTCTTCATATAATTTTCGTCAACTTCGCGCTCATGTCTCAGTGATATTTAACTAAATACTGGATGTCCCTTTTTTTTTTTTCTAGATAAATCAAGGCAAATCTAAAATCATAAGTTTTGGTTTGCTCTGTTCTCTTTAGCATCTCCACACCTCTCTCTGACTCAAGCTTGATAGATACACTACAGCTCTGATTTACAGGCACCCCAAAATGCCAGCATGTCACTCTCCAATGAGTATTTTTTGTTCTAAAAGAGGTCCAATAGATGTCTAAATGTAGCCTAGACGACTGGTCTAAAATCAGGTTTCAAGTTTTTTAGACGTCTAAATTTAGAACAAGTCTAAATCTGGGCTATATCTATACTACACTGTATATTGATCAATGGCTATCATACTTATTTTGGTTAAGTACTTGGAGATCAGTTGTGTGACTCACAGTTGCTTTTTGAAATAAATAGTTATCGAATAATGGGTTAAAGTACGACGTCTAAATTTTGTCTAAAAATATACAGAATCTAGACGGTTGAAATTAGGTCTAAAAAAAAAACTAGGTGTCTAACAGCCGTCTATTCTCAGTGGGTCTGGTCCTTGACAACTCCCACAGACTCTCAGTTTCTTATTGTATTGACTTTAATTTTAGAGACTACTTTAAAAGCGTTAGATGGACTCCCTCTAAGATATTTAAGAGATCTTTTGACCCTCTGTGAACCTGAGTGTTTTTGGTCCTGGCTCGTAACCAAAGGTGACAGGATATTTAGAGAACAGAAGGACAGTCAGCATCTTTAGCTTTTTAAAAATCTTGGACAATCTTAAAATTCAACACAACATTTTTCTTACAAATGTCTTACCTGGTATAAGAATGAGGAATCCAATCAGGGTCGGGCCAACGAGGGATGGAGGGTGACACTGAAATGAAAGAGTTTAAAAACATTTGGGTTTAAGGATTTATCATTCAAGAGACATCAACTGTTTTCAGATTAATTCAACTGAACATGGAAAAAAAACTCTTAAAAAGAAGAAATGTTACCTTCCGTGGAGTGTCCATGGATGTCATGATATCTTGAGTTACTCTTTAAAACTTTTTTTTTTTTTTAAGGGAATCAGTATCTTCAGTTTCATTTATCTGCAGAGGTCATAGAAGAACAGTTAAGCTGCTATGTGAGAACAGTAGCCTTCAGACAGTTGTATACAAAAAAACACCCCTTATTCATCCAAGTTAACAAAGTTGTACCAATCACTCACCTGTCAAACTAACTCTAGTGAGACTAAATTCAGCCTCAGATATACACTGTGCCCCTGTAAACCAAGCATGATGTGGACAAACCCCCGGCAAATGATGTGGGAAATGGAAAACACTACAAGGCAGCTCCTTTCCCTGTGTGTGGTTTCATACAAAACAAAGTCAAAACCACAGCTGATGTTTTCAGCGCAGCAGCGTGTGACTTTCAGATGGTGAAGACTGACCACAGTGCTTACAGAGTCACACATGGAGATTTAATGCAAATAAAAAGTGGATGGTCTCGGAGCAAGAAGTCCACCCGAACCCGAACCTGCATGCCAACAATTTTACCTTTCAAATCGATGCTGTGTATGAAAATGTAACAAGCTGCATGACTTGCTCAATGGACAATGCTTTCAGTTATGCAATGGCTGCTCAGCAAGTTGCTTAAATATTTGTTATGGACCCTGTCAGACATATGCAGGAATCACTTGTGCCACAGCCCTTTCTTTTGACAAGATGAGGGTTTTTTTGAAGCTCAGCATGGCCTCCGCTCTTTCCCCTTGATGTTGATGAGGCACAGGTCATTGGACTATAGCCTCCCGAAGTCCAGGATCATCTCCTTTGTCTGTCTTTGCTGTACCGAGGATCATTTTGTTATCTCAGCTTCAGCCTTCCAGGTTCTTGACCTCTGCTCTGTAGTTGTTGGAGATTTTGCCTATCACAACATCATCATCTGCAAACTTAATCATGGTGTTGGTCTTGTGGGAGGGTTTGCAGGGGTGTGTATAGAAAGTGAACAGGAAAGAGCTCTGCACACTGCCCTGAGGTGCACCTGTGTTTCGTATGATGAAGGTGCAGACATACTCTCATGTGTGCAGTGTGTTGTCTACAAGTGAGGAAATCACAAAGGCGTTTTTTTGGGAGATAGTATAGAAGGGGAACTATAGCCACCGAAGAGCATCTGCACATGTGTGGTGATCCTGCTTATCAGTCTTGTCATATGACCCGTTTCCTCCTGTAGACAAAGTGGTGCTGGTCCAACAAGGGTGGGAACGTTACATCTTATATATGCCTCAACTTAAAACACTTCATCAGTGCTACCAGTCTGACTGGTTTGTGACAGGATTAAAAACTGTTTAATATGAACTAGGCCACCTTTCCTTTACTTGGAGACATGTCACTTCATGTGAAATTAAACTAATAATGACGTAAAACCAGTTTTAATTGATGTTTGCAAAGACTTTATTCAATTTTGATTCATGGCTTTTTGAATTTTTATGCAAACTGACAGTGAACAATAGTGAAAAAGCTTATAGAGGTGATTACATACATGACAGAGGATGAAAACACGTGTAACAGACAGACAGGAAGAAAAACCCTACACAATTTTCATGTTGTTATAATGAATGCAGACATAACGTTTCATTTCAGCTCAGCTCTTTGGACAGATGCCCTGCATACAGGCCTCACAGTGAGCAGGCTCATGGGGACTCTGGTTGTCAAAGCTCCTGAAGTGCCGGGGTTTTTTGGCCATAGACTCATTGTAGCATTTCACTCGGATCTGCTCCACCAGATTCTCCAGGAGGATGGCAACATTCGCAGAGCTGACGCTGGGCTCCTCCATCGGACCATCATCGCATGTCTTGCATTTCTGATGGAGGGGCTTGGCTTTGGCGATGCCTCCCCCATAGGACAGATGCATGTGGAAGACCACCATGGCCTTGTTGGAAGCCCAGACTCTCCCACACTTGCTGCATTTGAACCTTTGAAATAAAAAAAGAGCCCAGTTTAAAAGTGTCAGTCTTCCCAGTCTGCAATGATGTATAGATTCAAGACATGGACACGCTTGTAGGACCAGGGAAGGTCAGGAAAAAGGAATGTAAAGGTTTGAAATTTAAGTTTGACACCCTTTTTTCATTTGTTTGTTTCTCCTTTATCATTTCTTGACACAGGAAAACCAAAATACTTCCAAATGTCAGACTAAAAATCTACATCCCATATTTTAAAATCTGTCATTTTCTGTCATTTTCACTGAGCTAGGCCTGAGGGATTGAGCAGAGCACCAATGATAATGGTCAGAAATGGCAAAATAGCCTCTGTAGTAACATCATTATGTGGTGAAACAGTCCAGTATGAGGAAGAGTCATGTAACCTAATCTCCTTCCTGTTTACACAATAGTATCTGTTTATTTCTCTGCTGTTTAAAATGCTCCAGGTTGAAATCTGGGAATTAAATAAAATTTACTTCACTATAAACTAATCTAGTCCACTGTGGATTATATTCATTTACTCTAATTAAATTAATGCCATAATTCTAATATAGGCCTACACAAAATTTTATAAAGTAATCGTTCTCCCATGCTACTGATTTAATATACTGCCGACCAAAAATAAATCACATTACACATTTCTGTTTACCAACCTTGCACAAGTGCTCCTGACGGTCATCTTCCAGCCCCTGTTTGGGTACTTTGGAGCAAGACTTTCATCAAACTCCAGAGACCAGGAGTCTTTAAGATCCTTCGTTTTATTCTCAAAGATCCGTTCCCACTCTGAATATTTCATCTTCTTAGGGTCAGTGAGGATGGCAGCAGATGAAGAGACAAAACCCTGACAGCTGATCTGCACAGTAGTACACAAGCAACTGATGAAAGTGACTCAGCCAGACTGATGGGCTAGTCTGTCAAGGCGTATTTGGGGAAAGTGAAACCTAAACACCATCAGCTGGCTTTGTTAAGTTTCGTTTTTCCAGTGTGAAAGACAGTGTTGTGCTGCAGTTTTGCCGATGGTGTATCTAAAAGCTACTGTAAAACAAAGAGGCGGGGAAGCAGTATTTTGCGATATGGGGTCAATGAGGTAAAGTGGGAGGTCATGAAAGTTAGCTTTTCTCATAAATCACTCTCAAAAGAAATGCGTTTATCTGGCTTTAACTGAAATAAGGTCATGACCTTTATGAATGCTTGATTTTCTAGCACCAAGTCGTGAGGACCAGCTGGTGTGCTTTTATAAACGTGATTATGAAGGACTTTGTTGACGATTGGAGACTTTAATGTCTAACATGTTCTGTCAGTGAAGCTTAAGAGGGTGCACTGTATCATTTTCTGTTCCATCATATCAATACGACCGACTGTGCATGCAGTGTGTTGTTTAAAAACAGCTCATAAATTAAATCCATCTCTTTGTGTGTTCCTGCATGAGCATTAAATGTAAGGCAATTGCTCACATTTCTCAACCGTGCATGTCAAAACTGTATGCTTGCTCTGAGCGGTGAGTTTTTCCACTGCTAACAGATCAGTTATTGCTTTGCAAACACTGCATGTGGCAAATTTTACCAAGAGGTTTCTATTCATAGACATTACAGGATATTCATGCAGATTTTTTCAAAAAATACACAATATAAACACAAACTGAACATGCAAGTTGATTGCTTGTCAGAGTTTTATTTGTGTTTCAAATTTAACAGTTTCGTTTAAAACTTGTGAGCCAAGGCAGTGACACATTATTGACAACTGACTGCCAAAAGAAGGGAACAGTAAAACCTTCATGTATCAAATTACAATGAACTGCACATTATAATTACATGAATTAAATTAAAATAAATTAAATAAAACAGAAATCTTTGCAGACATGCATAAAATATCAAAACTCATTAGACAAGAGCATGTTGAGAAGTGATACTCGACAGCCTGAAATAAAGGACTGCATTCTTCATAAGCTGTCAATGAACTTCAAGAAGTGAAATATTTATTTGTTTAATTAATTTCATTTCTTAATTAGTTTAATTTCACTTTAGGAACTTTATAAACCCTTGCTAAACTTAAGGTTCTGCCCCACTCCCCTGTGTACAGATGCCTGCCAAACAAGCTTCACAATGACTGGGTTCATGGGGACTTTTGACGTCGAAGCGTACGAACATCCGGTTCAGTTCACCCAGGTCTTCGTCGTAGCAATTTCTTCTGATCTTTTCCATCAGACTCTCCATGAGGACGGTGATGTTGTCGGAGCTGATACTGGGTCTCTCCATTGGGGCAACAGTGCACTTCTTGCAGTTCTGTCGGAAACGCCTCATCTTGACGACGCCCTGATGCTGACTTAGCTGCATGAGGAAGACGACCATCACCTTATTGGAGGGCCAGCTTCTTTTACACCTGGAGCACTGGAACCTTGAGAATGACACAAACATCCAGTTCAAGATAACATCAGAGATATAAAGGTTCAAAGGTTTCTTTATTTATACCTTGGGGTAAATTTTGTTTGCAGGCAGGAACCCAGCCGTCCAGATAAGACACACATAAAAACAACAATACAACAATCAAGTACAAAAAAATGCCAATCGTTAAGAGCCATAAAATCACATAAAATCTCTCCAGATCCGAAGGTTCGATAAGACTCCCTCATCTATTATAGTCTAACAGCACAGAGACATCTGGTGGTTTGCAAACGTTACTGCACCCCTTAAAGACTGAGGCCAAACTGTCACCTTACTTTCTCTGTATTTGTAAGTATAAGTATCCTCTTGAGCCGTGTTGTACAGCTGTGGCAGTCTTCCCTTGGACTTAAGGGCCAATTTGAATCATTTGTTCCTTATTTTTGTGAGCTCTGATTTGAAATAGTTAGATACCTAAAAGTTTTTCTTTTTTGTGCTTCAATTAGTCTCTTATGTGTATTGAATTTTTCCTCTAATGTAATGACAGATTACTAATAACAAATCTGCCCCTGTGAGACGATTTGATTTTCAGTGCTCTGAAGTTACTGATGATATAGTTCTACTTGATGTACTGGCACAGATTGACATGTTCACACTCTCTATTTGATTGCTTATAACTCTGCACTGATACAAGATGTGAAAATGACATGAATATGAAATACCTGAGACTTTAGTCTTTCGTGTGGTACACATTTTGTTTACACATGATGTATTAATTCCAAGAAATATATAAGAGTTTAAAAAGTGTGACAACAAGCCCCGGTCTCCCCTACTCCTTCCTGGACATAAACTAACATCATCTTTACATTCTGATATTTTATAATTTCATCTTCTGGAAAAAGATTTTGATTAAATCAGACATGGATCTATTTACATATTTAAGTCCATTCAAAATGAAATAAAATGAAAAGTAAAAGAAGAAAAGGAGCAAGGAGAAGAGCATATAAATCCAGCCAAAGACTTCTCATTCACTCTACTATAATAAAAATAACTAAACAAATAGCCTATAAATCTGTTCACACCATGACATGCCACAAACAGAAGTTAAACACCCTAACCTTGCACTTGTTTTCTTAATGTACCGGCGCCAGCCTGGGTTTGTATTTTCAGGATCGACACTGTCGTCAAACTCCAGCCGCCAAGTATCCCCCTCTTTCAGATCGCCTGCATAATTCGCAAAGATGCGTGTCCACTCAGAATCAGCCATTTTTCAGTTTGAGTTGTGCTGGTGCCTGTGAGGGAGAGGACATTAACACAAACAGATGCCCTGATATGTTGAATAACCTGTTAGGTTGACTCAGCATCTGGATGTGGTGAAGTGAAACCTAAAGTTGTCTGAAGTTACTCTGTCAATCTTCAATCATAGGGGAGGAATTCATAAGAAACAAAACTGAAACTTTTACCCAATTCTTCTAATGAAACACTGCCACCTGCTGGTTGAATGCTATTTGCTTTTTATTTCTTCTCACTCGGGGGTGAAACAGATACCTAAATTTTGTTTTGTTTGCTGATGCAATTTCAGAATCACTCTTTTGCAGAGATATGGTTAATTTTTATTCCCTAGCAAAAGAAGCTTAATCATTTCCTCGTAGAAAGTATATATATATATATATAAGAACTGTAAACTTAGTTTCTTTTCCACCCATCCCTGGGGCATGTGAGTCTTCCCTGGTATAGACTCAGGGTTCCTGGCACAGGAACAGCTGCAGGAGAGAGAAACAAAATATGGCATATTTTGAGTGAGAAAAATGACCAGCTGACTAAAATATTTCTTATCACCATATGCATATGCAAATTCCAGGACCAAAGACCAAAGATGTCAAAGGCAATGCTGAAGCTAGCCGGGGACCCATGATACTCAGACAAACGCAACATAATGAAAATCACGTAAACATGTTTGGTCAGGTGAAAATCACCCGGCGGTAGTGTTCTACGGTTAAAATCTCTGAAGAATCTCATCATGACGCTCACACCCTGGCGGCAGCCACAGTGGCCTTTTCATAATTTCCCAGAGGAAATTTTCCTGTTTCAAAATAAAACAGGAAAGACATGACATGAATGTGAATGTACAAAAAAATAAAAGGCCCTTGACAGACGTGACACCATGACCTTGATCCACTGCCATGCACAAGTCTCCCCAACCCGCATGGAAGTGACATAGAGATGGTGACATGTAACAGTGAAGATAAGAATGACATTTTGCACAAACAAAGGCTTTTCTTGTCTGAGGAAGAATAAAGATAAGACATAGGTGTTCAGGTACACCACAAATCACTGATAGGGAGAGAGGGACTCATCTGTGCATGTTGAGCTGTGTGGACGAAGCTTACTGAGGGGTTCCATTTGAGGTAAAAAGTCTGTGTTTTTAAATATCTAATAGAATATTTCCATAAAAATAGTGTTAAAAATATCCCCCTTTACTTGAAAATGTGAATTACTGTTAAAAAAATAAATAAATAAATAAGTCGTGTCAGATGTTGCAGCACACGTTTAAAGCCCCCTGCAAAGATTAGCTTTGTTGGTGATCGTTTTTCCTCTTTAAATCGCCTGTTAGAATATAAGTTACACTGTTGACATATAGTCAGTAACTATCATTACAAGGTGATAGAGGTTAAATAAAAATGCTAAAGATGACTGTAGCTGTTTTTCTATACAGGATTTTTGTATGGAGCTGGTGACGTCAGACGGGGGGCAACCGCCATTCCGACATCCCGCCATTCCGACATTGGTCTCTAATTGTTGGAGTGGCGATATGTTACCATGCTATCAAAATGATGGACTCCAGATGTGAGTGCACCACCCTTTCCCCCTTATATGGAAAGCTGCGTCGGAATGGTGAGACGTCGGAGTGGCGGGATGTCGGAATGCTGAGATGTCGGAGTGGCGGGATGTCGGAATGCTGAGATGTCGGAGTGGCAGCATGTAACTGACGCCGACACGAGCTGTGAAGACAACTTGACAAAAAGGCAACAGTATCCTTAGTTGTAAGCACAAAGTGGTTGCACATGTTGTAGTATTGTGCTTGTATTTTTTCACAGTAGATCACTGGCTTTGTTTCAGTATAGGTATCATAAATATTGACTTGATACTAATGCACATACAAAAGCTTATGTCAAGGCAAGTTTATTTAGGCGCCACATTTAAGCAACAAGGCAATTCAGGGTACTTCACACAACACAGTCAAACATTACAACGTTACAACACAGTACAAGTATTTAATTGAGTAGAGTTTATACAGCGATAAGACCATTCGATGTGACCATTTGCTAATAGCTGACTAATAGGAGTTTGAGAAAATGCTGAACCAATCATCACAAGTCATCTAAAGGTATTACAAAGTTGTGATGTACTGATGAAAATTCAACATATTAGCTACTTATGAAGCCCTTAGACAATTACTGACTGTACGAGTTCACCCAGATGATGGTGATGGTCATGAAACTGACTGTAATGAAGAGGATGTAAAGGCCAAACAGTAGGCGATCAATGATAAAGCTAAACTGGATCCATTCCTCCGAGCTCTGACTCGGAATCAGGTGCTTCTCTACCTGCTCGCAGATGGCCTGCATTTCTTCTCGCAGACTCCTCAGCTCCTGGAGGATCTTGTCATCCATACTTGATACAGTTATCTCTGAAGACCCATAATCTGCTGTCTGTTTCACAACCTCAGGTTTCACGTCTAGTTTTTAAGGGAAAACAATGTCAAAAACAAAATTCATCATCAATAAAAAAAGAGGTAAAGTGATGCATACAATTAACAATCTGTATAACTGTGTATAAGCTGTATACCTATGTTCGTTGTTTTTGTAGGCTTCTGAGGCAGGCAAACAATACGGCCCAGAAACTGCAGAACAATCACTCGGATCCAGTGTGGCATTGGGGAGAAATCAGCAGAACTACTCAGCAATTTGGTGATGAGGATGGTCTCCAGCAGACTGGCCACCATCAGAGCCAAGCAGAGAGAGAAAAAGACGTCTAAAGGGAGAATATGAAAGGAGAGGGTACAATCAATAAGGTTTTACACGGTCAGATTGGGTTTTATATTTTACCATGTATTTAGCAACAAGGTCACTTCACCAACATGTTACTATTGTTACACTAACTACATTCTTTTCTGAGTGGGCTGTTACTGACTTATTAGAGGTATACTGTTTCCAGTCACAGGAAGCGTGTCGTTTATGATGAGCAGGAAGACTGTGTAGCCCAGGATGAGGGTCATCTTAAAGGCAGAGCGGTCTGCAGCCTGTGGAGGAAGCAGGAAGCTGAAGAGGTCGACTGTCATGAGGAAACAGCTGGGGATCAGCAGGTTCACCACATACATGTTGGCCCTGCGCCTCACTCTGACCTGCAGAGAAAATGTATAACAGAGAGAATGCTTCAAGGAGTGAAAGGTCGGTATTAGTACTTTTGTACAATGTAAAAAAAAAAATCAGTCTAACCTGACTGCAATAATATCGTTACTTAGTTTCCTGGTTCAGTTTAAGTTTGTGGGCTCACACTCCCATACTGTGCTGATCAGCTGAGGGATGTGGTATTCATTATGAAAATGGTGGTAAGTGTATAAATTGTGTTGTTCCTATAGCAGCTTGGTGGAAACCTGCCCTCTCACAGCAGTTTTTGGCTTAAAAAATTTGCTTTTACAAATCATCAGTCTTGTTGCTATTGGTCTTGTTTGCTTTTATACACCATAAAAGTATCTATATCAATTTCAATCTATGTCATAACCATCAAAAAACTCCTTACAGGTGCTTTAATAACAGTATTTGTTTTCTATATTTCCATACTTTAGCTCTTTTGAGGATTTGTCTGTAAGTGGTTGTTTCTATCATGCCCCGTATAGGAACAAATATGGCAGGATTCATAAAGTTGTTGAATAAATAATATATCAGAAAACCATATAGTATTATTCAGAGTAACAGTTTTCTCACTAATCATAACTCTAACCCTTATTTCCCAACACAAAGGTTTAATTACAATTCACGTACATGGAGTAAAAGCTCATCCATGCAACTAGCCTTATCCTGTCTTGGGTCGATCTTTTTGGCCGTTATCTCCAGCAGCTCCCACTCCCCCACAGTGGTTATCACCTTCTTGGATCTCTGTGTAGCATCTTCTTGAGACCCCCAAAGGAAAACCTCGATTTCACTGGCTGTGAAGAGCAGAGAAACATGGTTGCTGAAAATCAAGATCAAAAATGTTACGTCCACATGACATCCCATTACTAATGGGCTTCATGGTTTCATTTTATTTTATATACTTATCCATTTCGATGTGCTGGGGTTGTCTATCACACTGAACTTTAAATTCTGAAACTTAAAAATCTTTCAATTTTTGTAAATCACACTAACCCTGACCAAGATTAAAGTTACGTGACTGAAGTCACGCCTCAGGCAGGGGCCTTATATTATTATCAAAAATTTCCATCTTTAAATAAAAAATTTTAATGAAAGAAATATTGAAATGTGCTAAAAATAGGCATGTGGTTATACTGTGTACCTAATAGGCTTATTGTCGGGGACAGTGGCGATTGTTCTTGCTGTAACCACCTCCCAAAAACCAAGGTTTTCATAGATATTGCAACAATATGGTCATCATGATTTTTAGAATTATTTTATTTTTCCCTTTTTTACCCACAATGATCTTTAGGTAAAAATCTGCTATCATAGCGACTCTCGTCATGCCAGGACTTCTAGGCTTACAGTATAGTGTAGTCACTATACTTCAGATATCTGCCAAAGTGCATGCATGGGAACCTTTTTTTTAGTGTGGCGGATGGTCATGTTGGAGGTTCAATAACAGACTTCATTATAATTAGGATTACTGATTGCTTCATATACAATAGATACATATAAACTCGTTGTCTGTTTTCATTAACTGTATTTTTTTAAGGATGGTTGAAAAATGGCAAAATATTAGAATGGGAAAAATACAATCAATGAATACAATGCATTTCTTACCCGAGTGTAAGTAGGAACTGAAAGTCATAGTGCAGTTCTGGATGTCAAAAGGGAAGGTGTAGATATTGAGGTTACAAGAGGTGACAGCTCTGGCTGGGTGATAATCGTGCATTGTACCATCACTGTGCAGGTACAAATAAGGGACAACGGGGACTTCGTTTTTATCCATACTGCAAATCACAGGTAAGCAGAGGATGATTGCATTAAAGATCTGTCAAGAGCAAAGTTACTCCAAGTTATCTTAGTATATAGATTTAGACCCTGCTTTGAATCTAGAGAGGGATTATAGTTTTGGCTCCAGATTTTTTGTCAGTTCAGACTGGGCGCTCGTCCGCCAGTTTGAAGTGCTAGTTTTTTCCTCATCAATTATTGTTATATATGTTGCAATAGGATGTGAGGGAGATGCACAATTCACATTCAGTTCAAATGTTTCCCCCCATGAGAATCTATATTTCTATGCAAAAAGAATACAGAAATATCATATAACATAGTGATAAAATACTGTAGCTATTGCCTGCTAAGCCAAGCTTCATGTACACTATTCTCCCATATGCTATGGGTGTTTGGTGTTTCACTCCAATACGAAATACACTAAACATTGAATTATCAGCTATTGTTTGCTTTTTAATAAGTAACATGAGATTTGTAGCTGACTGTCTGAAGTAAGTTGTTGTAAACATCATCCTGTTGCCGGAAAGGCTTACCACAGAATTAATCATTTTTTCTGAGAAATGCTTGGTATAGTAGATCCCAGCAATTAGAGGAATTCAAGAAATGATAACTGTATGAAAAATCAATAGAACTCACAATTCGTTGATGACAATATCTGGTGTCCAGAACTTGGATCTGGGAAGACTGAGCTTGTCACAGCCACACTGGACTGGGTCCCATGTGACTAACTCATTGTGCCACCTCTGAAAACAACAAAACTGGTGAGGGGCTGCAATAATTCAGATCAGTAATATTACAAACAGGATCAGTACTGTTGGCAAGATATGTGTCCACACACATAGGAATTTGGTTTGGCTTTATGTGGTCGTCATGTATTTTCCTAGAAAAAGAAAATTAAGGCCTCTAAAATACTATTTACAGGCCCTTAGATACAAATATTACTGCAGCCAGTAGAGGCTTTTTTCTAGGTAAAAGGAGTGAAATTAAAACCAGATTCAAATGCCGAATAAATAAACACACACACAAATGAATGAATGAGTGAATAACCAAACCAGACAATAACACACTAAAAACAATAGACACAAAAAGCAAAACAACTATATTAGGAGCAAATGTGCTGCAATTTTAAAGATGGTAAGGTGGGATAACAAAACAGAGAAAGAAAACATTAACAGCCTGACTGTAAACCACTGGTGGTTGTACCATTTTATGAGGGAGAAGCACCGAATGCCACACTAAGTGCCCTCTTTCATGTAAATACTCACAGAGCCTAAAGCTGAAGGCCGAGCTAATAGACACAAGTTAGTACATTCATCAAACCCAATGTCGTCCTTTGTAAAGCCAGCTCACTTAAAGAAAGTCCGGGTATGTTGAACTGACCTTATGAGGTTACCCATCACCTATAGAGGACTTAAGCCTATTGCTATTGTTTGAACTTAAACGTGTAATTTTGGCTTTTATCATTTTTTGATTTTAAGCATATCTACCAGTCACCTATCAGTTTCTATAACATTAAGAATATTCAAATAATAAATCAACAATAAGCAGTACAGGCTGGTGTATAGATGGCAGAAGAAGTACTTACATAACGCAGCCAGAGGTATGTGAGTAAGAGTTGAGCCTTTTCATCCTAAAAGAAAATAGTTAGTTTCAGATTATTATTTTTTTAGTTTTGACTTTTATACTACGACTGTTCACACAATATGAAGGGCAATAAATTAAATTCCAAACAGGAGCACATTTTTTCTAATTAGTTTTATTTGATTTTGTTTCATTTTGTTTTGAACTGTCATATCTGTTGAAATAATTTCTCATTTATTAATTAAATATGTTCATAATAAGATAATGATTAATCTGCAGTCACAGCTTTTACAACCTCGATACAAAGCTGTTTAACATGTCTTCTCTATCTGCTAAGATCTAACTTACCACCCCCAGTATCCCAAACAGAGTGAAAGTGATGTTGACAATGGTGGGGGTCGTGAGGTTCATCACAGGACGTATGGCGCTCATGTTAAACACTGGCGCCAAAGCCTTCAGTAGGGCAGGCTGGTTTGGTTCAGAGCAGTTCACATTGACGGCACCACAAAGAGCTGATTATAGGATTCAAACATAAAACATTTATATGTTTCTCTACAAAACGACAAACTTACATCTAAGTGGATTCTAAGCTATCGCAATAGCCTCAGCTTAAGCTTCAAGTCTTTTCAGACAACTTCTTAACACTGTTATGCATATGCAAAGAAACTGTTTCATTGTATCAATGCAAACTTGATCGCTTATAAAATTACAAAAAATCATTGTGTGTACAAGCTTTACACTCAAAATTGAGCCATCAAAATATCTTGCCTGGTATAACAGTGAGTATCACAACCAGCGTGGGCATGACTTGCGCAGGGAAACACTAAAGTGGAATATTTCAAAATTAATTGCAAACATTAAACCATTCAATTTTTTGGATTTGTCTTAAAGTAATGTCATGTTTACCAAAACTTTTCTGTATCTGGCTGTAAAACTTCCAAACATTAGTTAAAAAAACACAATCAGGAGAGATATTGTACCTTTTGTGTGGTGTCTCTGGACATCATGATGTCTTGTGGTAATTTCTCAAGTGGGGTTAGCAGAGGTTTCAGTGTTTCATACACTCCTGCATGAAAATGGTGGCCTCTGGTCAATTATATGAAAAACAATCATCTTACCAGACTAATGCGCCAAATCCATAATCTTTGCTATCTGCTATCTGTTTGCCCCTCTCATCTGTTTGAAGTCCTGGACTATCCTCAAGCTGTTTTTGGGATGCTAACACAGGCAAAAATGAGGAGGGTGAGATGATGATAATTTTTAATTTCATGTTTTGATGCCAAAAGACAGGGACATGCTCAGTGCTTTCCAAGAAGGCTTTGCATGAGAGTGATTCTTGCTGGAGCTTGCCAAAAACTCCATTCAGAAACTCTATCCTCAAACATAAACACTGGTAAGGCGTCTAAAATGCATGCAGCAGATGATAAAGCAGAGAATGAATAGGAACAACCTACCTTTGTTAGTACATTTTGCAGCTGTAGTTCAAGTATAGATGTAAAACCCTACAGATCCTTTAAAAGTAAGCCATGAAGGTATCCTTAAGCACAGTCTGCACTCTATCATTAAACCATTACACTGAAGACAGGCAGATCAAATCTGGATGCAGCATCTGCAAGGAGAAGATTGACCACACTACTTCCTCTTGATGTTCATGGGTGCTTACTTATGACAACTGGAAATAGAGGCTGATGCAGAAACACCAATAATGGATTTACATCAGCTGCATGCATCAAGGATGGTGATGTTGTCTTCATCAGACCAAAACCACAACACACGCTCCATTAGTTTCACGTGACCACTCCCCCAAACAATGGCAGCAACCAAAAATAAAGACTCCACAGACATCAGAAATCTTAATGCTGTTTGAGCAAAATTAAATACGACAATAAGGAGAAATTTGAGATGAGACAGGTTTACAGGACTTTAACAGAGACCTGGATGCCTGGTTAACCAAACATTCAGAGGAATGTTTTGGGTTAACTTAGGCTGCTTAAGTTCGGCTCAGCTGATGCAGCCACCACCAGGCTCGGCCTAACCAGCAGCAGCAGCCACCACCAGGCTCAGCCTAACAAGCAGCAGCCACCATCAGGCTCAGCCTAACCAGCATCAGCCACCACCAGGCTAAGCCTAACCACCAGCAGCAGCCACCACCAGGCTAAGCCTAACCAGCATCAGCAGCCACCACCAGGCTAAGCCTAACAAGCAGCAGCCACCACCAGGCTAAGCCTAACAAGCAGCAGCCACCACCAGGCTCGGCCTAACAAGCAGCAGCCACCACCAGGCTAAGCCTATCCAGCAGCGTCACCACCAGGCTAACCCTGACCAGCAGCAGTAGCAGCAGCCACCACCACCAGGCTTGGCCTAACCACCAGCAGCAGCCACCAAAAGGCTTGGCTGAAACAGCAGCAGCCATCACCATGCTTGGCCTAGGCAGGAACAACCACCACCAGGCTCAGCTTAAGTAGCAGACAACACCACCAGGTTCAGCCTAACCAGCAGCAGCAGCAGCGACTGAAGCAGAAGCAAAGCCCAATGTAAGGAATAATGCTCAGAGCAAAGAAATGGCATCTGCAACCTGGAGGAGATCAAACAATCTCTGAACCTGTAGTCAGGTAAGCTAACAAAGCTAACATCATGGTAGGAGAGAATGATTGGGCTGATGGAGGAGGTAAAATCACTGAAAGCTTTGTTAATTGAAAAGGACAGAAAGATATCTGATATCTGCTCCTTTTTATTCACATGTTTGAGATTTGACCTCTTTTGTATTGAATGTTTTATATACTAACAGAATGAAATAAGGTATCAACAACAACAACTTGGTTTGCTTAAGTGGATTGATTGGCTTCAGTTCAACACTCAAAGCTTTTATCAGTTAAGCCACATTTTCCTTGTGGCTTTTACAGGAAATTGACCCACACTTTCCAAAAGAAGTTTAAGCTAACTGAACTTAATGTACCACAGAGTAATGCATTTATTTGGGAGAGCATATAATCGTTTCCAATTAAATAAAAACAAACAAACAAAAATAAATAAATAAATAAAATTAAAAAATAAAGCTATTAAAAAACAAACTTTGGCTTATTGCACTCTAGGACAAATTATCAGTCTCACAAGGGAAGCAATTACAAGTCATAAAAAGATCCAAGTCAAAAAACAACTTCTTAAAGTGGAGAAGAGTGCAAATGATTAAAATATCACATTTTTTAGTGAACACCACACAGGATCCAAAAGAAAAATGTGCTCATGCCAGATGTCTATTATGAACAACCTCACTTGACTCTGTGGCACAAAATGTGTCACAGTGCACTGCATGCTATGTCATAACAATACATCATTATTTCTGCAGAAGGCCTGTCTACCTTGTCCGGCATTACCTTCGAGGAAAAATGTGAGGCATGACCAGAAAAAACTGGCTAATGTTTTCATTTGACGGTGAATTTATAGGTCTTTTTTTAAAATCATTTTCATTCTGCTGGTGGAGGCTGATCAGAATCTATTGCCATGAAGGCACAATCATTTCAGAATTTGCTGTATAAATAAATAATAGGTTTACATCAGGGTAAAACTGTTCTGGTGTTTATATGGTACTTGTGTAATAAACGGGAAAATGCACAGTGAACAGGTGGTTATGCAAATTAGAACCCCTTTAGGGTCAAGCTAGACCTTTTTCAGCCTGTTGCGACATTTGTCTGCATGCACCTGCTCACAATGCATTCACTTTTCATGATGGTAGTCACATTAAAGTCAACTCTAACTTCAACTTTTGTGACAGATTTATTATCTGTGTGAGAAAAAGGGTGAGCCCTTGTAATGCAACATGTGTAACTATTTTGGCAGAAAGACTTTTAAGATACCTTAAAGATCTCTTATTGAAAGTCAGCTTTAAATTATAGCTGCGTTAAGGTATGTAGATCTATAGTGTGTGGACACATGTTGTTGGGAGCACATTACAGAAGAACTAAAATAAACAGTAAAGTGCCTTTTTTAACCCCATTGTGAGACTGACACTCTGAGCGGTCATAACCATAAAAGGAGTCAGAGGCCAGAGATGAGTCTAGCCCACACAGGTATTTATTTACAGTGCACACAGTTACCAATAAAACACACTTGGTACACAGCTTCATGCACAGGACTGAACCAGAACCCGATCAGGTGCTACCATATTCTGGGGTGCCAAAAACATTAAACTTTATTTCTACTTAATTATAACCCCCAAACTTTAAAATATAAACAGCCACAACCCCTGACTAAACTATCACATGTGACTGTGACTTTACTTCGTCACATCCTCTCTGTAATTTCTTCCAAAGAAATATTGCACATGGCCCTGTTCACCCCCACACAAATCGGCCCGTTGGAACCCTCCCAGCACTTAAAAGGCTGTCTGTTTCCCTGGGGACTCTTTCATCCACGCACCCTGGAAGTGGAGACAGAAAGGCACAGGTAAGCGTTCAGCATATTAACAACAGGTTAAACTTATGCTGCGTCCGAACTGCCCGCTTGGATACTACATGCTACTGCTACGTGCTACTGCTAGATCCTACTCCTACATACTAAAAACGTTGGCCCAATTCGGACACACTAGACGAGCGGTGGGGAAAGACGACCCCCGCAGGCAGAGAGTAGGTACTGCGCCCGTGCAGACAGTGGTAACTGAAGCCCCTCATCTGCGGGCCTGGCTGTAGTGCTGCAGCTGTGCAGTTTAATGATGGAATAAGTGAGCTTTACCTCCATGATGTCGCCACTTGCTCATAAAATGATTACTTGGGCAAATATGACACCATGACATGACAAAGTACGGAGCCCCTAAAGGGACATGGATGGACTTTTTTTTTTTGCGAGATCTCGCAAAAGTATTGCGAGATCTCGCAAAAGTATTGCGAGATCTCGCAAAAAGTATTGCGGGATCTCGCAAAACGTATTGCGGGATCTCGCAATACTTTTTGCGAGATCTCGCAAAGTTCTGTCCTACTTCGGTGAACCGGAAGTAAAACAGACACACATGATGGAGGAGCGTACATATCATCCGTGCTCTGTTGTAGGACCATAACAACCATGGAGGACGATTTGGAGCGGTTCTTAGAGTCTCGAGAGGTCCCAAAAGAGGACATTAGACGAATGAAGACAGACAAGGTGAGCATAAAATTCATTCAAAAACTTCACGTCCATTAAGCAACACAGAGCATTCGTGGCTAACAAAGTTAGCGTTAATGCTATGCTATTGTAAGCTAATGTTAGTAACGTCTGTAGTTAGACATGTAGAGTAACGTTAACGTTAGAGTTCTTAACGGGCCTCACTCGGCCCCGTTAGCCTACTAAAAGTAATCAACGGCCTGAACATGACCCAATAGAAATAAAAATAAAACAAATCTAATGCGCCTGATGCGTCATTGTTTCGTTTTAATATAGGGCAGGCGCACTTGGTAGCCTAATAACAGTGATGACATGATGTGATGAAACTTGAATAAAGAACAGAAATGGTTGCCATGGTAACTTTGGACGTCATGGCTGGTCTGTATCATAGTGACTAGCTGGTTAACGTTCCGTGCCAGTGATGTAGCCTACACATTTTGTGGTACAGGCGGCTTAAAAAGGTGGGCTTGTCCTACTGAGCTTTGCGTAAAGTGTAACTTCAAACTAATTTGAATAAGCTTATTAAATCTTTATTATAAATGATTAATCATAAGGATCAATGTCGTTCAAATTTATTACATGTAATATTAGTAAGTGGGTTGTTTATGCTTGGTTTTGGGTGGAGTTTTAGTTATATAGGTCAGCCAGCACGCCTGTGGAGGTCAGCCTTCAGCTTTGTTCAAGTTGAGACGAACTGGACGCAAAATGTTTTTCAACCATGATGTGTTGATGTTGAATCATGGAATCCTCATCTGCCAAAATAAATGGTACATCAATTGCACACCTGTGAATAATGGAATTACATGAAGGTGGATACGCGTCAGATTGCGTCAGCGAATTTGTGTGAAGTAGGCCAGCTTTCTATCTGGCATCTCTATGTCCAATCTTTTACTGTACTTACCATAAGACCAGCTATGTCCAGTATTACTGAAACACTGCATTGACACTATTCCCTCTCTTTCTCTCTCTCTCTTGTGTTTGCAGGTTGACAAGGCAGTATTGCGCATCATGACGGATGAGCAAATGACAAAATACATATCGTCATATGGTGACCGAGTGGCTGTCCTGTCCTTCTGTGAACAAACCCAGTGCCACAGCACCAATAAAGAGACTCTTTTACAGCGATTAAAAAATAAAATAGGGGCACGAAAAATGAAATCAAAAACAAAAGTGAGTGGTACCCCAGATAATCCCCAAAATAACATGGTCAGACAAAGAAATAGGGCAGGAGAGAAGACTTCAAGAAAGGTTGAAATTGGATGGCTTCATTTTGGCAAAAATGGATACAGTCAAGTACGGACCAACAATGGTGGAGGCACAAGACATGCTACATTGGCAAAAACAACAACTGTTGCTCAGATCATGGAATTAGGAAAGGGACTATTTTTTCCTGATGGGCATTCCACAAAAGGGCCAGCTGAAGACTTCACGTTTGAAATCTGTGATTTTAAAATGAACAAGATTCCCATGGATAACACTGTTGGCCAAATGTATGAACAAACTAAACTGAAGCTACTCAGATTTTATGTTTGCACAAAAGAGGGAGCTTCAACCGATCACTCCTCATCTGAAGAAAATCAGCTGATTGAAGATGAAGAAGAAAATGACCTGCTTGAAGATGCATCTCACTCAGATGATTCCATCACAGATCTGCAGGATCGTTCACATTCATCTGACATTGATGGAAGCATCCAGGTTTATGGAACAAGGACAGAGGTAAATAATTTGGTGTGTTTGTGTGTGTGTGTGTGTGTGTGTGTGTGTGTGTGTGTGTGTGTGTGTGTGTGTGTGTGTGTGCGCGCGCGCACTTCAGGGCTCTAAAAGCAAAAGGCACTGATAAACAAAGGGAATAGACCTACATGTATTGTATTTTTACACAGCATTGAATAATAAATGTGGAGCATGTGTTCTGATGTTACTGCTGACAACCATCCGTCTATGATTTGTTTTCAGATGCAACCAAGATCAAAAAAGATAAGGACAACATCCGAGACTGAGACAGCAGAAAGTCCAGGTCCATCACATCCCTTTCAGTCAACCCCAACAGACAGTAAAAAAAACACAAGTGAGGTTAGTTTACCTGACCCCTTGTTTGACGAGGCAGATACACTTATATGGGATCCAGACGATGACCAGGTGGTTATAAACTTGAATGTTGATGAGGATGCAGATGTTACACAGGTAATGTTTTATCTAGAATTTCTATATGAAAATATTTTTCTTGAACTTAACTTTCATTTGAAATGTTTAGTGGTGTGCCATGTACAACTTGTATTAAAAACAAATACCAATTGTTGTCTTTAGTGAAAGTGAAAGTCAGTTAAATCCTTTTGACTTAATTCCTGGGATTGTAACTCTGATTTATGACTTCATTATAGTGTTCTGTCTCTGAAATGAAAGACGTTTGCCTTTTTTTATTTCTCAAAACCTAAATGGACTTTTTCATGCTATCTGGAGTGTTCTTAATTTTGACTAGAAGTTATGCTGATGCATAAGACTCAATTAGAAAGACTTTTATAAATAATAGTCTGCGATGACATCATAGATTTTATGATTAATATGTCTGCTGTCATTTATTGTATTCTTCAGAGCACTGAGGTGAGTGGAGCACCTACGCAGACTATACAGCTCCTATTGCCTTCAGGTGAAGGTCTGCTTACACTGGATGAGCAGCAGTCCATACATGAGGAGGCAGTGCAAACTGCCCAGGTAAGACACACCACTTCAAGCAACTCTGATGTTCTCAGGGTTTTTAATAGAAAGCAGTTTGAGGAGGGGTGCAGTTTGTAACACAAAAAGATACTTGAGTTGTGAGTTGCTTTATGAGAAACATAGCATCCAAAATTATTTTAACCTTGGTACAAACATGCCAAACACTTTGGCCTCTGCTTTATTCATTGACCACTCTGTTTTTAACATGTGTGTTCTTCTATCAGGACAGTGGACCGAATTTTCCCTCAGATTCAAGCAGCCAGTTGTCATCATCAACATCAGCCAGCAACCCAGGAGATCCAGAGGCCACAAAACGAGCTTCAATATGCCGCATAAAGGTTGTTGGTGATCTGTTGGCTGTATTTATGGATAGCAGGATCATGAATATGACTTTAAAGATGGACTTCATCAACGAGAAGGCTGTTGATGATGCCGGCGTGTCCAGAGAGGTGTACACAGCCTTCTGGGAACAATTTCTTGAACAGTGTGAAGGGGAAACGGAGAGAGTTCCCAGGCTTAGGCCAGATTTTTCTGAGGCTGAATGGCAGGCGATTGGACGCATTTGGGTTAAAGGATTTTTAGACCACGGTGTCATGCCAGCAAAGCTATCGATGGCCTTCATTTTAGCATGCATCACTGGAATTGAGTCTGTTGATACAGACATCTTGATGTCATCGTTTCTGAACTTCTTACCTCCCATCGAGCGATCAGCTGTTGAGAACGCTCTCAGGGGCAGAATAGAGGAAGGGGATCAAGAGGACTTGCTCGACCTTTTCACACGAATGGGTTCCCATTTCTTACCACCAGAGAACAGCATGAAGTCTGCCATTGAAATAATGGCACATAAAGCTATTCTCCAAGAGCCAAAGTATGTAATTGATTGTTTTTCGACTCCCATGTCACTTGTAAAGTTGAAACTACCAGATAAGAAAAGTGTGTTGAGTCTGTATGAGTCCAAGAAGCCCACAGGCAAAAGAGTGATGCAAATGCTTGAAACAACAAAGGTGGTGCTGTCCCAAAGAGAACAAGCAACCTTAAACCACCTACAACGTTATGTCAAAAATGCTGATGAAGCAAAAGCAGAGAAAATCCTGCGCTTCTGCACAGGTTCTTCAGTTATATGTGTTGAGAAAATTATGGTTAGCTTTAATGCTGAAACTGGGCTCAACAGGAGACCTGTGGCGCATACCTGTGGCGCTACACTCGATCTGCCATGTACATACAGTTCTTACCCAGAATTTCGAACAGAATTTGATAATATTTTGAACAGCAACTACATGGAGATGGACATCATTTGAGCTTGAGAGCAAGCCAAATAGTAACCTTCTCCATCTCTCTCCTCTCTCCATCCTCCCTGTCTCTTTCCTCACCTTCTCCATCTCTCTCCTCCCCCAGTCTTTTTCTCTCCTCATCATTATCATTTGAACTTGAGAGCAAGCTTGATCAGGCCAAATAGCAACAGGCCTCATTGTATGGTTGATTGTATTTTATTTATTTTCATTTGTCTGTTTTTGTTGTCATTTAAACATCCGATGCACTTAACATAGTGGTAAGCAGTCTTTTATTTCATTTAGATCAGCCTGCAATTCTATTTTTCTATTGGTGCAATATTACACCTCCATACTTTTTTACATTGATTTTATATTTTGAATTATACTTTGAAAATGACAGCATTCATTTCCATAAGTTTGAGTCTAACCCAGCTTCAATGCTGAACTTGTTCCTAAAAAGCATATTAGTGTAATTTTCTGTAATTTACAGAGTTGTCCATCACTGGTAGATTCGTTAATTACTGATGTCATCACTCATGTCAGTTGGTTGCTTATTCAGAAACAGTTTGAAACTCAATGTTGAGATGCCAATGAGCGTTCCTGTTTACAAAATGTATAATCTGATTTTACCTGTGTGAGATGGCCTTCAGAATGATTGTAATATTTCCATTATATTACTTTAATTTACTGCTGGAACTTAATGCCATCACATATATTTTTATTGAATGTGAGTGCATTTTGCCATGAAGTGACCGATAAGTACTGTAATGTAAATATTTATATCAATAGTTTTTTATTGACAAACCAGTTAAGTTTGGCAAAATTTACTTTTATTCAGGGTTGCAGATTTCAAATGTTTTTCACAATTCATACAAAATAATTAATAAATTTCCTGCTCCACTCTGATGCTACAGTGCTTGGCTACAAAGTTTGTTCATCCACAGGTATCTTCACTGTCAATTACATGTCAATTGATTCGGGCTGCAAATAAAAATTATTCCCATCTGAGAAATAGAAAACATTTTGTGACATTTTTACAAGAACATTTGACTTTAACAATTAATCAACTATCAAAATAGTTGGTGATTAACTGTTACCCTACAGGGCAGAAGGAAATATCCCTGACTTAGAGAGATGCAGTGATGGCCTCTCTTAGGTGCCTATACAAGTTCACAGCCTGATAGGGATCTCTTGGGAGAGTCAGATGGGACTCCACCATTAAGATGTTGCATAGTTCGTACACGTCTGGATCGCATGGTATCGGCCGGCGAAAAACACATTCATCTTTGCACAGCTGAAGATGTTCATCTTCAACAGGGGAAAGGAAGTCTCTGGTCCCATAGAGTTGAGGCAATGCATACATCACATTGGGCCGACCACTGGGGACACTGATGTTTTTTGATGGTCTGATTGTGTGGGTATTCCAGACCTGTGCAGTGTCATCCAACTCATCCTGTAAAAAAGAATATACAAAATAGAATTAGGAAGAACTGTACATACAAACAGTATATAATTTAATAGTGCAACAAAAAATGTATCCACAATTCTCCTCTATGTCTCTTTCTTCCCTCAATCTTTTTCTCTCCTCTCTCCATCCTCCCTGTCTCTTTCCTCACCTTCTCCGTCTCTCTCCTCCCTCAGTCTTTTTCTCTCCTCTCTCCCCTCCCTCCATCCTCCCTGTCTCTTTCCTCACCTTCTCCATCTCTCTCCTCCCTCCCCTCCCTCCATCCTCCCTGTGTCTTTCCTCACCTTCCCCGTCTCTCTCCTCTCCCCTGCTCCCTCCATCCTTCCTGCCCCCCCCCCTCTCTCACACACACATTCACACACTCTCTCTCTCTCTCTCTCTCGCTCACCTGGATGAGTCCCATGCAACAAAACTGAAGGATGGCCTTGTCCAGAAACCCGCCATCAAAGAATCCATTGTCTCTGATGTCTGCAAACAAGGACATCCAGAACTCCACACACTGGTTGCGCAGAAAACCCCACCAATACTCGATCCGTTGATTGGCGGTGCTTGCTCCCTCCAGGTAGCTATCAACAGTGCCATCTGGATGGATCGGGACGAGGAACCGCTGAAAGTCTCTAACATAGCCGTTTTCGGTCCCGAGATCGCCTCTCACAATCCTGGGGCAGCCCCCTAAACGCTGGACTGCATCAACGTAATAACCCCCGATCAACTTTGGGTCACTACTCGTGGTATAGGCATTAAGCCAGATCATTTTCCTGGAAAAACCATCGATGCTTCCGTTGATACAAAAGCCATATGGCTTGAGTTTGTCGTAGCTATCCATGTGCCAAATGAAGTTAGGACCTCTCGAAAAGTAGCTCCGTCGTCGTAGGCGTCTTGCTTGTCTTAGTGACACTCCTCTCGGATCCAGCTCTTTCAACACCAACCGCACATCCTCCTTCTTTATTCGTAGTCCATGCTCTCTACATTTACCGTACATCCACCGGTACCCGTGAAGCTGGCCAGAGTACTGTAGTTCGTTGCTGATGAATTCAACTAGGACCGCAAGATCACAGTACCCATTACGACGAGAAAGCCCCCTCGCCCTCAGTATTCTTTTCAGATGTCTCTCACTTATGTCAAAGCCATGTCTACGTGCAAGAACGGATTTGATGTCTTTATATGTAAGGCCAATACTGAAATAGAAATCAATAAACTTCTCCCACGGATGATGGGTAGGCTCCTCCATGCTGTGTCTATTTTACTTCCTCCTCCTCCTTCTTCTTCTTCTTCTTCTTCTTCTTCTTCTTATTTTAGGCTACGTGTTTTACTTCCGGTTCACTGAATGGAGAAAAAACTTTTGCGAGATCTCGCAAAAAGTATTGCGAGATCCCGCAATACGTTTTGCGAGATCTCGCAATACTTTTGCGAGATCTCGCAATACGTTTTGCGAGATCTCGCAATACTTTTGCGAGATCTCGCAATACTTTTGCGAGATCTCGCAAAAAAAAAAGTCCATCCATGTCCCTTTAGGGGCTCCGTAACAAAGAGATACAACCGCACATTTTTTAGGACAGTGTGTGAAGTTACATGAAACTTACATCTGTACTGCTGCGGTCCCGCCTGCTGCTGCTGCTGCTCCGACATGGTGCGCGCTACTGTGGCCAGCCGGCGTTCGCGACACTTTTAAATAGGCAGAGCAGCTGGTGGCGCTAGCATCACATGCGCTTCTACAACTTTTAAGAGGACGAAGAAGAAGCCCGCGGTGCATTTTGGGTCAGTAGCATGCCCGTAGGATGCACCGAGACCAACCTACAATGTGGGCGTGTCTAGCATCTGAAGTAGTATCTGAAGTAGCATGCTACTCGCTCCGGTGGCCAATTCGGACATGCTAGATACTACTTCGACTACTACTTCGACTACTACTTGGCAATTCGGACGCAGCTTTAATATTGCACCTTCTCCATTTTACTCTGCATACAAATCTGCACAGACTTCTTCGACTTAACCTATGTTTTTCATAGGTGGTGCAACTAAATCAACCCTGGCCATTACAAAACTAGTGATCATCTGTAAACCACATCATTAATCTGAATAAAAGTACTTTTACTGAAATACCTCAGACTCCTCTGTTAACATGTTGTGTTTGTCTTTCATGCATACAATCCTACAATGACCTTTCGATTTATACATTGTGACCATTTGTTGCTAGCTGCCAATCCTCAGCTACCTGGAGAGACCTCCGTTACACCCATTTACAGGTTTATTGGAAAGAAAAGTACAATTTTACCTCAATAAAAACCTGTATTGAATAATATCCATTCTATGCGATGAATGTACTGTGTTAGAGCAGCAATGAATATCCCTTTGCTTGTTTTTGTACATCTGAATGATGAAAAGTTAGAGTTTATCCCCTCTGGTATATAGGTATACATAAATAATCTGTAATAAATAAATTTTGATTTTAATCTGTTTGCTACAGTCAAAAACAGAATGTAGTAACAGCACATCTTTGCTCCTTTTGCAGGCCAGTTAAAGAGATGCGTTTTGATTTGTTTGCAGCCCAAGACTTTAAAAGTCAGACTATAATATTTTTTATCAAAAACTGCAGCGCACTGCATATACTGTATAACTTCTGAATTTATCAGACTTTGGTGTAAGTGTAATATCTAACTGTTTGAAAAAGAAAAAAAAGTGACAGAGGATGATAATATGCCGGTATGTTAAAAAAACAAAAAAAAAACTGGTAATGATATGTGCATTTTACAACGGTCAATTCCTTGCTTTTATTTTGAAAATCAGGAACTAGGAAGCCACGTCGTTATGGCAACGCACTAAACCCTGAGCAACATTTAGCTGGTTAGCAACCGTCTCCCTTTTTTCATGCCTGATGAGGACAGAGTTAAATCACTGACTGACAATGGAGGCATCGGACACTTACCTCATACGACCAAATCACCAGCACAAGTGAGCGAGTTACACTTTAAAGAGAAAACTTTAACAGGGGAGTCTGTTTTAGCTGATTATATGTGTAAAGCTAACTGTTAGCCACGGTAGGAGGTCCAGGTCGTGAACAGAAGCACTATCATTTATGTGTGACTTGTGTCAGTCTAAATAATGTGGTTCTGTTTTCGGTTTGGTAGTCCTGTAGATGTTGAAATATTTAGTTCTTGTGTTTTTAAAGTTTGGCTAATTGTGAAAAAAGTGAAATGAAAAATGGTAAATCGCTCTCAGTTATCCACCTGTTGCACCATAAATAGCCGAAATTGTCCTTTTTTTTTTTTTACTGTTGAAGGCCCCATACACGGGGTAAGTTGACCATAGGAGACCACTTTTTTTGGCATGCTATATTATCAATACAGTTATGTTTACACTCATTCTGTTGGTTTGCAGGGATGAAGAACATCTTGAAATATCTGCAGATCCACCAGTTAGAGACAAAACTATGATTGCCTTGATGTAGTGATCTGAAATATGAAAAATGGCTCATCTTACCCCACTCTCCCCTACTGTTCTTAAATATCCCAGGTTCAAACCGGCTGTTGTGAAGGAGTGTATTCGTGAAGTTGTGAGGGAAAGGTTGTCTGGGTTGAGGTACGACCCAGAAGAAGTGCCAGAGCTGTCCCGCTCTCTGGCAGACTGCATCAAGGACAAAGTGAAGAGTGAGTGACGCTTCATCCACCTTAGACGAAGATACCAAACAAGAATTGTTGTATTTTTTTGACACCAGATATCAGCTGAAAACAAAGCAAGTCCTACTTGTAAATGCAATTTCGTTACAGAATGTTTACCATCCTCTCATGTATTTTCTGCAAAATGAAAATACAGTTATGTTGGTTTAACTGTTTTGTATATTTTTGGTTATTTTAGATGTTTTTCGAGACTTTGAGATTTTAATGCCGTTTTTAAATGTACTGCTGCTTCATAAAAATTTCACTCAGATGGATAATGAAGTTTTTTTAAATTCAAATGAGTTTATTTGCCATGACTGTCCTGCTCTCTTCCTCAACAGATTCAGGGTTTGATAGATATAAGCTTGTCGTGCAGGTGGTCATTGGAGAGCAAAGAGGGCAAGGAGTCAAGTAAGTAACTTTTATTGGACAGGTAAAAAACAAGAAGTGCTATATTTTTTAAAACAACTGCAGCTTTCCTGTTGTTTGGGGAAATTAGGTGTAAAATATGTCACGCTATTGAAGACAGTATAGTGTGTAGTCCTCCGTTGAAGGACATTGACTCAGATCTGGTATTCAAAACAGTGAGGTGTCAGTACATATTGAAACAGCAAAATCAAACGCCTCCTTTTTGTTTTTATTTTTAGGACCAAGTCTAACATTTGTTGCCATATATGCCACAGTGCTCTTGGGTTAATCACAGGTCACAGATTTCAGCTTCTGATACTTTGTGACTTTGTTGCTAGGTGACAAGTGACACAACTTTCAGAAATGGATCCCCATTGTTTGAGATACTAACCGGTCTACCTTCTAATCTGTTTTACCAGGATGTCCTCAAGGTGTTTATGGGATGCTGACACAGACAGTTATGCAGAAGATGTTTTCATGAATGTAGGTGCCTTTTTTATGTCCAGTGGGAAGTCAGAGTAGACAAAAAGATTTCCTAAAAGACTGTTTTTCTAACCTGAACTGTTTCCCCCTCTGTAGGACAGCTTGTTCTGTGCAGTGGCAGTTTTTGGAAGCTATTACTACTAAGGATGGGAAGATGACTGACTGAGAGTTCTGTCAGCTAAAGATGATCATCCAATGAGACTGCTCACTGTCAGGGTTCAGATCTGCTCTGATCTCCAGCAACTGTGTAAGAGCAGCAACTTTCAGTCACCACTGATGGAAGCAACAGTAAACCTGATGTAAGGCTGATACTTCAACGTAAGTGAAGGACTTGAAAGACCTGTACAGCAATCAGTTCACAGAGTATAACTGTGAAGTAGGGTGCTTGGAATGTCATACAATAACAAGCATATAAGTCTGTTTTAATGATGAACAGTTCTTGAAGGTATTTCAGCAGCAAATAGTAAGTAAAAGAAACTTCATGCAATGCAGTACAATGTCTCTTTGTACCACTCTGTGTTTGAATTAGCAGATCACCTACAATAGAGGTCAGTATTTCCTTCTGTTTGTCAACACTATTACAGGAATGAAACGCTGAGAATACGGTACATGAACAAAACTTAGTGAGCTTTTTGTTTTCTGTCAGCTGTATCCAATTTCAGACTGGTCATAAACTTGGTCTTTTACTCAGTCTGAATTACCTTGATGATTTTCTATGACTGAAGTTATGATTAAAGATTACCTTTAACGACTTAGACTTCCTCTGAATGATTTTAAACTTTAATACATTATACGGATTATAGTTCAATTTTTGGGAGAAAATATACCGCACTACATCCAAACCGAAAGTGATAACTCAAAACAGATGCTTCATCATTCAGTGTCTGTGTATATGTACCCACAGTAGGTTCAGATGAAGTATGCTGCCTCTGATCAGATTGGTTTATGCAGCAGGTCGTAGCCTGGAACATTCATTGCCAGCTAGTAGTTTTTTTGCTGTTTTATGCTCTTTACTGCTTACCTCTGTTGCTTGGATACATCTTAGTACATGTTAGAGTGTCATTAATCCACGAACAATCACCGCTTCTACTGCGTGATCTACTCGGGCACCTCACTTACCCAGAACAAAGCTTGTGTTTCCAGTGGCAAGTATGTGCCTGACACACCATCCCCTGCTGTGCACTGTATGTTCATAAAGGGGTCTGTAGAATGTTGAATTCAACAGTCTATTGAATGTCAGGACCTGTATGTCAGGAAACCGTTCACCGTTTTGTAAAAGGTGCTCTTGTGTGTCAGGGCCAATGCTTTGAACTAATGTTATGTTACAAGACCCCGGCTTTCCTCATCTTTCAGCCCACTTTCTGGTGGTGGGCTGAAAGTCAGTAAACTTGCTTTCGGGTACTGTACTCCAATGCTTTAAATCAGTGATTCGCCACTGATGGGTTTCAGACCCCTTTTCAGTGGGTTGCGGGCACCTGCCTGGACAAAAAAAGAGATTAAATCCTGTGCTTTTATTTTGAAGGGCAGTGTTTACGCAGCAGTCTGCCCGCTAGTCTCGCTCCTTAACAGCAGGTGGCGACAATACAAGTGCATTAAAACAGAGTATGTTTAAAATGAGTGTTACTGAAATGTACTAAAATGTTATGTCAGCCTTGTAAGTAAGGCTTGAAAAAGTGACTAAATAGTTTAAAAGGTACAATTTTTGTGAAATATTCATAAACTGGGCACTCAGCTGAAGATTTAAAGATTTGAGAGATTTTGAAACTCATCTCAGTTGTTGGAGTTTGTTGGAGTTGGAGTTTGTGCAAGAAAGCACCTCAAAGTATGTTTAAAAAAATAGGGCTGAAGGTACAACAATATATAACAGCCTCATCATCAGTGGCTTAATACTCTGCTTATTTAATGTTAGTAAGAAAAGGTGATTAAGTATTGCTATACTCTTGAAACATAGTGTCCTTAAGATGCACTTTTTGATTTTATTACAAATAGCGATAAATCAGTGTAAAAATAAATATTTTCTTCGTTATAACCACCACCTTCTGGTCATTTTGGTTTATGATTAAACCATGTTTTTGTGTGTGTGTAGTATGTTGTGATATGCTGAGCATTATTTCCGAAAAATAAATTTGGGAAGTTGAAAATTGCGTTACTGCATGTCCCAAGGCCAGAGCATTTGGGAACCACTGCTTTAAAGTTTATTTGCTCAACACAGGGACTTGCCTCACAGACAGGAATTATGTCACAGTCCGACAAATATCTTTCCAAGTATCATTGAAATAGAATTTGTAATTTCAGACACATTTTCTAGTAAATCTGCGAAAGAGAAAGCAAATGAAATCTAATCTACATGCACTTCAATGATGTGAGTTTTTGCAGTTGTGTTGTATCAGATATTTTTTTTTCATTGATTTTCAAATTCTGCCAGAGAGGACAAGCCTGAAACCATATCAGGATTTCTTGGCTCTCATCAATGAAGTAAGAGAGTGATCTGAGTTATTTTGACATTGAGTCAGAAAATAGTGATGCTATAAGGAAACCACAGGATCAGGAATTTTCACAATGAGTGACAAAGTGAGTGCCTTGGGAAAACCAGGCAGAGAGCCAGATATGAAAATATGAGGAGCTGCTGAGGAAAGCAAAGAAGTCAAACCCTAAAACCAATGTCTCAGCTGCTGATTTAGTATCTGCCTTAAACAACAAACCCATCTGCCCCTCAGGAATGCTTGCAGATGTAATTGTCAAAGGCAATAAAAAATGTATCTCCAGAAATATGAGGAAGCTGATGACATGTCAAAAAGACCCGGAAGTAACGCCTTTCATTGAGACACTTTTTTAATATACTCACTGCTTTAGGTGAACAGAAGAAAGATGATTTGGCCACGGATGGTTGCGCTCAGACAAATGCCTACAAGATGTGTCAGAGGAGTATTATTTTATAGATGAAATTATAAATCCTTTAAAGTTTTTCCAAGGGCTTTTCATCTGCAGAGCTCCAGTAGATCATTAGCAACTGGCCTCTGAGTCATGGGCGGAGACAGTGCTAGCTTGCAGCAGAAGTGGCAGGTAACATAGGTGCTATTCAGTTCTCAGACACTGATGTCTTTAGGGACACGATGACAGCTAAGATCATAATTATTATGATTCTTATGAGCATTGCAATCTGCTAATGCACACGCTTGTGATCGTCCTCTCTATTTGTCCTCTTTATGCAGAGTGGTCTTCATAGTGAGGCTCCGGGGGCGGAGCTTGGATTGGTTACATATGAACTCTCACAGTTTCTGAACCTGCCTATTGGGTCTGCTAGAGATTCACAGCGATTTGAATGAAGAAATACTCAGAAAAGCACTTTTGCATTTAGTTTTCTCATGATGTGTGGTGTAGCATCAGAAAAATGCCATATGAACATTTAAAAAACAAGAAAGACGATTTTCATCCGCGGGGGTCTTTAAAGAGTAGATGAACTGGAATGAAACTAATCATCCAAGAGACCATCCCTCTCATAAGCTTTCGGCAAGAACAAAAATCTAGCGGAGAAGTAGCCATGGAGCATGTACGAACACCTCCTGTATGACAAAAACTTCAAGCTATTTTCAGACAACTTCACGTCAAGCACATTGAGCATGAAATTCACTTTATTTGATCAGTCAAACCTCAATATAGCAGAAGAGGCTGAGAAAACAAGACAGAGTGCTTTGACCTCAGATTGGATTAAAACATCAACATCTGCCATGTAATGTCTTATGACAACAACTCACTCACTCGCTGATGGTCTACCACCAGCTGACAAGGACACTCAGTGTGAAGTCAACAAAAATCGTTAATGGAACTGAACAATCAACCATTCATTGGGAAAGGGAAAAGCCAGTTCAAGTAACTATTCAATTTTTCCTCACACTGGCCATTAAGCGGCTATTTTTCCATCACCCTATGTGTAGTCAGTGTTTGACTGTTGAACCCTACAGGTGCTTGAAAAGAAGCTGTGAACACAAGGCACTTATGACACAGCTGGCAACCTCCTCCATCGCAGTTAGTGGCCAGGAGAAAGGCATATCACCTATGACTGACACTGAAGCACATAAAGGCTCAGCATGAAAGGGTTGCCAACAACTTACTCTCTCCCGATCTTTGAAATTATGGACTTGCAGAAAGGGGAATTATAGAGGCGCTGCAGGCACACTGAGGATGGATACTCTGTATGTGGAGCGCATGCATCAGTAATATCAGATTTTTCTTTACATCACAGCAATGTCCTCTTTCTTTTTAAACACAACTGTACCCCCCGAGATGTCAGCAAACTGATAAAAATATGATTCTTAATCATTAAGTATAATCATGACGCTTGAGTAAAGTTAACTGAATAGTTTTATGTGGTACAAAAAGTTAATGAGAGAAGCTATATATCGTATTATTAAATTTAGCTGTGTTTTACTGATCAGACCTCTTTTTTTTTTCAATTAAAGAAGGGGTTTTATGCTTATTTTGTGCCATTGTCTGTCTCTTTGATAGCTTTTTAGCAGCTTTATATGATCTACAGTTCAACAAATTCATAACAAATTTCAGGCTGCAGTCTTTGAAAACCCTCATTTAAAAAAACACTCCACTTAAGCCACTGTCCCTTTAAAGCCCCCCACAGCATTCCAGAACCCAGCATTCTGGAAGCCTCCTTCACTGCTGCCTGCATTAAAAATGATGAATTTGCCTTTTTAAGGAGACTCACTGGTTATGTCATGATTTGTACAAATCTCATATTGATCTCCTTGCAAACTGAAAACTTTGTTCTCGTATACAGTAGTACCAACATCCAACATCTTCACATTTGTTTTTAAAATATGACAAAAGCAAAATACCACATCTTTAAACTTTAAACAAGTTTTTGCAGCTCGCTAAAAGTCCTTTTTTTATTTCTGACTGTTTTTTTTTTTTTGAACTAGCACATATTACAACGCATCATGAAACTTGACTGTTGTCAACTGTGAAACACCTGCAACTCTTTAGACTTCCTGTAGATGGCGGCTCCTTCAACGCCAATCAGTTCACTCTTTGTAAGATCAAAAATTTACACAGTACTGATTTGAGAGCAGACTGCAAGGAAGCTGAAACTGTAAGGCCCAAGAAAGCCAAATGTGTCACCAAATTTGCATGAAATTCAGTCTGTTTCCCTTACAGAATTAGACATGAATGACCCTTTGACTCTATGAAATAATACACTGTTCACTCTTCTAAAGTACGTAATGACTGATGATTGTAAATTAATTAAATTACTGACTTAGTAAAGAGGCACTTTACATTAGAGGACTTTTAAACTCAACAGGCAGCTAAAAAGGCAGCCCATCAGACACTTTATACGACATAAAAGGTTTTAGATCTGCTAAGCCTGGTTATTATGCGGGCACAGAACCATGAGTTGTATTATGGTCGTTCTCTTATCTAAAAGAAGTCATAGTGCATTACACTCAGTGTCAGACCCTTGATTTCTTTATACAGCTAACTACAGCATAATTCACTCAAATGTCAAGTGTTTGTTCACTCCCTTCCCCTGCGGACTCTGGGTTGAACTGAGGTGCCTTTTTTCCATCAGTCAATCAGTCGACTCATTATAATGTTTTGTTATTCATTCTTGTCATTGTGCTGGTTCTTTTGTGATTACTTTTGAGTCTCTTTCTTTGAATTCGGGGAGCCATTCATTAGCAGGAAAACAGATCCCTTTTAGACTATACTTAATGACTAATTATGAATAATAACACTGAAGTGAGCCGCTGAAGAGATCAAGTTTGTCTGAATCAATTAGTCTGATGATGACTCTTACCCTGATTGTGTGCATGATGAATACGATCAGGAGACTTCTTTCCATTGTACTATTATTTTTCTGATGGACAAACTGCAAAGATTCTCTCGGTACAATGTATGGTTGCTTAAAAACACAGAGCCAGTTCTCACTGTAGAGCCAAGGCTTAATACTTGATGTTTCCATTTTCATCCACAGTACTGAAATAATGGATTCAGGTGGGAGGGTTTAAGTAGGGGTTTACTTGGCTTGTTCTTTGGGAGCTGTTCTTTTCAAATCACAAGTTTTCAGAGCCCCTTTTCCTTTGTACTCTTTGGTCTCTCCCCCTTTGTTCCCATGTTTCCTTTTCAATGCAGACATGTGCTCTATAAGTGCCACTTCGAACATTTTCCCTGCTGTTCTGGTAGATGAGATGGAGAATACTTTTGATGATTGAGAATAGCATCTGGACTGACTCTCCTCTAGACATGAAAGATTTGAAGCACAGGCCCGAGGTTAATCTCATCAGAAGAAACACTCTGACTTGACATCATTGTCAGACTCAGTATCATCATGGCATAATGTATTTGCAGATATGGGCGATCTACGTCAGACAGCTAAGCCTGTACTTCTTCAGTCAAGTCACAAAACATGCATGTTTTGTCTGAGTTCAACCTCAATTGAACCTCTTAGAAATTCAGAGTCAACAGAGATTGGTGAATGACATTTTCCATCCTTATAAGGCTTGGGATGCTTTCACTCCTGGAGCAAAACAAGCAGGACAAAATCATCTGTAAGAGACTGGCTCAGCTTTCTTCTAGTTGAACCCCGAACCTGCTCATTTCAGCCTCAGGTAGAAACAGCATTTTGACTTACCTCACCCAGCACCCTTGTTGTAACACATGCAATAATACAGCCAGGGCTCTCAAGTCTCATGCATTCAGCGTGTGACACACGCATTCCCACCCGTTCACACGCTCACACGCCACACATTTAATTTCTCACGCATTTAAATGAACAAGGTGATGTCCACAAGTTGTGGAACAGGTAGAAAGTTCCTCCGAGAGTTCAGAAGCTGCGTGCCACGCGCAAGCCAATCAGATAAAGTATATCTACTGAACAGCCAATCAAAAAGCAGCATTGCTGTATCCGGGTAGATTTTGATACCTTGCGGTTTGACTACAGAAGAAGACAGACACTCGCCGAAATAGAGCAGGTTTTCATAAGGACGAGAAAGACCCGATGATTACAGTAAGTCAGTAACCTACACATGCAGAGACCTCAACACCTCATGGCAGATAAACTCATATGATAAACTAAAGCCCTATGCTATTGCTATTAACAGCTGTATTGATGAATTTAGCCTCTGCGCAGCCATTTCCAGCCATTTTACCCTCCACAAAAGCAGCATTTCTCATATATTCTTTTTAAAGTTCTGATGCTCATGACAGTGTAATGCTCATGTACCATAGGATTAAGTATCTCCATGTTTGTGGAACCTCTCACTCTAAGCTTAGTTCAAAACTTGAGAGCCCTGTACAGCTGCAAGCCATGTCCATTAAAAGTTAAGTTAAGCTAAGCTAAGCTAAGATAGGCTAAGCTAAGTTAAGATAAGTTAAGTTAAACCTTCATTCATCCCATGGTAAGGATAAAAGTTACACCTACTTTATTTTTAGTCTGGGACATGCTACTGTATGGTGACAGCATCAGGTCAAAATCTAGAGAAAATTCTGGGTTAATAAAAGTTAATGCATCCTGTTAAAAGAAAAGAGTTTTGTCAAAGCAGTAACTTAAAATTCAGCCGACAACAACAACAAAAAAATCCATTTTCAGAATACAATTGAATCCTTTAGAGCCACTTATGCAAATGAAGCCAGTCATAATAATCTCCTGATTTTTCCTCAAATGCAATTGCTTTCACAACGACACAAGGGAGGAGAGAGCAGCGCATAATGAAGAGCATGCAGAAGTCATCACAGTCTCATCACTGCTCCCTGAGTGGCACAGACGCAACAGTCAGCATCTAATAATGTGCACACACATGAAAAAAACATCCTTAGCACTGCTAAAATTAAGAGCTGGTGTGACACGGGCTGCACATACAGATCCAAAGGACTCCAGCTCCTAGTTTACACTTCGTAAAGCTAAAGTGGGTAAATCTTTAAAAATTATATAAACTGAAATCCTCGCAAATAAAAGGAAATTCTGGATTTGATCAGTTTTTTTTTTTCTGTTATATTATTGATTGATGCATCCAAGTCAAAGAGGATGCTGCACAGCCACTGTAGTATGTAGTAAACCCAATTTTAAAAGATAAAGGAAAATGCAAAAAAAAGATTACAACGTTGGTTCAATACAGTCAGGCAAATACAATTATAACATGGTAGCCAGTGCTCTCTGATAGCAAACCTGTCTGTTTCACGCCCCCGAGCAAGCAATCACACAGACAAAAGCTAATTTGATTTAAAAAAAAAAATCACTTTGAGAGATTCATTAAAAGTAACATTTCACCTGATATTCTTTGGTTGCAGTCAGTTCATTCAACTATCAGCAACAAACACAGCAAGGCAGTAGAAATACTTTTTCATCTGAGTATGAGAACTTTGTGTAATTTGATTTAAAACTCAGACATAAGTCAAATATACTCAATGTTTATTTAAGATAAAGAATGCATACTCAATCCCAACTTTAACTCACTAAAAAAGGCATAAACCCAAACTAATGTTCCTCAACAAGATAACCAATGACTGCTTCAGTGCAGTAGATTTTTAAGATCACAAGCAGAAAGAAACTCTTGACAATCCAGACAAATTCAGGTAAATGTTAAATCTGAGTGAAGTTCAGAGATTTGTAAACAAAAGCCCAAAATAAACTCAGTTATCAAGTACTCAAAAATGACCTTCGTGGTTTCATTTCATGTGTCCTTTGTAAAAGACGATCACATTAATCTAGCATAAATGTCTTCACTAATCTATTCCGGCAGCTATTCACCAAGTGCAAGTATGAGTGAGTAATCTGAGGTTATCACTGCATTTTTTTTCCCTCCTTATCGCATCCTCTGCTTTTTCATAGTAAAAGTATTAGGAATAAATGTTGGTGTTTATGATTCATGGCCCTGGATCTACACAGTTTTCATGTTCTGAAGCTTTTTTATGCGCCCCAGTGTTTGAGGATGTACAAAGGTTATTCACCGAAGGAGAAGGTGAAAAATGATTTCCATCTTTGGTCTCATTGAGAGTACTAAATGTAAAGTAAATGCAGCGATCATTTGATGGAGCACAATCTGTTCCTGTCACTGCAGAGAACTCTAGTATGAATTTAACCTTGACTATTATGCATAATCTCTGGCTCTCTGGAAAGGGTTTGCTAATGTGATTCCTTTAGGTGGGGTGATATTTTCATGATTACAACAGCAACGGGATAGCTCATGACTAATGGAGGGAATGTTTGCCTTCAATACAGGTGACTCTAACCTTGCATCATGGTGTCTGTTTTTTTAGAGATACTTCTTTTGACAAATGACAGTACCTTGTAACCATGAAAACCATGGGCTCCAAAGAAAGATGCTAATAAACTAGTAAACCTCAACAGAAAGTCAGAGGTTGATGTTAAATGTGATGGTGTAAACTACGCTTTTGTTTTGATGTTTTTCAATCGGAGAATATTAAAGTCTAATTATACGTCCTGTAACTACATGACACCTACTGTACATTTTTTTCAAATCTGAATCTAGTCACTGATTTTAATGCAGTTTTTTAACTCTTGTCTTCAGATTTAATTCCTCTGATACTTCAACACTAAAGTACTTTCCTCTATGTTGAGGTAGGGAGTAGCAGATTTAAAATGCATGCTGTAATCAACAAACTGCTCGGATACTGTCCTGTACTTACCCATACTTTTGTTCTATATGCAAGTTATTGTGTTTCATGAACAAAAGGCTTGTATAACACTCTTCAGTAAATTATTGTTCCTTAATTTCTGAGTCAGCTCATGAAGCAATTGTGCACCTTTTCTTTGTTCCTTCTGTTATAATGCAAACTTCAGTCTCTCAGTGTGTAATTAAATAATCTATTGTTTCAAAATCACAGAAAATTAATGAGGTGCTCGGTAAGTCTGAGTCCAGTGTAATTGAGTATACATTTTGTTGAAAAAAAGAAGAAGAAAAAAGGATAGTGTACTTTTTCAAATAGTTTCTGCAACAAAAGACGACCAAGACAACCTTGGAGTTGTTTTCCAGTCTAATTGTGTCCCTCAGAACACAATCAGAGGTACAAACATCATCTCGGAGAACACTTGGACTCTTTGTTGTTGTCGATGGACGAGCTGAGGACACTAGGGACAGTGAGTGTTTACCCTCACCTTTGTTATTGAGGTGATTTTCTGTGAAACATCCTCTTGTGAAAGTCTCAACCCAGAGATGAGATACTGTTTCTATGTGTGCCTGCTTGTTTGCAGTGAAATTGAAAGTGTGCTGAGGACAAAGAAATCCTTTATTCCAAACCTGATTACACTCACTCGTAGGCCTATTCATGTTTTATACGTTTAATTCTTCAGTCCTGTTCATAGTAGGGTGGTGTTTATTTTTCGGTCGTTGATGCTGCTGTAAATCATTGGTCAAAAAAGTTTCAATGGAGACTGAAATTACTTCAGAAAGTGCTTTTGCTTTAATCAAGAGAAATTTGGTAGCTAGTTTTGGTTTAAGCTGCAAAGTGATTGTCCTCCAACACATATGCATAGGGAGTGATTACAGTGAGAAATACCTCAACCTCAACAAACTCAATAAACTCACCTTCACCTTAACTTTGTTGTTTTTCCATCTACTGGCTTTATTTGTAAGTGTTTTCATGCTGTCATAAAAATGTACAATCTGCGGTAGAGCTCTTGTCTTTCACATCATACTGAAAATTTAGATTTAACACAAACAACCACATAATTTTATGCTGTAGACGTACACCAAGAGCACCAATCTTGTAACCTTGAAAGTACTGGGCATACTGTAGCAAGTGACAAATAGACTGTCATGTGACCTAAACAGCCTTGACATTATTGTGGGAATCAGTCTGCAGTTTCCTTTCCTCGTTGTTGGTGAAATCACAGTGTTACTGAGGAGTTAAGCTCTTGTTTGGGCTCCAGATGGGCTCGAGTGAAAGCTGTGTGTCTGCATGCAATATCCACCAAATCACTCTGTAGGGAGATGTGCCTGTGCATTCATGAGGCCTTATTTTCCAATCCTCACCGTCTCCTCTGGGGAGGGATGATCGCTGGCTGTCAATTATGAGTAAAAAAGTATTCCAGCGGTGCCAGAAAGTTACCTTAGATTGTCACTCACGTCTGTCTCACCAGGAAAAGAGTTTCATGCATTTCATGGCACTATTGAAATCACTGGGTGTCCATTTCTGAATACTGTCTGATATTATGGTGATTGTAATCGTTTCAGAGCAAAAATCAGCTCCTCCACATGATGGTGTTCTCAATCCTTGTCCAACCATCCACTATCTTTTCTTTCACTTTGTATGAAGCTGTTTTGCAATAATGCACAACAAGATGTTTAATTCTGCCTTTTGACTCACAGGTATGTGTTAATCCTACCTTTTTTTTTTTTCAAATGTTAATATTCCTGCATTGTTTTCATGTCTACACTGCATAGACAAGGTAGCTACTGAGTGTATTTGCATCCATTTCATCCTTGCAAGACTGAGAACCTCCTTTGTCTCTTTAGTAAATATTATCTCCCGACATAAAAATCCAGTTCCTCTTGGGTAACTCAGTACTGTTTGATTCCTGGGCTCTGCTGTATCTTGGACTTTGCATTATTCACATATAGTATGTCAGAGCATTCATTTTGGGTTTTTGTTCGGCAGTATTTTTGTCACTTGCAGCATACCTACTTTTCATTTGCAAAGTAAATGTAATAGTTGACCCATAAAGCAGGGAAATTGAATAGATGTAATTCCCCTAGAACATGCAAATTTGGATCTGCAGTCTGAGCAGAGCCCTCTCTATAATTTCATTTGCGATTATTAATTTTCTTGAGTGTAATGTTAATCAGAAACCTCAATACCTCATACCCCAAATGTATGGGGGTATTGAGGTTTTACAAGCCTTTAACAATCAAACCCAGGAATGTGATTCGTCTCTATTGAGCAGAGACCCATGATGAAGCTCCCTGCAGGGCAGATGTTGCCAGTGATGAAGTAAAGCTAGTAGATGGAAAATAAATCCTTTCAGATGAGATACTTTTATTCCTCAAAGACAAGGTGATGATGGGAAGTAAATGACTTTCTTGATTGAATATGTGAAAGGCAGTATGGCTGACAGGAATGGAAAATGGACTGCACTCATATAGAGCCTTTCTAATCCCCAGACCACCCCCAATGCCATTCAACCCATTCACACACTCCTTTGTACGCTGATGACGGGCACACCAACCCGAGCGCAGTAAAATTCATTGGGATCTATTTTTATTCACACACTCACATACATTTAAATGAAAATTGAGGACACTCGAAGAGCAAAGTGAGGCTCTGTATCAGAGTCTTCAGACCGCAGATTTGAACCAATGTTTTTCAAATTAAAGGATGACCCTCAAGCCAAAGCCTGGAAACATAATCCTGGCTTTAATAAATCAAGAATTTCAGTGAAGTGTGATTTCAGTTGGACTTATATGTTTGCATTAATTTTTAAAAGTCCAGTTTTAACCAGACTGAGGTATTAGATCTAATTTACATCCAGGGACTGACTGGTTTCTGGGACCAAATCAGAAAGATCATTGGTGGGAACAAGACTGTCAAATGGACAGTTTGTAGAACGCTTTCCCTAGTATTCTGACCACTCAAAGCGCTTTTTTCATTTCATATCACATTTATTCATTCACACCACGTTCTTGCACTGATGGCAGAGGCTTTGCGCACTACTCAGCACAATCAGCGGGGCGGCTGGGGTTAAATCAAATCAAATTTTATTTATATAGCGCCAATTCACAACAGTCGTCATCCCAAGACATGCTCCAAGGAAAAAGAGCAGGGCAAGACCACGCTCATTGTTTGATGAATAATCAAGACACAACTTTAAGATGGGACAGATTTGACCCATCTCATCTAACATGAGTGACAGTGGCGAGGAGAAACTTCCTTTTAACAGGCAGAAACCTTGGGTAGGACCAGACTCATGTTAGACAGCCACCAAGCCGAGAGATAGGGAGGGAGAGAAAGAGAGTAGTAGCAGAGAGGGCAGGGGGAGAGAAAGAGAACAAGGGAGAAGAAGGGAGAGAGAAAACGAGTAAGGGAGAGGAAGGGAGAGACAATAGAGAACGAGGGAGAGAGAGAGAGAGAGAGGACAGCAGCAACATTAAAACAACAACAACAACGGCTCATGCAGAGTTATGGTTGCAGAGCAAGTAATGATGAAACAATATGAATTCCCTTCACAGGATTAGTATATAAGTAATTATGAACTATGTTAAATTGATTAGTAATTAAATTAATTATACCTGACTAGTTGAGATAATGAATAACATTTGTTGTTCAGAGAAAGATGTATCACTCTCTTTTACAAAAAAAAAGCATTTTTTTTAGCCTTTTAGTTGCAGCTGCTGTAGCTGAGTGTAGCATGAATGCTTTTGACTTCAGTCTATTTAAAATCAGAAAAATAGGTTTTGGAGGTGGGGGATGTTAAGGCAATCACTTGATGCTCAGATCAAGTGCTTTGCGTGGGGTGAATGAAAAATACTTCAAAAAGCCCATTGTAAGAGGCTAATTCACATCAATTTTACAATGGCTCTGCGGTTTCATTTTCTAAAAATTTTTATGAGGAGGACTACAAAACTTATTCAGCTGAAAGGCGCAATTTACAGCCAGATGAGGCAATCACACTAATCTACAGCCTCAATGGAACTATCTCCAACAAGCGGTATTTCTTACCATTGAATGTCTCTCATGTACTCTCATCTCTCCTCAGAAGTTATTCCGTCCTATTCAAATACCTGTGAAAAGAAAGATGTGCACTATAATGAGTGCTGTAGTGCCAGTAGATTTCAGGCTTTCTTTGCATTTATAATTCTTGAAGATATCGCTTTAAGCTTATAGATGTTTCAGTTTCAAGGAACTGGTGTGTTTAAATCATGTTTGGCCTATATTCCTATTCTGTGATGCATTATTTGGCATACACTTGCCTGCTAAGACTGGACAGAAACCTTTAAATCTTAATGCAAGTAGCTGCCATCAGCTAACCATTGGTTTATATAAATGTACACACTGTGAGTAGTTGACTTGTCTTGCCTGATGACTTTATAATGAGCAATACCAACTCTAATTTTCTTATGCTTGGACTTCAATACAATGCTGCCCTGTCCATTTACGGGCACAGCTTGGAGAGTTTATTAACTACACTCTCAAGTGGATGCATGGTTATAAACATTAAGAGCTCAATCTATGTTATGTGACTGTCAATTACATCATGCATTATACTGCCATGCTCTCCACACAGACTGTTTTCTTACATAAGGTGTACTGGATCTGGTCCTGCAGTTACAGACTCTGCATTTCATTTAAACTTTGGTAACACTTTATAATACGGCCTGGTAATATGGGGTAGTACCGGGGTAATTGCAGGGTAGTACCAGGGTAGTACGGGAGTAGTACCGGCGTTGTACTGGGGTAACTGCTGGGTAGTACCAGGGTAGTTGCCACACAAACAATGTCTTATCCACATCAAACCCCGTAATCCACCCACCCTGCAGTTACCCCAGTACTACCCTGGTATAACCCTGCAGTTACCCCGGTACTACCCGGGTATTACCATGCAGTTACCCCAGTACTAACCGGGTATTACCCTGTACTTAACGCTGGTACTTCCCCAGTATTACTATGCAACTGCCCCGGTATTACCCTGCCGTTACCCCGGTACTACCCTGGTATTACCCCTGTATTACCCTTCAGTTACCCCAGTACTACCCTGGTATTACCATGCAACTACCCCAGTATTACCCTGTAGTTACCCCGGTACTACCCTGCAGTAACCCCGGTACTACCCCTGGTATTACTGGGCCGTATCATACCGTGTTACCCATCTCAAGATGTCAACTTATGTAACAGGCAATGTGAGCCAGTTTAGCGCTGTAACTTTTGTTTACCTGAGCTATTTCTGGAAAGTTTGAAAAAAGAAATGGATTTTAAAAATTTATTGTTGTTTATATAATTTCACAACAAGGCATAACGTTGTAATACAAGATATGTATAAATATTAAGACAGTAAGCTAAACATGTACACATAAAAACTGCTGTGAGCTGTAAACAAGTGGAACATGTATTCTTTAAATACTGTTTATTTCAGCAGGATAATGCATGTAAGACTATGATATATGTACGACATTAAGAATACAAAGTATTTTATATAAATGACTACAAAGCTACACAAAATGTGACTTTTCTCTTACATCACTGACAGTAAGAGCAGAACAGCACAGTATACAGTAAATATAAAAGACATTCACTTTTCCACAATCATAAATCAATCCATTAACACTTTGTGAAAATTTTTGACCCCCTCTTTTGACCCTGGAATTAGATTCAATTGCTGATTTACACTTTTGTGTTTCACATAACCATGTTGCAAACGACTGGGCCAGACCCTGAGCCGGTATGTAAACAGACGGGTTTGTGCATTTAAACTCAGAGCTGCTGTATCTGGGACTGAGCCAGGGATGATTACACATGCATTTGTGTGCATTCTCTGTTGAATTCATGTAACTTCCCTCTCACATGTTTGAGCAATGCAAGTGATCCAAAACACTGCAGCAATGTTGTTGACAAAATCATCAAAAAGTTACACTCATTTTCTCTGTTTTTGCTTCAGTTTCCAGAGCCAGTTTAACATCCTTATGATTGTGTACAGAGACTTTTCCACAGCCAAGCTACATCTACTAAAGCTACAATCAAGAGCTACTAAAGCCATATGTTTCCTCTGATCAGGGCTGAGTGGTTGTACTTTCTAGCCAGCTTAAGACTAAAGGGGTCTGTGCATTTGAGGTTTAACTTTAGAATTATCTCCAACTAAAACTTAAAACAGTGTACATCTTCAAAAAGCAGTTAAAGACAGATTGTCTAATTTTATGTAACTTGCCTATTTTTTGATACCTTTTTGTATTCTCTTTCTTGCCTTATGACCTTTTTTTTAAGAAGCACTTTGTGACCCCTGTTCTCCAAAGGTGCTGTATAAATAAACTTTCTTGCTTAGTTCTTGGTTTGGCAATTTTTTTGGACTGGTTTTTCCTCCTCCTTCACTCAAATTGAAACTCGTAAACAGCATCATTAGTGTTACATATTCTCCTGAACTGAATCAGGTGCTTACAAAAACATAAATGCACTGAATATAAAATGTTTTTCAAGATTACATTCTAGTTCTCTTTTTCAGTTTTGGCCTGTGCTTTAATCTGTGTTTGTGCTGAGCTAAGAATAGAGCTTTACCGCATGGTCAAAGACAAAGTACTTCAGCAGGTGAGTGTTTCCACAGTGTTTTCACTGTATTTTAGGTATTTAGCCAATGCACCTGCCATACTAGACTGACAAACCTCCTTTAACTTGGGCTTTTTTTCATCTTAGAAGCCGGTTTCATCCTTTGTCCTGACCTCTCCATCCTCTCCCTCAGCCTCCAGAACAGCCGCTCCGTTGCAGTGTGGAGCATCACTGAGGGTGCTGCGGAGAGTTACGCGGGTGACGCTAAGCGAATGTTTCCTTGGGATGTTGTGATGTTGCCGGTGACACATGACCTCCTTGAACATTTCTCTGAAGCGTGTGGACATGAGGTTGTACAGGATCGGGTTGACCGCTGAGCTGAGATAGAAAAACACTCCTGAGATGATGTGCACATACTCAAAGATTTCCAGGTGGTTGTCGGTCCAGTCGCTGATGAAACTCCACATGAGGCGGTCAGTGTGAAAGGGTGCCCAGCAGATCCCAAAGACAACTACTAAAACAACTAACAGTAAGAAAGAGACAGGGACAATGGATGATGTTAGGCTGGGATCAGCTGTGTTGTGTTTCTTTTTTTTTATAACTTAAACTTTCCCCGAGGAGGCTGAGGGTCACTGATCAAGACATTTTCATATAATTAAGTCAGCCTGCCATGAAAATTGAACATTTACGCTGCATTTCCCTTTAAACCACTTCATGCATGACAAATATTAGCTTTCTCTACAGACTGTTTTTCAGACTGGTTTCAGTGCTGTTGAACTTTCTTTTGTGAGTGTGTTGTTTTATTTTTTTTCTTAGGTCTGGATGCCAAGCTTTGCTGTTGTACCTCAGTATCTATAACACTGTATCCACATATTAGGAATTTGGTCTATGTCATTTAAACAACACCTAATACAGCCTTGCCATAACTCTTTAAAAACAGTAACTACCTTAAACTATCTCAAATTTCCTCCAAGCCTTACCATTTTGTGATCACTTTTTGAAATAATGGTCTCACAAAGTTCAACACTGTGAAATGTCATAGCTGATTTTGCACTCACAGCACTCTTCTACATAAAATGCGACTAAAAATGGGAATGTAAAGTTGATATTGAACATGTGATCACATCTGAATCACAACCTTTCTGCCTATGTAGCCTGTGAAAAATCAGCGTTGAAGCATATAGTCATATAAGATACAGAGTTTTAGCTTCACACAGCTCATGCATATGCAGCACTAAAGCCTTATAGCTCTACTTGAGAAATAAATAATGCACATTTTTCCACTTCTACGGCAGTCTTGTACAAAGCCTGTTTCACACAGAGAAAATGTTTGATATTATCTGCGTGGTTGTTGTGACCTTTCATTGTCACATCAATTTATATTCCCTGTTCTGAGCTAACTGCATGCTATATGGGAAAATGTAATGCTTCGCGAATAACACAGTTCTATTAACTTATCAGATGGCACTCATGCAGAAAATTTATGCAAAAAAAATCATTTCTGCCTATATTCCGTTGATTATTTCTAGTACCGTAAATGAATGGAGCTGCTGCATATGACTGATTGGTTATTTCATGAGCAAAAACTGAATCAAAGGGCTTCAGATGTTGCAAATTTAATCAAAATCTTCCCTGGGGTCACAGTTTAGTCATGATTATTCAACTGAAATGAGTTTTGATGCCTTACCTTTTCACCTGAATCATATTTTCCTGCACAGACTGAAGAGTGTTTAAAGCTCCAGCTAGGAACTCTCTCTAGGTGTTGATTTTGACATCCCCTTAAGATAAAGTGACACCTCTTTTCCGCTGATTGGTTTGAAGTGTTTAGTGTTTGCTGTGGAAAAAGTGTAAATCACCTCTCTTAACACCAACCATCTTGCAGAGGTTGCAGGTATCAAAGCCTACATTATGGAAACTGCATCTTCTTTCCAATAATCTCAAATGGTCGTGTAGGTCACAAAGGGGTTTCACTGTTAACTTCAATATGTTTCTTAAGTCTCTAGCAGTTAATTTATCAACCAATCAATTTTTATCATAAAGTGCCAAATCACAATAGTCGTTAGTTATCCCAAGACGCTCTCAAAAAGAGCAGGTCTAGTCCACACTCATTGTATTAAAAAGACCCAACCTTAAGATGAGAACAATTTGACCTGTCCTATCCAACATGAGTGAAGAACTTTGCAGTACTAACAGTGTGCAGGAGCAAAATTTAACATTTATAAAGTAAAAGGAGGTAAATCGGTGGAAAGTATGTACTTTTCTTATGTAAATGATTGAAGTAACAGGCGAAACCTAAACTGGTCATTATAATTCAAGGTGGCTTTAACTACAGAGGTTTGAGTTCGGGCCATTCTGATCAAACTGACACATTTTATAAATAATCTTGACGTATTAACCTTTTTTGTGGCACATTTTCAAATCATAAACTATGATTGCATTTTCCTACTCTCCAGGAACTCTCCCAATTTTCTTCAAGAAGCAAGTCTGAAGAACAAGCTCCGGCCAGCAAGGTAATTTGGATCTGGTGATCTCAGGCTAACACTGGAGGAGGGCAGTGTGTCATTTCAAGACTCTGACATTTCAGGGTAATACTTGTAGGTTTCTGAGGAAGCCATCAGCCATTTGATTTTATGTTTTCACCATTTTAATTACATGTGATAGAACCAGGGTGCTAATTTAAAGAAAATAAATATTGAATCAGCCAATTTGGGCGGGTTTAATACTCACACAGCATTTTAGTGACCTGTCGGCGCCGAGCTTTCTGCTGCTGGGTTCGAACATTACAGAAGCTGTCTTGTTCAAAGCCTGATTTAGCCTGCAGCGCCTGACGCATCTTCTCCTGCTTCAGCTGGAGCCCGATGAGCATGTAGAGAACACTGATGGTGAGCATAGGCAGGATGAAAAACAACAAGGTGGTCACTTGGGTGGTCAGGTTGTACATCCAGTGTGGTTTCACTAGCGTGCAGATAGCCGATTCAGGGATCTCAAAGTCAGTACTCCCAGCAGGACCGAGAGAACGAATGTGTAGGACGGTGATCCCATGCAGACTGGTGTTGGGTAGGGCACACAACACTGACACACCCCACACTATAAGGATAACTCTTTTTGCATGGGTGCGTGTTACAACATACTTTGCCCGAAGTGGGTGCACAACTGCAATGTAACGCTCCACACTTAAAGCAGTCACATTCAAGATTGAGGCCAAACAAACCGTCTCAAACAGGAATGTTTTAAAGTAGCAGCCACCCCTCCCCAGGAGGAACGGGTAGTTCTGCCACAGCTCGTACAACTCTAATGGCATGCCAAGTAGCAGCACCAGCAGGTCTGACACTGCCAGGCTGAACAAGTAGTAGTTCGTTGGTGTCCACATCACTTTGTTGCGTGCAATGACAGTGCATGTCAGCACATTTCCCACTACACCTACTGCGAAGATGACAAGGTAGATGAGGAAAACAGGGAGAAATACAGACGACCGGCGTGGCCCCAGATATTTCTCCAAATACTCCTCCTCTGTCAGACATGCATCAACCAGATCCGTGTGGCTGCTGTTCACACCAGAGGTCAGATTTGGACACTGTTCCCCCGGAGGACAAAGCCACTCGCCTGTCTCCGCCATTAAATTGAGAGAGCAGTTGTTGGGAGCTGACATCTTGCTGAAGCTGACAGACTGGTGTACTGGGAGAAAGAAAAGATAAAACAGAGATCAGTTCTCAGTGTTGTGAGCATGCTTTAAACAATGAAACCCTGATTCACTCAGGGATTGTGTGACTTTTTTTTCGCCTTCTAAGCCCAGAGAGACATCATGTTATTCACGAAGCATAGACAAAGGGTTGAATGCTCCTTAAACCGCATTGCGGAGCATATAGCGTCCTAATACATCAGCGTTGTTTGCATTCAATTTAATGAGCCATGATGCATTCATCTGGAGCAAATTATGTCGCTTCACAAACACCAACCCTCACAGTCAGTTAGAGTGGCTTAAATATTTACCATCTGCAGAGAGCTCTTGTTTATTGTGCTGTAGTACTAGTGTCACAGCACTCAAACTCTTTAGTGATCAAGACCACAAGCCCACCTCTGCTTTGACATTACTGTTTTTATAATCATCAGGGTTAAAAGAGTCTGTGGCTAAATACAAGCTGCATTATGCAAACTTACTAAAAGCAGTAAGGTGGACATAAACTGTGAAATTTGTGTCAGATCTGTCATCTGCTTCTAGTGGTCATAAAAATTTAGCTGGAGCCCTTTGACTTGAGTTTATAGTGGTTTAGCTGGTATATTGGCCAGTCAAGATTACTGAATGAATCATTATTTATCATGATAAATAAATGATTTTTATTATGACAGATGAGGGGGTGTATTAGTCTTGTCAGAAGTCTTTAGTACCTGGAATCTAAAAAAAACACTGTCACCAAAGTTGTCACCACAATGAGGTCCAGACCCAGACTGTTTCGGTAATGGTTAATGATCTCCGCAGATGATGATGAAGCTGTGAGTACTCAGGGTTAATGGTAAAGTGAGAAACCTCATTCTCTTTTTCCATTTTTGTCAAGGAAAAAAGAAACGAGGACTAGGAGCTCAAAACTCTTTGCTTTTAAATGAAATAGATGTACATCTTTTCTCTTAAAGGGATATTTCGGCGTAAAATTTATTTAGGGTCAAACACACTGTGACATCGAGTTAGACACCCCCCTCGTAACATGAATGTTGCCGACCACTTGCTTCTCTAGCTATACCAACTTTAGTAACAACCACAGGATAGCAATACACAGCGGTCTGAGGAGCCATAAACAAACCTCAACCAAAATGCCGCTCTATAGCCACAAATAATGCTCAGAACAGCACCTAACAGTGCAGGGTCCCAGCCATAGTACTAGCCACCAAACATCTTCTCAGCTAATTTCTATAGCAAACAGGCTAAGCACAACTCACCTACTCTCTTCCAGCAGCCGTTTGTTTGTAGCGAGAGCTCGGACCATTCCATTACGGAGTGCAGTGGGGTGACGCAGCTCAAGGAAGAACATTTATGATCATTACTTTATCATTTCCTTGGAGTAATAATCACCATATTAATCATTTTGCACTGCAGGCGCAGTAGTTCTTCTGTCTTTGCGTCTCGGTCTGATTGCATTTCCATGAAGAAACATTCATCTCTCAAGGGGTTGTCTAACTTGGTGTTACGGTGTGTTGGACCCTAAATTAATTTTATGCTGGATCATCCCTTTAATCACTGCCTGGCTCCTCTTAGAGGCCTATTTCCTCTGATGTTAGCTGCATTGTTAGCACACCCAAATTTAACAAGGTGCCGATTCTGATGCCACAGTATCATCATCTGCTGCATCTCTCTTTCTCTTGAACATAAAATCAACTTTTCTCTGCATTTTTTAAATTTATTTATGCATTAAGATTGAAGCAGCTGTCTCTTTAAAAGTTCCCTACTTCCGCAAAAGGCGGGAGGCGATACACAGCGCCTAGGCAACCAGCGTCCAATCAAAAGTGCGCATTGAGCACTCCCACTTTTGGATTTGTTTGCGGAAAGAAATACGACTCACTCGTTAGCAGCATGGTCCTATTGGATTACTCCGGTTACAATGCAGAGTGCAGACTGACGTGCGACAACACGGTAAACAAATGTATGCTGCGTCCGAACTGCCAAGTAGTAGTCGAAGTAGTATGTAGCATGTCCGAATTGGCCACCGGAGCGAGTAGCATGCTACTTCAGATACTACTTCAGCTACTAGACACGCCCACATTTTAGTATGGTCGCGGTGCATCCTACGGGCCATGCTACTGACCCAAAATGCACCGCGGGCTTCTTCTCCGTCCTCTTAAAAGTTGTAGAAGGGCATGTGATGCTAGCGCCACCAGCTGCTGTCTATTTAGATGCGTCGCGAACGCCGGCTGGCCACAGCAGCGCGCACCATGGCGGAGCAGCAGCAAGCAGAACCGCATCAGTACAGATGTAAGTCTCATGAAACTTCACACACTGTCCTAAAAAATGTGCGGTTGTATCTCTTTGTCGTGTCATGGTGTCATATTTGTGCCAAGTAATCATTTTATGAGCAAATATGTGGCGAGATCATGGAGGTAAAGCTCACTTATTCCATCATTAGACTGCACAGCTGCAGTAATCAGGCAGATCTCAGCGTACCGGCTGTAAACTGCTGTTTGTGTCTCCCCGGTCCGGCGTACCGCTGCGTACCGGCTTACTTTCACCCCTGATTTTAGAGCATATCTGCTTTCTGATACAAGGTTGTAAAAAACGTCTATTTTAAAATACTCTCAATTTGTGAAAGGAAAATATAAAACTGGAACTGTATCAATGCCAGAAGCTCCACACTTGGAAGTCTCGACCTTTAAAAATGGATCTTAGTTATTGTTGTTGAAAACAGAAGTCCAGCCCCCTGGTTGATTTTAACTGGTCAGCAGTGGAGAAGTGACAATGATGTGCCTGATGTATTGCTGAGGGCTGCAGAACTTTTAATGGAGAGCCTTGTGAGTGTGGCAACAAAGAATAATTGACCGCTCCATGTTTCGCTTCTGAGAACTAAAAATGCTGAACTGCATTGGTAATTAACAAGAAATAAGAGCTGCTAGGGGAAAAAAGCTGTTAGTTGTCTAAAGCCATTTGTGGGGGGGACCTTGGACACAGAAAAAGGCCACAAGATGCAATCAATGGTTTTATGGTTTTTCCTTTTATTTTGTTACCGTGACCTTTTTAAGCTCTGTAGACAAGGACTTGCACTGCCATTTCCAGGGGGCCTCTGAGTGATGCAGCTCATAATGAATGGCACAGTTGCCTTTCTGATTCTGTTTCTAGGTGGAAAAATATCTGTATTAGTCCTACAGTACAGTTTGTACTAAAAGCAAAGAATCACTTTTAAGTGGCCAAGAGTTATGTCATTATGTGTCCTTGAACATCTTGCTAAATACATTTTTTTTTTTAATTTTGGTCCTTTAGTAGTCAAAGCCAAAATCACTTCAATAACAGACACATTAACACTAAAGGTAAATGAAGGAAAGCCATGATATGTGTTTTTCCACGTAATGACATTTGTCTTGAATCTAAAATCATTCTTACATGCAGGACTTTTTACTTTCTTCATCAAACACATTCTTCTGTGGCTTTTCTTCTTCCTCGAACATCATGCTAACTCACCTCTTAGTCACCACCAAATTCACAGGAACGACTAAAATGGGGTAAGAATGCACCCCACATGTGTTTAAAAGGTCATATACCTGAGAGTGAATGCACATTATAAATACCATGTATTTTCCTGTCATTGCGTTTCATGCAGTCTTTTGACATCTTATGCATGGTTATGTTAGTTGACCTTTGAAATACCTTTTACTGTACTGTCCCATCAGGATGACGCAGAGCTGCTACTCCAGAAAGACCGATTTTCTACTTTTATTAGGGCTAAAAGGGAGTGGTTCCCTGCACTTAAGTGGATATCCTAAGAAGCTACCAGTCCATGCATACTTTTTTGACCTAGCAAGAACGTACGTCCATCACATAAAATATAACATGTTGTTCAGAAAGTGGAGGTGATACAGGTGCAGATATTTGGATGCCATTGTCTTTAGACTGAATCAGGAGGCTGTTTTACATCTGAAGTCTGCGAAATAGCAGCAATTTAATTGTACGCTTACATTTAGTGAGCCACTAAGAATTTGCAATAGGGTCAACTTTGTTATCAAATTTTTGCCAAGACCGTAAACAGCACGTTTCCAGTGTATGTCAGGCTGTTTCCTTAGGTATGAGGACAATAATACAGAGCCACATGCATGTGCTGCTTTTCCAACCACTTATTTTTACAAGTCTGGGGATGAGACCAGTGACCTTTTTGTAACTTTTAGTCCACTGCACATCACAGTTAGAGGGGAAAAAAACAGCATGATCTTCCTGTTTATCCATGAGGATGAGTGCACCTGCAGTTCAAAGTGGCACACATCAGAAATCATAGTCATGCGTATGCTTTTGAAGTTGCAGTTGAAAGGTAAAGAAATGATGATTATTGTCTTCCAGGCCAATCGACTTCCCAGAATTTTTGTTGAGATGAAAACTAAGTAAACAAATCCATCATAGAAAAGGAATTTATATTTAGATAAGTTATTAAGGTATGAAGATTGATTCCCATAGCTTGGTCACGTGCAGCAGCTCACACTGGAGAGAAGAGAACCCGCCGATCTGTACCCTCATGAGGCAGTCATGATACTTTCATAATATTAGGTCAAAACTTGTTGTTAGTAAAGATGAAAAAATGCTCTTGAAAGTTATAAAGTATTAAGGATAAGCAGGAAAACACAACAAGGATTTTTCCATCATTCAGCCAGGGGTGTTTTTTTTAATCAAGCAGGCTCTCACTGTGTTGTATATTTCATCAATCTGTGGAAAGTGAGCAGGAAACACAATGAGCAGCAGGACGTGCTGTCAGTATACTGTAGCGGCACATCAACTGCATTTCAATGACTTGAATATCATATACCATTCCCCTGTCGCTTTTAAGTGCAACCTCTGCCGAGCTGTAAATGATTTATTTTGTCAGCAGGATTTTCATAATAAAGCCCCCAATGTCCATCAAGACACTCACGACTTGTCCATCATACTCACGAGACACCGAAATGCAATGTTTTCACATATTTTTATTCTAACACCGTTCGAAAGATTACTCAGACAGGCAGACACAAGCCTGTAGGTGTGTCCAGTGTATATGACAAGAATAACTAGGCAGGCTTTGTAAAAATAGATCTATATTGTTATGCATAATTTAGTCCTCTGGTATGAAGGATCCACAATGGATTTTACGCCTGCATGGATAACGTATCATATCTTCTACATATTATGCATCTCTGATTATCCAATGAAGTTTTTTTTTTTCTTTTGAAGAGCTTTGTTGTTTTTACTTGATATTTACACTGTGAGCAGATCTATTCAGCTAAAGCGAAAAGACACGATTGGTTTTGCATTTTGAAGTTGTTTATTTTGTGTATGCATTGATAGAGAAGGCTGAATGTAAGCAGATTTTTAATACAAGACAAATTCCCCATCTAAATGCATGGTATTGTAATATAAAATGCATCATATTGTATTGTATCATATTGTATCTTATTGTAGTGAAACATGCACTGCACTTTATTGTATTAAATTTGTACCCCTTTTATCAGGCTGCTGTAACAAGTCTGAAAAGACTCTTCAGCTGGTCCAAAATGCTGCAGCTGGAGTACTGAGTAGAACCAGGAGGAGAGAGCATATCTTCCCTGTTTTAGCTTCTCTACATTGGCTTCCCATTAAATTTTGGGTAGATTTTAAATTTCTTTTTCTGACCTACAAAGCTCTTAATGTCGAGGCACCATTTTATCTTAAAATGCTTGCAGTTTCTTATTACCCCAAAAAGAGCATTGCAGTCCTTATATGAAGGCCTAATAAAGTTCCTGAAGTATCTAAAAGTGGTCTATGTGGTTGAGCTCTCAGTTCAGTTCAGCCCCTCACCTCTGGAGACATTTGGATGCGTTGGCTTATAACATTCCTCTCAGATAAAGCTTATAGTTAGGAATGGTTCAGCTTTGGCCAGCTCTTGGTTATGGACCCTTTCTTTCCTTCTCCATTCTCTCCATCTCTCTGCCCTTGTTTCATTAACTTCAAATCATCATATCCCAGCAGAGTCCATAACTTTTCGGGAAGTCCCTGAGCTCCATCATCCCTTAAGTTCCTCTGGATGGACGTTTTGCTTCTGTGGACCTGCCTTCTTTCCAGCTGCTTCATCTATGTGCATCAGTCTTATCTCTGTCCATCCTTCTCCATTTGCATCTCTCTCTATCAGTCAAATTTGTGTCCATCTGTCTCTCTCTGGATCTCCCCGTCCCCTCTCTAAACCCATTGCAGTAGTGGCAGATGACTGATTTACATGAATCAGGTCCCTTTCAAGACCAGTTAGCAGCAGTTGCTTTCACTTGAGTAACATAGCCTCTGCTTTTTTAAATTTTATTTTGTGCTTTAGAAATACTTTTAAACGAACATCTCCTCAAAACTTTCTCAGGGTGAGCAGTGGCTGTGCTAGAGCTTGTTTTATATATTTGGTTAAGTGTTTCCCCTAGAACTTTTTTCATCAGGGAATTTTTGCTGTTACCCCCACCCTCTTGCCGCTCAAGGAGCTACGCTGTTGCGTTCACCTTACGTTACCTGCGCTACTTGCTATGTAGGCCGTATATGAGCTTGAACGTTACCCTTCACATTAATGGAAGAGGGTCCGACAGGATTTGATGCGCTTCTTGATGACTCAAAACAAGTCGAAAATAACGTGTGTTGTTGTTGTGCCCACACAGTGTAAGAATCATTAGTGGCGCATTGATATTATTGATCATGTGAAATTTCAGTAGCGGCACACGTAATTGTATTAATGCTGGCATGTAATCGAATGAATGTAGGGGAAACACCGTGGTATGTATGCAGTGAAGTCAACTCTATATGTCCTTACTTATGACAGAGTCAGCATTCTGGTGACTACAGCTGCGACACAAGGGTCAAAACCAAAACCAGCAGACTTTACTTAACAAAAATAAGCAACAAGTATGAGGTGGTTACCAGGTATGTCCTGATATGATATTGATATCGGAAATCGGTCCAATATCAGCAGAAAAACAAGTATCGTATTATATCGTCCTGCATCTGAAATCTCAGATATCAGCACTCCGATACAAGCAGTCCATTCCAGACTTCACTCCAGCACCTCTATCTAGTAGCACCAAGATGTAGCATGCAGAGCCCACATAATCACAACAACAGTGTGTACTAAGGTACGAACAAAGTAGAAAGGAGTGGGATCAATGTCGGCCATGTGGCAGTATCTTTCGTTTAAGTCTGGAAAAGACATCGCAGCTTAGTGCCAAAGTTGTCATGCACAATTTTATGCCAATATCGGATCAATATGAGCCTATGCTGAAGGCTACAATATTGGTATGGTATCAGAATTTTAGAAAACTGTATCGGGACACCCCGAGTGGCTACAATATTTTCAACAGAATTCATAATATATTTTACAAACCACAAGTCTTATGAGCACCTCTCAAAATAACAACCTGTTACAGCTTTTGCAACATGAGACTATTTCAATCAATTCAATCAAGTTTTATTTGTGTAGAGCCAAATCACAACAACAGTTAACGCTTTCAAAAACAGCAGGTCTAGACCTGACTCATTAATGAAGTTTATCCAAACTTTAACTTTCTTATTATTTAAAATAGTCAAGAGTAGTTGTATGAGTTTGTGTAATATCTGAGTATCTTTTGGAGCAATCCCTTCATTAACATTTCAGACACTGATTCATCACTAATGCACTGAAAACACAGACTATTCCTTGAAATGTCTCTGCACTAACAGGCAGCACCTTCTCAAAACAAGATTTCTTCCCCTTAATTTTCCTTCATATTCATAAAATTAAACTTATTTTCCTTCATATGTAGAAGCAATATATCTATTTGTGATAATATACAGCAAAAATCCAATGTTTAACTCAGGGTATCATCATCATATTGTATGATTTTTGAGGCACCAGCACACTGAGTTTTCCTTAAAAGTGACTTTTATCAGAACAAGCATTTTCCCCTATTCTTACATAAATTCTGAACTGTAATTTCTTTTCAGTGGTTTTAAATCCATAACATGTTTCCCCACATAATCCTGTTAGGTTGAACTTGGAAGTGGCTTTCAGTGAAAGACACCACTTAGTTAAATAGGAGTGACACACCACAAGCAAATTCAATTATAAGCTCAGTTATTAGCTGCAGTAGCTCTCTAAATGAATAATAAAACAAGATGTAAAAACAAATGAATAATGCCAAAAGTGAGCAAAATGTTAATCAAGAATAACAACCAATATGAAGACAAGAAATATACAAAAAATTGGACTGTTTCATTATATCAGAGAGAAACTGATAAGTTTAAGAATGTCAAAATTGGGTCTAAATTTGACGAAAAAGTGAACATAGAAAGACAGTATCTAATGTAAATCACTTAAGATTACAGGTAGATAATGTGGAAGCTTATATATTGGTTTCCAGCCATTAAGTAATTAAAGGGATTTATCCCTGAAGTCATCAATTAGAGCTGTCTTAAGAGCATAAATCTTCTTACCTCCTCTGCGCCCTCTCTTGTCTATCCCCTGATGTAAACACAGATTAGAGTCTTGAGTGGAGTCAGAACAATGTGCTCACCCTCAGTCCACTCTCCTCCTGGTCTGTCGCTTTCCCCCTAAGCTCCGCTCTGGCTCGCAAACATCATACAGCGCACACACATGCGTAACCACATGCTCACTCTGTCATCCTCCCTCACATCCACCCCTTCTATAGATATATATATATATATACACACACACACACACACACACACACACACACACACACACACACACACACACACACACACACACACACACACACAGTCACATGCAGACATTCAGAATTACATTAATCATGCACATTTTTCACTGTATAATTACTTGAATGTTAAATCGATAATGAATGATATAATATGGGTATCATTCATATGCCACTTAAATCCGATACATACATTTGTCTTGACCTACAGCCTTTTATTCTCCTATATGTGCTTTTGCTTCCAGTTGACAGCTTTCTCTCTCAAAGGGAAACACTGTTGTCAATTTGTGGACATCACCTCTATGTGATGCTGAGTGAAAAAGCTACTTTACCTTAGTTGTTGCATAACTCTGCTGACATGTGCAACTATTTTGCTGTGTCCTGTGAACTTCTCCATAACCAGAGAGAAAGTGAAACATACAGCAAATGATAAGACTAGAGCCAGAGCTGCAGGAGATAGACATGCAGCTGTCCGCCCTGAGGGTGGATATTCACCTCATACAGACTCTAGCAACAGGCAGTCGATTTAATGAGAGACATTTCTTGATGTTTTGTTAAAAAAGAAAAATCAATGGTGACCTTTTATATGTAAATGAAATATGCATGCGGCACAGGCAGTGCGCAATTATTAAAGAGGACATTTAGCCCCCATTTCATTCACTGCTGTATTTTGGGCTTAATGATTGACTTCTCTGGGTAAATGGGGCTCAAAAGAATCGCTCTTTTTTTTTTTTTGAATGAGGTCCAATAGTCAGTGTTTTAACCACAGGGGAGCCTGACCAGCTCAGCCCTTCCATTAAGAAATTGGCCAGAAATTAACTACATCTACTTAATTTAGCTCAATCTCAAACCGTTACTAACACCACATTCAGGAGTAGCAGTGTTTATCCAAGAGGAATGTTCCAGGTCTGTGGGCTTTTAAAAGACAAAACTACAACCATACTGAATTACAAGTGATTCTGAAAGTGTTCATTCCAGATAGTTACAAATGGAGCCCAGTCAATGTGAACGTAAACAGCATTGGTGCAACTGTAGATGCCAACAGACTACCAGCAAACAAAATGTTTGTAAAACTTTTACAACTAGGATAAAGTGACAGTCCAGGACCCGAGGTAAACAGTTTAGCAGAGCTACAACACGCTAGCCTGTTGTGGGCCATCCTGTTGCGTGAATCACTTGCTGTTCCTTCCCACAACAGTCTGGACTTCGGCCCATCGGGAGCGTGTATTCCCAGTGGAAACACGGTCTCTGATTGGCCCGGTTATTTTCTGATCGGGAATACACGCTCCCAATGGGCCGAAGTCCAGACTGTTGTGGGAAGGAACGGCAAGTGATTCACGCAACAGGATGGCCCAGCCAGGCTAACAACACGCAGCAGGTCCCATTTGACAAGAAACACTTCTGTTACAGACACTTGGCTTACTTTGTTAAAGCAGTTTACCTGTCCAGCAGAAAGGTTACAGGGTCTGTAAGATCCCAAAGCGTCCCCCATCATTGTTGACCCGGCTTCTTAGCTCTTGTCCGGGTGGTCTACCTCCGTTTTAAGCGCCCGTTATTCCGCCAGAGTCTCCGGTATTTAGTTTGTTTTCTCGCTTGTGTTGGCAGCCATGACCAAAGAAGGAATCAGACTATATTCCGAACTTTCTGGTTGGTTTCTACTGTCTGATATTGTAGCACGCTAACTTTGTTTGGGCTCCTGAACGACACAGGGGAGGAGCGTCTGCCTCAAAACCAATCAGCACTAAGGAGCAGCGTCCGCCTCACAACCGATCAGGATGGGGGAGGTGGAGAACGGCTTTGTTTACAGTCAGAAAAAGTGGAGCGCTCCGAAATTTTAAAATGTTGACTACACAGACATAACAAAGCACAGCGATATCGTTATATTACCAAATGTCACCAATGACTAAAAGCTATTGACTGATATTAAAAGATTTTTTGTATATACACCACAAAAAAAAAAGATGCCTCTTTAACAAATTCCTGCCTACCCCACCTTTAACAGACCACAGGAGATAGCAGAGAAACCCTCATGACACCCGGAGAGCAGGAGATTTCCTACCTCAAACTGAAAGATTGTTTAATATCTTACCTGATTTGCATGTCAGAGTCCTCATACATAGATGACAAATGGTGACAGAGGTAACAGTTTTGTTCCTGTAGTGTGTGGTGTGCAACAATATGACGAACGCAGCACACAACACACTTTAAGACTCTTAATCACCGGCAGCGAGAGTCCCGACTCTCACACTGGGAAATCTCTAATGTGACTTTAGAGCAGGAAACACAGCAGTTTATGGGAGCTAATCATTGTCAGCTGTTTAGCTTCATGGTACTTCCACTGAAGTTGTAATTTCTTTTTTATGCCTCCCCTTGTCATGTCTGTTGAGGTGTATTTCACTTGTATTGTCTTCATTTTTTGCATTTACTATTGTTTCCATGATTGCATTTGTTGTGCATTCTGCTTTAGTGGGCTCCCTTCCCACTTCACTATTGCTTTGTAAAGGCTTTCTGATGACAAAGTAAAGCACTAAAAAATTTCCAAGTAGAGCATGCACTTGCAACAGGAGCAGTGCTAATGTCTGGGCTTGTTAAAATGAACGAGACTGTTAGGTAAGGCTGGCCCCGTCTGCAGCAGTTGCTAGTCTAGCTTTTTCTTTTGGCTGGTTTCTGAACAAAAAGGTAGAACTGAACAGGATCTCTTGCTGCTGATACACTCACCTCACTAATGACAAGTACCTTATACAACCCAGCTTCAGAAAATCAAACCATGACTAAAATAAAGCACGCTTGCAACAGGTTTTGTATACAGGCTGTATCTGCTGGTTAGACACAGGTGGCTGCCGCTGCCCCTGGAGGGGATAGAAAAGCGGCGGAGGTGTTGGCAGGGTCGTTCACATCCAGGCTCCTCCTATAGAAGATTATCTGCTGGAGCATCTCCATCACTCTGACTGTAATTCCCAGGTACACTGTATAGAAGTGCTCAGTTATCTTCACCTTGCTTTGCCAAGAAATAAAACATGTATAATGAGTTCTAATTCTCAAAGAGGAAAATGATTTGATGCTGGCTTACATTTAGCTAATGTGCCTGTGTAATTAAGGCCATTCACATTGTGTCAGTCACATTGCACCACCCGCCTAGTTTAATGGGTATCCATAAAGAGAATAGTATTCATTGTATCCAGACAGATGGCCTTTTGGGGAGATTTAACAAAACAGAGAAGAGGTAATCTATGTCCTTTATAAAGCTCCTGTGAGGAATTTCCTGTTTGTGTCAGTTTTGGCACCTATTGAACTGAGCAATCTTTGCTTATCTTCAAATATCTACAAAAAACATATGCTTTGGAGAACAAAATTTATAATTTGTTATGAATATTTAGTATGAAGGTTGTAAAAAACAGGGCTGTTTCTTCAGCTGCTCGGCCGACACCATCCCTCTCGTACTGTTGTCACGATTAAAAAAAACGAAATCATCCAACTTGTTGCTGATGGTCTTGTTTGCATTTGTATATTATAAAAAAGGCATCAATATAGATTTGAGTCATGACTGTGAATAAACTCCTCACAGTAGCTTTAAACTGGAAGATGATGTCGAGAAATTTTTTTGTTATTCGCCTTTAATCAATTCTAATAAAAGGAACCAAGCTAATCTAATGTACCCCAGGTAAAAAAGAAATACCATCATAGACCAGTAAACTTGAGAGGACCAAGGACCAAGCTATGAGGGACACCACATGGCTTAACAGGTAAGGGTTGAGGTTGACTTGTTAACAGACAGAAGAGGTCTTGAGCCATTAAAGAGCAGAGCTAGATCATATAATGTGATTGTTTTAATGTAGCACAGACTGTATTCAGGGAAACCGTGACAATTAGAAATAGATTAATTTATTAAATTCTACAGACCAGCTCGTCTGTCATTTGTGTCCCTCTCTTTGCATGCTCCATAAAGAAACCCACATCCCTTTCTTTTTTATTCATGTGTCCAATCTTTCTTGCCAGCATGAGAAAAAGGACTCTGCCTCAGCAACAAGAAAACATAAAACTATCCTTATCTGACCTTTTGATTGCTTGTATTTCACAGATAACGAGAAGGAGCATACAGGCAGCTCTATCACCTTTGTTCTCTCAGAGGAAGCACAGTTTGGAATAAAGGAGCCAGTCTGAGGGTGAATAGATGTGCCTCACTTCTATTCGGTGTTTCACAAACACCTCATCTGGATTCAAGAGTAATCGAACACTTTAACCGCTCTCTCTTGAGGAGCTTTGTCCAACATTGCCTGGTTTGCCAGGTGCTATCAGAACTTAATACATGTTTTTGGTATACTGTATTTGCAAGTGTTAGATCCATTCTATAATATTTTTTACAAACTGTAAGAAAAGTTTGCATCGTGTTTTTTAGATTCTTCACTTCAATTAAAACTTTTTTTTACAACTCTTCATTTTTTTTTAACAATCATTGGCGTACAGTGTCTACACCATAAGTCAACAAGATCACAAATGGAACAACCATGTGTATTTACTGTATATAGAATGGACGCCGTCTGCCTCCTCTCTGGGTGAAGCCACCGCGAGAACAGCACCCTCTGGTGATGGGCTGCAGCATAGGTCAGAAATCCTGCCTCCTCCAGCAATCTTTATGGAGCAGAACCAAGTTGTCCATAGTATATAAAGTCTATGATATTTACCCTACAAATAAAATACACAACATATAAATAAACTAAACAATTAAAGTTCACTTCAATTGTGTACACAATTCCTCAGTCCTATGCTCGCAGTTTGACCAGTTCCTTTCTGTCCTGATAGTGACCACTTCTGTCAATAATATGAATATAAAAAGGTTAAGTCTTTAAATGAATACTAATAAAAAACCTGCTTTTTTCTCTTAAACAATTACGTGAGAGACCTGCAGGCGGTATACAGCTTTAAAGGGGGAAGAGAGAAGGAAGTCTTGTGCTTCCCTCTTATAAATGGAATAGATTAATTTCCTTCTCAAGAACAGGTGAAAGGTAAGCCTTCTTAAAAGTTGTATGAAAAACTGAGTTTTAGAATGGTTTGTAAAATGCCAGCTGGGGACTCAGGGCAAGTCAGCCTGAATAAGATTGAGAAAAAGGCTCAGATGTCTGATGAGCTGTCATCTGGGAAACAGGCAAGACTGGAGGCAGTTTTTTGACACAAGTCTCTTTAACTCTGGTCTGCTGAGTCTCTTTATTTTGTGCTTGGCAGCTGAGACTGCCATTGGCTTTGGGGCCATGTCGACCAACTATTCATCCTGTGAAAATGGATGGGTGTGTCCCATTAATGGTGAAAGGATGACTCCTTTTCTGTCCATTTAATGTTCCTCAAATAACATCGGGCTGGGAGGAAAAAGTAGCTTAGCTTTGCTTCAGGGTAGAGTTACATACCTGGCCAACAAAGCTGAATCCCCTAATTCTGATAAGCTCAGAGAAAGCAAATACACTGGAGCCTATAAGTTGCTGACCAGGAAACAGATGCTATCTTGCCAAAACAAGAAATCTGTTTATAATAAACATTGGCCTGTATTTCTGCTGCGATTCACATCAAGAACTACAAAAATTTCCTTTTGCACCCAAATCTTTAATCCAACAGTAAATCAACAATTGGGAGTTGGACTTCAAAGTCCTCCCACTTGTTGGTGATTTACAGTTTTTATTTAAATTAACTCCTTCTTGGGAATCGATTTAACTTGACAAGCATGATCAACATTCACTGTTGTTATTGAGTTTTGACCAATCAGGATCAAACATGTAGCACAGCTGAGTAATAGGATTATTGAGACAATTCATGTAATGTACTTTTGTTATCAGCAGGAAAGACCACCTTATTAATGCATATGATTCAGCATAAAAGTCAAATAAAAAACAACAACAAAATGACTGCTGTTTTGGGTGATACCTCAACACTCCTTATTTGAATGGTTTGGTAAATGATGAAATGTCCGAATAATCACACATGATGATAGAGGATGTTACCGTGTTACCATGTAGTACAAGATCCCTAAACATGACACTACATAGTGAGCACTTTGAGACCAGAATGGCTGTGAGGTATTGCATCTTCAAATTATATCACACCCTTAGACAGAGCCCTTTTGTGCAGGATACATGTGTGTCCTTCCTCTAATCCCTCCCTGCAGGATACACTTGTGTGTCTTTGTTCTTCGCCTTCTAAGGAACATCTGACAGGGACACAAATTTCTTTGCTCCACTTTGCTCCAAGCCTTTTCTTTCCTCACTTCTTGTCTTCATGTATTATATTTATGAGATGGGAAGATCCTCCATACAGTGAAGACAGAGTGATTTCTTGGTGAAAGAGAGATCTCGATGAAAAATGACTTGGCCCAATAAAATCACTCTTGGCAAACCTTGGGCAATAACTGTCAGTGACAAAGTGCTATTAAAGCCATATTGTGGAAAATTTAGTGGCGTTTTTGTTGGTTAAATTATTTTTTTATTGGATGGAGTATCATGATTATTTCATTTCTGATGATTTAGAGAAAGTCTCTTATATTTATTATAGAAGCAGCAGGTGCTTCCCTCTCCGACATGTAGCCCTGTCATGTTTTTTTACAAAAACTAGCAACTAATGTGTTTTGTTAATAATCGAATGGCTGAAATGTGTTGGTTGGAGAAGCAGGAGGACAGAGTCAGATTGGTTGTTGTGTGGAAATTTATTTATACTAATAGAAGTTTTTGTCGATAAAACCAGACAAATGGAGAATCATACTCATTGTGTATTGCAAGAATGTAAATCTGAGTGAATCAGAGTTTTCGTCGAAAAATAGAAAACCTGGAGGAGTAAAATGAGACTGTGATAATGATTAACATCTGTGTTGCCTTTCATAGATGGACAGTCCTAATGGCCAATGCTGAAGTTGTCTCATTATCTGCTGGACAGGTGAGAGGACATTTATTTGCTTTAAGTTAAATTTAAGTTTTAGGAATAACTAAGTGTGAAAGTTAGAGCTGTTTTCAAAGATAATGCTAATGTTTCATGTGAGTGGTAAGTTTCAACCATGAGGCGACACCACGTCAATATTTTCTCATTTTCTCTGACAGCAACATGACTCAGTGTCCTTTAACTCATTACAATACTCAGAGTTGGCTAACATTTGGTAGCATAATGCTGTTTTGAATGGGGGCTCTATGATAAACTTTATATAGTTCTACAAACAGTCCATAGGTAGGCTACCACATGTCCCGGCTTTAGCACAGTCTTGATATTTCTAACAGTGTGGTGATGAGGGACCAAAAAATATGATGCTTAATAAGGGGCTTTTTGTCACAGGTAACTGGATGACTTTACACTGACTTTATTTTTTGTTACAATTACTTCAATCTTGTATTATTACAACTTTTTTCTCAGAGAAAAAATACTTTACTATGACTCTGGTTTAGTAAGAAAATGACTTAAGAAATCTTTTTATATAATACTCTGTTTTTAAGGAAGAAACGTTGGCTTTGTTTAGCATTACTTCATGAACATCAGCTTGTGTTACCAAAACAATAACAAACTCAAAATGAGTATCTTAAAGTTGAGCAATCAACTTTTTTAAGGCAATAAATACATTTTAAAGAGTCTAGATGCTAGATGTTGCTAAAAATCCTCTTTATACATATAACTTTAAGTACGATTGTCAAAGTTTGCACTGCTGCTTCAACATCACAGCTCTGTGGTCGGTCTCTCAATGTGTCAGGCAGCTTGATTGAATGGCTCACTCTTAGCCAGAGGTATATAATTGCTCGGAGGCTCAAAGGCTGTGGATTACCTGGTAACTAATCATTCATAGAGCCAGGGGGGGCAGGAAAACTGTTATATTCTTAGCCAATATCCTAACTATGAAACACTAATGGTTTTCATCCTCTAATTAAAAGCACAAAAACACACGGAGAGTCGGCTGCCACTGTTCAGAAAGGCTTTTTAAAATCTATTTCAGGATTCGAGGCAAAAGGCTCATATTACCCATTAAGAGCTCTGTGTGATTGTTTAATGTTAACCTGGCAAAATTCAGTTTCACACTGTTTAGAGATTATTTTGGGGAATTTTTGTTCCTACCTGATTGTGTGTATAGTGAAGTGACAGAAAACCTTAAAAAGGAGAGATGGAAATGACCCACAGTATATGATCGAGCTGGGAATCAAACTACCTGAAGAATTGCTCTCCTTGTGGTTCAACTCCAGCCCCTCTCCAAAAAAAAAGTTTTTGACAACCATTAATGAGAAAAATTACATCTCAGGTAACACGTCCGTGGGAGATAGGTGTGAATAATTCAGTAGTAAACAGGTAGCTCTGTTCATCATGAATGATAAAACTCTGCTGAGCAGATGTCAAATTAGAACTCAAAACACTGGTGAATGTTGGTAAATGACCTTTTCATCTTTCGTACAGATCAGGTGAGAGCTAAAAAGCAGTTTTTGTTTTTGTTATCTTGACTTCTTCTCAAGGTGTTACATTTTCAGTGGCACTTGAAAATGATGTTCTTGATGCAATCAGTTTAATAAGATAGAAGAAATGTGTCATTTACAGTCATTTGTATGTTGTGTGGATTCAACGAGATGTCCTTAAAACCAATGCCATCGTCTGAACAGGACAAACTGGTCAATTTAAGCATCCAGATCGAACACTACTAATGTTGTTGATGTTTCACAATCCTGATATATCACAGATTTCTCCCTCACGCTTTTAGCAATACACTTAGTGAGACCTCTACTATTAAACTAAACTCTTGCCTCCTGAAGTGTGCATGTGGTCTCATTTAGACTAATTCATTCTGGCCTGAAGGACATTTGAACATCCATGATAAAAGTCAGGCAGAGTGAAGCATTACGAGGCTGACAGGCTGAGCTGCTCTCTCAGATTTCTTGTTTCAGGCTCTGTTGTGTCAGTGTAGCTTTGGTTACGGCTGTGACAGCTTGATAGCTTGTCCTTTCAGTGAAATCCATTATTTCTGACGTCTTTTCACATATTGGTTGGCTGAGCTGCCCAGATGTTCAAGGTTTCAAAGCAAGTTTTGTGTTTGTATCTGTCTAGTGTATTTAAAGTTTCATGTAGCAGGTTTACTGGCAAGATGCCACACTATATACATACTGTAGACTCTAGTCTGTCTGATAATTAATTGATCCTTTTTTGCTGGATGCTCTCGTTTTTTTTTTTTTGTTTGTTT